TTGATATTGCTGTTGATATTGCTGTTGATATTGCTGTTGATATTGCTGTTGATATTGCTGTTGATATTGCTGTTGATATTGCTGTTGCGAATGTTGCCATATCACCTCGCTGACAAAACTGTTTTGACCCTCCTTCTAGGTGGGTTGTAATGTGGATCTGCCTCGGAGGGGACAGCCAGTCAGCGAAGCCGAAGATGGAGAGAACTCGGATCAGAGACCTAGGTCGCGGTGATCATAGCTGAGGTCAGAGAAAGTGACCATGAAGACAACTCCTTATACCGGCCTAGCACGCTGGAGTCTAATGGTTGAGGCGCTGAAATGAATTTCCGGTCCCCCGGGCGTAGCGGAACGCCATGAGCGACAAGGTTTGCCGCAGGGTCGAAGAGTTCTGGATGCCTGTCGAAGAAATTCGGATCCAGTAAGAAGTTGCCAACTCCTCTATGCATCCCTATCAACTTGAATGCTTTAAGTGCGAGCACTTTCGAGCCAAAAAGCACACTTGCATTAGGCGCCGGTAAACAGCTCGCAGGGGTGTTCGGCTCATCCTCGTCATCAAAGTCGTCAATGGTCTCTGGAGAGTTCTCGAAATCTGGGTGGAAGAGATTCGTTGTATTTGAACTTGCCGTGGCTTCTGGCGCGATCGATCGGACAAGATCCCAAACCCCAACGTAGCCGCGTGTTGGAGGTATGACTGCGACTAGTCGCGCAAGATCAATTTCCATGACATATGAATTCCCGATCTCACAGATCAAATCATCTAGATTGGGGTTGGCAGAATGATAGATGATTAGCTTCTCACGCAAACTAGCGAAGGGGATCCAGTCGATAATTGCTGGATGGTGCACTGTCATCTGAAGTTTTGTCGGACGAAGGGAAGGGTCAATAGCCGCATACATCTGTGGGCTCGGGTTCAGGCGCCACGCCATAAGGCTGCCGACAGGAATATGGGCTCGTGTATAGGTGTGCCAGGCTGCCATCGTAGGCCATGATAGGCAGATGAAAGATGACAGCATGAAGCAAACCGAGCTCGGAAGACTGTGGACCTGGTTAGTCAAGCTCCGTGGGTCAGATGCCCATGACCCTACATACCCATCGAAAGAAACATCTTTTCCATTTCTCCTAAGTTCTAAAGGTTTCCACTTCTGGCGCAAGAAGTATTCGAGAGTAGTGATATGATCCGACCACGGGGAATTTGTTCGATGTAGCTGCCCATGAGGTCCTCGCACCAAGACTGGTCCATGGGTTTCGGCAGCCGAATATGCATTCGGACCCATCTGTGGAAAAGTGAAAGATAAGCGTTGTTGCATGATTGGATCGGCTATCATATTATCCCATGTGAGTGGATTGTTTGTGTCTATAAAGGTCGCGTTGTCGTTGAGACCAGAAGAGTCGACGAAACTCAATGAGGCAAAAACATCGGGATCATGGCTTATTGCTGCTTGAAGGGCATCCTTGAAGTCATCAGGGATCTCGTCGTATCCTGTATCGAGATCGGGCCAGTTGGGAGCAGTCGCCGCGGTGTCTGGTCGTTGATGGGTGGCACCAAAAGTCATGTCCGGAATAATAGGGCTTCCTCTGCAGATGAAATCTGTCTTCGATACCGATTGGATGACTTCTTTCGAATCGGACGAAGAGATATCTGAAGTCGACGGCGGTTCCGAGGTCGGACGATGTATCTCATCCACTACCTCATCTACCTCTTCATCGTCGTCTGCCTCCTTCTTCTTGTCTTTACTCATCTTTCGCATGAAATATTAGCCCAGCCTGGGTTCCGAAAAAGTAGTCGAGCTATTTGTGACACTTACCACCATGTCAAGCGCCTCAGCAGTAGATTCGGACAGAGCTTTGATGGTAACCTGAAGGCTCTCCAGTTTCTTGTGACACTCGAACAGCCTGTTAGCAAGGAACGCGTTTCGCTCTTCGAGCTCTGCGATTCGATCAGTTTCGGACGCTGGCCTGGATTCTAATCTGTCCTCTAACTCCTTGATCCGCATAGCTTGCCGAGCGCGAAAGGCTTTTTGCGATAGGCGATTGCGAAGCTTCCTGTCTTCATTGCTCATCCGGGCTGAGCGGCCTCCACGGGCCCCCTTGGACGGAGCAGAATCATCCTTCATGCCGTTACAGTAATTGCTGATCTGTGGTCAGGCTGGTGATGACATATAGAAATCTGAGTAATAGTGGAATGTGAGGGTAGGGCTAGGATGAAGGGGAAATTCATGGCTCTCGGTCTCAAATTGCCTCTTACGCCACGCCAACTGCGGGGCTGGCTGCTGAAGAGAGCATGAATGCGCCTAACAGAAGGGTTGCAGGAATGTTTTCCACGGCGAGAGGACCAAAACCTTGTTGAGACAGCGGAACTGGAGAGCCAATGCTCTGGAATAGGTGGGTAACACAACCCCAGATTTCCAGGACCCCGCGAGCCGCCACTGGTTTAAATCGGTTAAACCTCGCTTTGGGATTTGCTCGCTGAGTTTCTAGATCGCCCTGGTGGCCAAGTCCAGATTGAAAACTTACCAAATCCGGGGAATAAGGTGTTATGTTGCTGGATTCCTAGTGGGCGCATTGCAGAACCGCGGATAACCAGGAAGGTTTAGGCTGAAGTGCTGATCAAGGGGAAGGTCAGTATAACCGAGGGTACCTCTGTTCCATCGAATTCTCGTCAGCAGACACACTCCACAATACCGGCCACAATGATATCGAGTCATTTGAGGCGAAACGTGCAAAAGTCTAAAAGGTGAGAGATTCTGTCGTCAGTCTGGACGAGTCAGAAATATTTGATCCAGACCGACTTGCGGGGTAGAGCGATCAACTGTTTCTAGGGTTGCAAGACATCGTCTTTTTGTTGGTTAAACTGGCGTGTGCCACAAGGCGAAAGCCCCTTCTGCCGTCTCAATGACTGAGCAAAGCATTACTCAGGTGCCACTGTGTGATGCCAGTTGAGGGACCCGCTGGTCCTGGCATGGCAAAATATCATGGAGCAGGTTGGTCTTGATTATGAGGACGAACAATCATTTGCACTGTCCAGGACACGAAGACCCAGGTGAAGATGAATGTCTCACGCCCATCAGAAACACATAACCACACAAATGGTGTAACAAATGGCTCTAATAGCGGTGCCTCTAATGGCGTTGCCACTGGTACGACAAGCGATCCCACTCCGGGCTTGAGATATGGCATGTTTTCCAACTGGAAAACTCATTCGTCGAAGAAGGACCATCGTGAGGAAGCGTTGGAAGTGATTCGAAATGGATTGCCCAAGATGACCAGAGTCAAGGCTGTTCTCGGCCTGGATATCGGTTTGGACAGTGGTCCAATCTATATCGACACACGGGAGGAGCCTCGCATCCTGCAGACATTTGACGGTGAACCTGATTGCCGCGTAAAGATTAAGCCGCATTATATCACTGCCTTCGCTCAGGGTCAACTTGAACCACGGTATGCTCTGTTCAAGGATGGCTTCTTCGACGAATCGACGCTGCCAAAAGGAGATATTAAGGTGGCCGTCAAATTCGCTGACGCCCTTTGCCCCGTGGACCCAGCGAATCCTGTACCGCCCAAGCCTGGCGCCAGGTTGCCGATGCCAACAGAGGACATCGACCAGGTTAGGCGCGACCTGAAGGAGTTCGGCTATGGTTTGGTGAAAAATGCCCTGACTGCAGATCAAGTGCAAATTTTGGCGGAAGCCATTCGTCAACAGGGACGCGGAGAGATTGAAGCCGGTGTTGCGGCCAGGGATGGGGGCCCAAACGCCCCTAATCAAAGGATTTGGACGTTGATCAATAAAGGACAGGAGTTCCTTGATTTGCTAGAGCATCCTCTGATCGATGAAGTCATTCCAGAAAACCTGGGCGAACACTTTCTGGTCCACAGCTACAGCGCCAATATTGCACGGCCAGGCAACGTACCGATGATGTTGCACACGGATCAGGTTGGCATCCAACCGCCTGTCCGGAGCGTGTTCTTTGGCATCAATATCATGTGGTTCCTGACAGATGTCACGGCAGCGAACGGTGGAACTCGAGTGTTTCCTGGCAGTCACCTCGGTCCCATTGCCCCAGACGGTGAGTCGATCTTTTGGTATAACTCCGTATCAAATTCGACAGACAAGGACGGTGGCTACTATAGCTGAGAATTGATAACTTGGAGTGATGACACTGACTTTGCTCATCCTTCAGATCCTTTCAACATAGACGGGACAGTTGCGGCGGAGGGACCGGCAGGTACAGCACTCGTCTTTGAAAGTCGACTCTGGCACGCCACAGGTCCAAACAAAATGACGAGCGGGGAGCGGCCGGTGATTCTCATGTTTTTCATGCGTTCGTTTATAAGGCAACAAGAAAACAACTTCCTCTCAATCAGGCCCGAAGTCGAAGCAAGTATGTCGGATCGAGTTCGAAGGATGATGGGGTGGTGTACAGATGGGGCATTTGGTGGCATCGAGGGAGAAGTCAGAGAAGGACATTTTGTCAAGAAGCTGGCGCATCCGGTCGGACCTTTTAGGGACTCACATCGATACACGCCGTTCCGGATGGATATGAGAGCCAAAGGTGCCAGTGGTGTCCGCACTGCCGAGCTAATTGGAAACCAAGCAATGTAGAATTTGGATGACTATCTACAGCGCCAAATCTTTGCCAGGAAACAACTGCTGCCGAGGCTGCACCATACCCAGTACCAAGTATCTTTCTGATAATTGGCTAGGCTAAACCTCGGGAATACAAGGCTGACATCTCGCCTCACCTTCCTTGAACAACACTGTTTTTGTAGACCCCCTCCGAAATCGCAGTCAGAACAAGCACGGGCAAAGGCGACTCGACTTTCGTCCACTTGCTCTAGCAGTTCATAACAACACAAATTCAGGTCCTTTGACCTGTCCAGAGTCCTACTACACCTTTTCGCGGTCACATTGAGGCGCTGGCGCCACCATGTCTGCCTCATTACCAGGGAATCGAGATCTTCCAGCATCTCAATATGACCTCTCAACATATTGGGGCCGTGTAATGCAGTCGGCACAGATAGCAGATCCGAGGTGAGGACAGAACAAGCGTCACGCTATGAAGTGTCGATCTGAGAATTTCCAAGCTGGTGTCCAGTTGTGCCATCAAATGGTGCTGAAGGTACAGCGCAATAGACCACAGCATATACAGCGACGTCCTTTTACTGAAGCTTTGGTAACTGACCTTTGCTTGACCCACAGGACACTATTTGTTTCCTCCTCTGGCCTCGAAAATGCAAAGCGACTGGTGACATCTTATAAGACCGGGGAAGCAAGGGTCATGACGCCGGAGATATGGCAAGCCAAAAAGATTGTGGATTCAACACTCCATCCAGGTTCGATCACATCTCGTGCGCCTAAACAGAGAGTGTCTAACAGCGCAAAGATACTGGCAAACCTGTCTTCCTCCCATTCCGCATGTCCTGCTTCGTGATCTCTAATCTGGTTGTCACCGCTGGTATGCTCACACCCAATCTGAGCAATACTGGCACAGTAGCCTGGCAAATCATAAATCAATCACTCAATGTCGCTATCAATTCGGCCAACGCAAACAAATCTTCACCACTTAGTACATCCACGTTGGTCAAATCCTATCTGATGGCAGTCTCTGCCTCTTGCTCTGTCGCTGTCGGATTGAACTCGCTCGTCCCGCGGTTGAAACGCCTCTCCCCAAACACCAGACTTATCCTAGGCCGCCTCGTTCCCTTCGCAGCCGTGGCCAGCGCAGGTGCGTTGAACGTCTTTCTCATGCGCTCTGAAGAAATCCGCCGCGGGATCGACATCTTCCCCGTGCAGTCCGAGGAAGAAAAAGCCGAACGCGAGAAGACAGGCAAAGAAGTCGCGCCCTTAGGCAAATCTCGCAAAGCCGCCATCCTCGCCGTAGGCGAAACAGCGATCTCCCGCGTCCTAAACGCCACTCCGATAATGGTCATTCCTCCGCTCATATTGGTCCGACTTCAGAAAACAGAGTGGCTGAAGTCCCGGCCTCGGATGGTTTTGCCCGTGAATTTGGGCTTGATTCTGACGACCAGTATCTTCGCCCTGCCGTTGGCGTTGGCGGCGTTTCCGCAGCGGCAGGCTGTTAGTGCGAGGAGCTTGGAGGAAGAGTTCTGGGACAGGGGCGGCGAAGGGGGCTTGGTGGAGTTCAACCGCGGGATATGATCGTGGAATTGTGCGTTGGGGTCGAGGGATTCCTATAAGGGAAAATGCAGCTGGCCAAGCTTGGTGCATGTTGTTGGATGAGAGAAGGGAGATGGATGAATGTCGAGGTCAAGTTGCAAATGCAGATGCAGATGCAGACGCAAAGCGGTAGACGCACCTTTTTGCACGAGCATGGTCGGACAATGTGCTATTATATATTCTCCTCCTTTGGGATGGAGATGGTTCCTAGTTAATAGACGGTCTACATGGGCAGACTCGCATACAAATGAGGCCTCATCCGTGGTAGAAGGGAAGGCAGCAATGTGATGGATGAACTAAGTACTATTACTAGCTATTAGTGCTCTCGTGCCCTCGTCGGGAATTCTTTCATTCAGCACTTCCCGAGTATCGAGTGTAGAGTGTCGAGTGCTCTGATTATCAGCGGAAATCTGAGCTGTCTGATTCTCCCGCTCGTGTCCCCCAGGATTCGGAGTTTCTGCCGCCCAACCAGGGGGTATTGTTTGTCCATGGCAGCACATCTTTGTGAATGGCCCGGCCTGGCTAGCCTTCCTTGACGGGAAACCACTTTCTCTCATCGAATCGGTTCGCAACATACATAAACCTGTATGAGGAGTTCGAGGACACCTCGGTTCGGCAATCACCCGCCTGTGCCTTCGAGCAAAGGGAAATCCCATGCATTTCATGCCTGGTGTCTTTGGAAGCGTCAAGTGTTATTCAAGACCATCTTCGCTAGCTGATCGATCGAATCAGATCCCCCAGCCCTCTTTCTCCTTGTCGGGTCCTCTGTTCTTCTCTTCTTCTCCTTCCCCAGGAAGCCCTTGTTTGGCAACATCCGCCCAGCTTTGTTCTTGCCCATTCGCATCTGCTTCCCCTTCACCCTTATCATCAAGATCGACGTCCACATTTTCATCCCTCACAACCTGACTCTCGTCGATAATGGCATCTTCTTCCTTCTCCGTTTTGGCTTCTTCACTCTCGCCCGTTTCTGTACCCGTCGCCTCCTCTGACTTTGTCTGGTTCTGATTCCAGCCGGGACCAGTCTCCTCTGCGGCGACGGTGCCATTTTCGTTTGGGGACTTCGACTCGGATGTGTATTCCTCTACCATCGACTGTGATTGCCCTTCTTCCGCTGCAGCGTCTTTTGCCGACTCCAAACGTTCCTCGATTTCCTGTTTAATAGCTTCAGCATTGCTTTCAGCTGATTCCGTTGCTGCTTCTACAATCTCTCTCTCTTCATCACCTGCCGTCTGACCTGATTTCGTGGTTTCCTCGACAGCTTGTTTAGATTGGGCATTTTGCGTGTGGGACGCCTCGACTGTGCGTTCTTTCAGTTCGGTCGCTTTTTCAGCAGCGTAATTAGCACCCGGTCCAGCCTGCTCTTTCAACTCGCCGACTTTCTCTGCGACATAGTCGACAGCGGGCTGAGTCTGTTCCTTGACGTTTTCCATAGTCTTCTCGACAGCTTCAGCGGTAGAGTCCATCACAGCTTGGGCTTTTGCGGAAATTTTCTCTCTTGTCTCATCGTCTCCAGCCTTTTCAACAGCATTCTTGACCTTTTCGGCAGTATCGTGCAGATTCTTCTTCGTTTTTTCCATATCACGCTGAAACTCCTGTCTCACCTTTTCGGACTCGGCGCTGGCCGCCTGCTTGACCTTGGCTGAATGCTCTTTTATCGTGCTCTTGGCTTGTTCTGCGGCCTCTTTCAACTCTCTTCTGACCTCATCACCGTCCACAAGCACGGTGTCATCTCCGATGTCGTCTGAGACGCGATGCATTTCTTCAACAGCCTCACTAAGCCGCCGCGCCACACCTTTGGATGCATCTTGAAAGCTCTTTCGCGCAACCATAGCAGCTTCGCTGGCTGATCGACTTCGCCTTCTCTCAACTTGCTTGAGGTAAGAGGTGATGAAGAATTGTAAGAACAACCACGTCAAAGGCAAGAGATACATGCAGTTCAGGAGGATGGCAAAGACTTCACCACTCGTGTCGAGACAGTGAACCCACTGGAGCTCATCTCTAAACCTTATCTCTTCTCTCCTAACGACATCTTCAACAATGTGGACAGCATCGACTCCAAACAGCTGCCCTTCCTCATTCAACACGTTCTCTGCAAGGCCCTCGTAACCCGCACCTCGGAGGAGTGCCTTCTTCAGCCAAGCCCCCAGACCGGCAGAACCTGTTGAAATTGCAGCGGATAAACTCGAGGTGATCTCTGTTGGAGCTTCGGACATGACTTTGGACGCGGCTTCTCCCAGATGATGGATGTAGGGGACGCTGACCGGGATTTGGTAGGCGACAAAGATGTGTAAGAAAGCATATGTCGCGCCGACAACAAATTGGGTGATTTGAAGTGTCGTCAAGGTCTGTTTGAACCATTTGGGGACTTTGATTCCAAGTGCTGAGCAAAGGTAGAAGGTGTACTATTCGCATGTCAACAGCGCTGTTTAATGCGATTTGGGTCGACTTACCATGACCGTGTGGATGCCGGAATTGACCAAGACGAACATCCAGATTGGTGGAGACATGTACCTGATTCCAGCCCACATACACAGCATAGCTCCAGCATGGTGATAGGTTTGTAACAGACTACTCTTCCTGCCCTTGGCCAAGATGATCAACGTGTCCACGACCTCGTAGAACTTTGAGAGGTAGAACAACCAGCCATAGAACGCCAGCCCTTCATTCCAGATACGGCCCACGTCTGTAGTCTCAGGACCGAGTCCTTCGGCATCCAGGTGGAATAACCGATTTGTCATTTGCCATGCGCTAGTAGTCACGTTGTATGTCGCGGCACTTCCAGCTCCTCTAGGTCCATGCATTTTGCAAAGTGCGTCCACCGTCCCGGCGACTCTCCAGTCTTCGTTCCATTCTGGCAGAGACAGGCGCAAGGCATTAACCATGCCCACGCAAGTCCATGCTGAGTATGCCGCCAGGAAGATATTGTGGAGAATGACGAGAAATTTGAAGACATACGTCCGACTGAATGCCCATGGCCTGTATTTGCGATTGGCGTTGACCGAGTTCATAAAAGATACCAAGGTCATGTACACCAGCGCAACAGTAATGGGGACATGTGGAGACAGGAGCGCATTGTACAGGTCCGCAGGGATGGTGAAGGGGTGCGCGAGCGTTGGGTTGTTCGCAGGCGGAGGTACGGTCGCGGGTTCAGGTGATGGAGGGAACTTGAAATATGAGATTGGTAGGGTGGTGACCTTGACCTGCGGCGAAGGTTTGCTCAGGTTCAGCCACTCAAGAAGGTCTGAAACAGACATGATGGGCGCCGACGAGGTAAATTACGGTCGCGTGAGGAGGTGCCCAGAATGTGGGAGCCAGTGCAGAGAGAGCGCGCAGGCACAAAGGAAGAGGGAAAAGAAAAGAAAGGAATAGCCAGGAACTAGATGCGAGGCATGATGGAAACGAACAAGGAGCGCGACAAGAGACTCGCAAACCTATCACAGATCAGAAGGTGGTTGTGGTGTGTTTGCAGTGGTGCGGTACAAGGAACTGAAAAAGCTGGTGTTGGTGCAGCTCTGCTCCATTGTCTCCCATACGTCAAAGCTCCGTCCAGCCACATCAACGTCATGCCCGCCACCAAGTGAATAACTACCAACCACCGTCTTTCTCGATGCCGCAACCATGGCTGGGGCCAACCCACGGTTCGGGAACTGCTTCCGCAACGCCAATGCTGGAGCATCATCACTTTATGAGAAAGTCACTTTAATTACGCGTCTATATACTGGGTAGGTGCATCCTTGCTCGATCCGTACTCATCGCCACGGCTACAAATGCATTCCGTTGAACCTGCCAACTGGCTCTCTCGAACTCACATGCAGCCCATGGAACCCAAACCCAATAACCCCGTCGACATGTGCACGCCCGATCTCTGTCATCGTCTTTGCATCGAGGACAAGAAGATAGCTCTTTCCCCCGGGCCCATCGAGGACCACCGACAACAGGACCCCGCCGTCCTCGTCCTCGGATCGAGGGTCTGCCACGAATATGGGCTCGCCAGGGCTTTGGCCATGGACACTCCATCGTACTGTCGCATGTGTCTCGGCGTCGTACTTGACAAGGCCGTCGACGAAGGTAGATTTTCCAGTATCGGTGATTCCGTACATGTACCGGTGCTTTCTCGTCACCATTTTTGGGTTGATGATAGGAAGCTCGAATGCGTCGGCCTTCGTGCTCTCATACTCTAGACTGGCCTTTTCTTGCTCGGGTTTTGGTGTCGACGGTATGCCCGGCAGGCGATATCTGCGGTAGTTCGGACGTGAGCTGGGACTCAAAGAATCTGCATATGCGCGTGCCTGGGGAAGGTGGCTCATCAGGTTGTCTAGATAGAAGTGGTGGAGAACATCCATGTTCTCATAAGCGGCTAGGTCGCACACGATGTCAACCGCACCTTGATGGGTCCTCGACGGCTCCTCGTACGCGTTGATTGTGTGGAAAGAGTAGAACGCGTCGGAAGTATATTTGGCGACGACGCCCTTGCCGCCCTCTTCTGGCGACCGCTTGTCAACCACGAACCAGGTAGTGGGACGCTTGTCGTCCCACCCCATAGCATCCAGAAGATTTCGATTCCAGAGGATTGACGCTCCTCCGGCTTTGTAAAATGAGTTCCACACGCACAAAATCACGTAGTTCTTGGTCAGCAAGAGGGAATGAAGGTACGCTGGAGTGTGGTGAAATGTAGCCAAAATCGACGTCTTTCCTGTAGAAGCGGAAGCGCGCCACAGGCGATACGTCCCGGTACGACCAAAGTCGAGGTTGTAGTTGAACACATCCCCTGTAGCAGGGTCTGATTTGGCATGTGCTCCGCTGCCAACACCTTTGAGGTCAGGATGAAGAATGGTCTGGTGCGCGACGCCCACCGGTTCCAGGGTTTCCGGTTCGAGAAATTGGAAAACATTGGCATCGGTTTTATTGCATAGAGTCATAGCTTGGCTGGGGTCTCGAGGACCGTTTGCTCTATGGCCATCTCTTGTAAAGCCGGGAAAGTTCACCGACATGGTTACTGCGGCGTTGACCTCGTTCGGCTTTGCTCGAGGGGCTGAGGGTTGAAAGACCGCCTGTACTTTTTGAAAGAAGGATTTGCAAGGATCGTACTTCGCGGCGAATGTGAATTCATCCAACTTTCCCGTCTTCTGGATCTTTTCAATAAGTCCATCGCTGACCAAGCGAGAGTTGTACGTGACTCGCACTTTCGAGTCTGGCTGGGATGTGTGTATCTGGAAACGATGGACCTGGGAGAAGTTGTCGAACCAATGATTGACTTTGAACTCAGTGTCCTTCGATGTATGGATTGACCTTGGCCCCAGGCCTGTACGAAACAGAGTGCCTGCAGTGTAAGCCGGAATGATGCCTTCCACCCTTAACTCGACCGGGGTCTTCTCCTCATATTTTGCATCGAACTAGAGATGGCCCTCGTCAGGGATGTCCCTAGGGCAGATAGATATGCTTACCCCCAGAGTGTTTGGCCAATCATGGTAGTGTACGGTGGTGGTCGGCTTCGCACCTGGATTTCCCATTTTTGTACTGGTAAATCTAAGATTGGAGAAGGACCTGATTGATTGTCTTTTGGTGCCACTACGCCTGGTCCTGGAGCAAAATTGGTTTAATGAGATACCTTTCCTGCTGTGCATAATATAGTATACCCTCACATACTCTGCTTCGTACGACTTTCGCCTCTTTTTCTTATAGATTTCCGCTGTATGGCCCAACCGCGGCGTTCTGCTTTGAATCCCTCCGTCCCTTACCTGTTAAGGACGTAAGATCTTTGATATCAGTGAAACTTGTTAGCATTGACCTGCATGATCTGCCAGCGACCGAAAGGGGTATGATGCGCGAGGCTGCCATTGTGACAGCCTTGCAGGTATGGTTACGGCCGAGAGAGATGGCAGCCTTACCAAAGGAGTCATCTTTCTGCGAGCTGCGAAGGATCAAGCAGAATGGGCACGGAGAGTTCGTGAAGTTTGCTCTTGAATGGTAGATGGATGAAATGGTAATGCGAGGAAGCAAAAAGGGTGGGAGGTGAAGGGGCCGACTCAGGTCATAAGAAGCTAAGTACAACACAGGTCTTCACATCCAGTGTTACTCTATTGGTCAATACCAAACATAGACCCTCCGAAGACACCAGAAGAAAGTCCTCATCGGAGGACAATGGAGATAGTAGCTTTAATGGAAAGAAATCTGTATGCTGGAGACAAGTCGCAAAAATGCTTTATCCATAGAGAGAGAACAGGATGCCAGTCCATAGCCAAGAGCTTCGGTAAGCCACCAGAATTTCCTAGTCCACGTCATTAAAGCGAGGATCGCAAACACGAACATCTCGCCTGGCATGAGGCTAGTTGTGGATGGACTGGCTCTCGTCTTTGGCCATGGCATGCAAAGGAATTGGTAGAGGGATGAAGTCCAAGGGCGTCACCGACGCGGGACTCACCGCCTTGCCACCTCGCTGCCTGGGCGCCAAGTATGTCTCGCCAATAAGCGAGATCCTGCATCGGATAAACATCGGATAAACAGTGATTGGTTTGTTCTTGGTTTGTGTGAGGCCTGTCCATCTTCTTGATCCTCCAAACTTCGACTCTTCGCCGGAGTAATTATTACCGGCCTGGTTTTGGCTCTCTGCCTCCACGCATTACTTCCTCCAGCCTTTACCCCCATTCAAGCGCGCTGGCTTGCGCCATGACAGATCTGCAGGATCATGACATGAACCTGGAAGAAGATTACGACGAAGAGGCCGACAGTGACTTTGAAGGCGATGGCTCGGGTCGTGAAGCCTTATCCTCTTCGTCCGATGACGATGATCGAAATGCCGACGGTGCGTCCCGTCGACCTCGCAAACGGCAAAAGACCGAAAAGTCACCGACTCAGGAAGAGTTGATCACAGAACTCGACTCAGGTGATGAGGTTACCATTCGCGAACAAAAGAAGGCGCGAAGGAAAGGAAAGAGAGATGAGCATAACGGAGATGACTCAGAAGGGTGGCGAGCCCGGACCCGCACTATGCGGACGAAGGAAGAGGAAGAAAGAAGCAGGAACAGACCAGCATCAAGCAAGGGGAGCATTCTCGATGTAAACAAGATATGGGAGGAGATGAACCAGCCAGGTCCACTTCCTCCTCCATGCGTTGAGGGTGACGCCGGCGACCAGACAGTGAGGTCTCGTGATGTTGGTTCTGTGAAAGAAGACACCGACAAAGAGAATGTGCCTGACGTCGATGGTGAAGAGACCATCACGATTAAGCGGACATACAAGTTCGCAGGTGAGATTCACGTTGAGGAAAAGACGGTTCCAAAGTCATCGGCAGAGGCGCGGCTGTGGCTATCTCAGCAAGACTCCTCAAAGTCGGGGGGCCTCTCGGCTGATGGCAAAGTCGTGAATCGACCGCTTCGCAAGATCTCCCGCTTTGATCCTAATTTCAATAATGCTGGCGCCTTCAGGGGGTCTTGGACTTCCTCAGCAACGCATGCAACCCAGTTCAAAGGTCCTAAGCTCAATGTTGTTGAGAAGAGTAAGATGGATTGGGCCGAGCATGTTGATACGGAGGGCCTCCAGGAGGAGTTGGATACCCATGCAAAGGCAAAAGAAGGCTATTTGACAAGAATGGACTTCCTGAAGCAAGTTGAAGAGCGCCGGGAAGCTGAAGCCAGGCTGGCGAGAACGAAAGGCCGTTAAAGAGCTACTCCCGCGCCTGCCCATGGCTGAACCCTGGAGTAGATCCCTCTTCTCGGATACAGGTCGCAGTCCGCTCTGCCAGCACCTGTCGGTCATGCTTGCTCCGGCCTTTGCGCTGCTTCCACTTCAGTGGCCTTGGTTGGACATGTCAGACTCGCGCCTCTTGAGGCTCGGCGCTCACATCTTCGTGGTATTCAGTTGTTTTGCCGCGGACAGTGACCACTGTTGTCTGTTGTCTGACTGTCTCACCCCTCACCGGTCCTTCTTTGATGAATCACATCCCATCACTGTCAACTACGTGCATTCGCTAAGCCGAGCTACCTTGTGCTTTAGCAGCCCTCTTCATGGAGAGCCGCTGTCCTTGTCCTGGCCCCAGGATGCATCACCCAAGTCCCCAGCTTCCAACTCCAACCTTTGCCCCTCCCCGTTGCGGATCACCAAGTGGACATGTAGGCAAAGGCAAAGGTCTCCTTACAAAGAGAATGGCGTCTGCCTCGCCTTTAAGAACGGTAGACACAAACACCTGCTCACCTTCTCGAGTTCGGCCAGTCTTGTCTGCCAGAACTTCGATCAACTCCAGGGCCAGCAGCATACCTACTACTCCTCTCGACGGGATACCTGGGGAGTTGTGGCCACGAATCCTCCGAACTACTGCTGCCGCTGAGACCAGTAATCCTGAACTTTCAATCGACGAAATCACCTCCACAAGACTGTCTCTCGATGATCAGGCCATCCTGGCCAATACGCCCAGAGAGGGTAGCTGCAAAGAGGCACAATCCCGCAAGCTTGTCATCAGAATGGCATTTGGTGGCATGTGGGGAGAAAACAGCGACCGTCTCAAGAGAATGACAAAGAGGTTGAAGAAAATACCAAACGGCTTATTCACACGCAAAGGATCGTTAGAAACGCTGCCAACTCCAACCACTCTTTCGCAGCCTCTTCCAGAGCCGACGCTGCCACAGTTGGAACTTACGACTGAACTCTGTGTCCAGACAACGTGCACATCGTCAAATACGGAAGATCTCGCTGAGACCAAATCAACCACCCCCGTGGTACGCTCCCAAGCCAACAATTCGATTTTCCAGCTTGTGCTGACCATGCTGAGCAGATGGATTACGAATGTAAGATCAAGGCATTAGGTTCATGTCCTGAAGAGATGGCAAAGGTACGACTTTGAGCGACAGCCTGAATAGTTTACACCTAACGACGTTTCGAGATATCCTCTTTCATTCGCGAAGATCTTCATGAAGTTACAAATAAAGACCGTACTCTACTGCCCTTGTGTTCGGGAAACCCCGAGGTCTGTCTGCCCACCCTCTTTCCTTTCGCTATGTGCTGACTGAGGTAGCGACTTCCACGTCATTTCAGAATGGCTCCTGTCTATGGTCACGCTGCCTCAACATCAACGGTCAACTCAATTCCTATCGCTGAAGACCGCTTGCTCCGTGTTCCACGCCCATTGAAGGCCTCCTCTCGACAAACTGTCACGAGGGCTTCCTCCGTCGGGAGCGTCGATGAGATGCGGAGCCATGCTTCTGGAAGCCGACGAGTTAGTCGACCCAGCTTGTCCAGTGGGTCAGTCAGACACAGCTACACTCCCAGTATTAGCCGGACATCACTGTCGGCGTCTCGCCCTGCCACCCACGCGGGATCGATATCCTCTTCAAGCACTACCATAGCCCCTCCGCGGAGACCAGTTGTATACATGGACACACCTATCTCGCGTTCTGATTATATTTTGGATGGCTATGACTCCAAGAAGCGCCCATCAGGAGCCTTCACAGCGCGGCCCGTGTCCAAAGGAGTTTCTATCCGGAGCAGTCAAGACGATCATGCAAATTTTTCCTTGAACTTACCTCCGGAGGTCGAAATCGGCCTCGGGGACATACCCGGGTACAAAAAGGTTCCACTCTACACGCCGAGGAGATTCGAAGTGGCAGAACTCTCTGAATCCTCACAACATGACGAGGCAGTCGAGCGGAAACAGAGATTTTTCCCTCACTTTGGACCGAAGAACTCCAGTCCAACGATTTCAGACATCTCATTTGGTTCACTACGGGGACAAACATCCATCCAGTCACATCTTGAAAGAGAAGCCATTGTTCGACAACAAAAAAGCGAGTCCGAGGCCCCTCCAGCCATGGGTGGTTGTGAGAAGCTCTCTAGAGCCTTGCGTGGTGCATGGTCGGAGAGCACTACCCGACTTTGGCAGAAGGGGTGCAAGCGGCACGGTCTCTAGGTGCGCATAATGGGGGCTGGTCTTCTTCGCAGGCTGCGAGAAAGGATGAAGCTCACCGGTGCTTGTTGGTATACGTTTACCTCCAGTGAGCCAAGCATTGTATTATCTCAAGCACGAGCTGGACGAGTCAAAGTGGGACAGAAGGATGAGCTTCGGGGAGTAAATTGTGCTCGGCATATGCATTTATGGTTTATTTTCTGTCCACAACGGAAAATGGACCTAGGTACTCTGTAGACAGCCTCAATAGCATGCAGGGATCAGGTCTACTTATGAGGATATTCCATACTCTGTTCTCTGCTCGGTACTTCTTACGATGGTGGCGGTACATACACAACCCCCCTCCCCTCCCTGCAGGCCACCAAAAACGCGACCCAGGCGCGAAAGGAGCTTGGCGCGCGTGTCACAGTCTACCTATGAAAATCTCTCTGCACTTGGAATGTCACCTTCGTCTCACTTTCAGCTTCGACCTTTTAACCAAATGCTTTCCTACGTACTAGTACTAGGCCACCAGTCTTTCACTACCATCTATTCTTGGTTTTACCTGCTTCCTTGGATGGGCGTCTGCTATTTTACAGGTTATCTTCAAGCAAAGTAGCCGTCTCCCCTGATCGCCCAATGCAGCACTGAAATCGAAACACTGGTCCCCGTTGAATGCCCGCTTTTCCTCCCAGTACTCGTACAAGGGCAAGTTCACGATGCTGACTTTGGAAACTTTGACATCCCTAACTTTTCAACGCGAGACAAGTTTTGCGCACAAGTTTTTCACCATTGATGCAGCTAAGCAAAGAAGTATTTTCAATCGCACGTGTCAGAAGAAAATACCTGAAACAGGAGCGGATCCGTCTGCTCAATCGCCTCAGTCCGATTTTCCCCCTGGGGAACCAGAAGTACCATCACACAGCTCCAGCACATCGGAGTAGACATGGCCAACATGAATCTGGCAGCTGGAGGCGGTGTCAATGGATCGGATACCCATTTTTGTCGAGCTCACCCACCCAATCTGGATCATAGAACTCGCTGTTCTTGTCCAGTGTGGCAACATATCGATTTCCCCGAACCCCAGGCCTTTTGGAGTGAGTATTTCTCAAATGACTTTTCAAGTTGTCTGTTCTGGAGAACGGTCTATTGCATTCAGAAACCCAACATCGATATGTTGTATGCATAGACTTTTCGTGTACAGTCTTTTCGTGTCGCTTCTTGTGCTCCTGTCTTTTGAATCGCTTCTGTTTTCCGGTATGTTTGTCGATACATCCCGGATAGCTGCAGGCAAATTCGTTTTGTGCGATGACCAGCTCACAGTTGACACCGGACTTGGGCGGAGTTGCTTTGGACTTCGATGACAAACTAGCAGGACGCTTTCGCTCATAATGGCGCCGCTGTAGCCGGTCAGTGTTTGGTCGTTGCTTTTTGGCTTCACCGAGAGCCTGCTGCAGCGAGCCATATGATAACTCCTCGACGTCATGCTGCGATGGCAGCACGCGCGGGGAGATCATCGACAGCGGACTACTGCTCAAGATTGCCGATGGAGTTATGTGCAATTTCAGAGGTGTGGATGGCTCAATCTTGTAACTTGGAGAGCTGGCCAAGGTTCCATGAAAGGCAACACTTGGTTCTATTGTCTCTGCAGGAGGATGAATGGCTGCAGATCTCCATGCAAACATATCGTCATCCGTTACCCTGATCATCGCACCCGACTCGGAACTCGAGGGCCCAGTAAATATCGATTTCGTCAACGCTGGATTTGTGTTGCCGTGGCTCAAACCGTGTACGTCTGCGTGGTATAATGGACGGCTAACTTCCGTCAGGAGCAGCTCATGCGTGCCATTCAGCAGAGAAAGACCAGAACATCCGGGCGTCTCCCACATGGATCTATGAGGACCGCGTTCTTCATCTTGCACCTGATGGAACATATGGTGACCGTCGGTAAGGTAAGCCGAGGGTTTCATGTACTGTTTGGAAGTCAGGTGTGCGCCGGGATCGAGCATCATGGGGGTGGTAGGACTCGCTGTCGTTGCTGAAGGAGTCCAGAATGCCTCGGGCGAGGCCGAGTAAGTAGAAGATGCGAGGGACGGGCGACGTAGGCCACCAGAGTCCGTGCTGGATGCATCTGAAGAGAAGAAACTAGACGAGAGCGAGGAACATTGCCCCATGAGCTCCAACGAGGAATCTCTGTCAAACTCCGGTCGTTCCAGCTGAGGTAACATCTCGAAAGCGCTTTCTTCAACCTTTGGGATCGGCTGATACACTAGACACCGGAGTCAACATGCTGATCCCCCATTGAATTGGGACACCAAATTGGTACTCACTGGTTTCGTTTTGACAATCGGGGGACATTTTTTGCATTTGTCCTTGAACTATCATCAACTTCAACTCAATGGAAAGGTTTGTTGAGGAGGAATGTCGAAGAGCTGGGGGAGCGTGGGAATAAAAAGGCCTATGTGCCTCGTTTGAAATCGACACACGGTGCGCGTATGTCTTGAACAGAATGCAAGGCGAAGGAATGTGTTTTCCTCCGAATGGTTCGCGACGGTGTGGCTACTCGACCCCACCCAGCGTGAATCGACGAGCTTAGGCCACTGGAAACATGGGAGTTTCATTTGGTCGAAGCCAGATTTGTCGACTCCGAATTCCTGAAAAAGGGATCATCCAGACACAGGCGAACCCGACTTGGATAGCCAGTACAGGATCGGCTTCTACTGTTCGGTACAGCGGCAAGGGGTGCTTGTTCGATGGACCTCGCGGAAGTTGAAGCACGAATCAAACGGCCTCGACAGCCTCCTATGATCGACGCAGGAGTGCCAGATCAGGCTTGGGAGATTCTTGCCCTTGGATGAAGGATAGACCACCTATAGGAAGCCTGGCCACGTTCATACGCTCAGCGGGCGGCAAAAGCCGGAAGTCTAGAAATGAAAGTCTTGTACGCTGGAAGGGGGGATTGACTGGTTCCAGACCACAGATTTCGGCGAGCTGCACAGATGAAAGAGGATCCCGATTCGCCCATCGTTACTCCCCGAAGGTCAAGATTCAGAAGGCTGGTCATGCGCATTCAAGACCTGTTCGCGATAGCCTTGCATGATGCTTGATACCAAGGTAAACGATTCACGATAAGGTAACACCGGGTCGCTATCGATTGCACTATCACTTAAAGTGCTTGCATGCCAGAGACCACCTTGCAGGATGTCAAGTCTGTCAACATGGGGACGTATGCAGCTACCTTGAGCGAGACGAGGTAGAGTGCTACAAGTGAACATCCCTGTCTCTCAACTGACAGGTGCATTCCAAAGTGGAGTCGGCCTCAAATGCGAACCCGTCAATGAGCCGCGAACATCTGGGCAGCATGCCACTTCGACAAAAAGAGAAATTCGGTTCTTTTGTTGGGGATTGGTGCCCATGATCTAGTTGAGCCATGCCCAGCATTTGCAGTCAAACCTGCATTATGAGACCATGGGCTTAGGCCCGGCTTTGGAATGACCAGGATGACTTTGGGACGGCTTTCTTTTGTCTTTTCCATTCAGCCAATAGTGACACCAACCCGGGGTTGTGCAAGGGATGACGGCGCGGTGGGGATGCGGCACACCCAAATGCTCCCGGGCTTGGTCAAGTCGGTATGTGCCCAACTGCCACAACGCCAAACTGGGTCGAGATGAGCGACCGTGGCATGAATGCCAAGATGCTGGCGACGCAGACGCTCTGACCATGCTGCAGGAACCCAGCGAGACAGCCAGTGCAGACCAAAAACTGGCGTCCCCGCCTCCAGGATCCAGATTGGCATGTTGCGCCGTCAGCATAATATCATTGGTGAGCACTTCTCAGACACGACCTAGACATTTACTAGACGCTGAATGTCGTGCATACTGACATCACCGTACCCTAGGATGTTCCTTGAGTCTCGCGGTTTACCGAGTCCCTGTGGCTGACATCGCTAGCACCCACAGTCGAGGTTGGAATGAGATGTGTTCAGTATCTCTGCATCCTGACCTGTGCATCGCATTGCATTGCATTTCCCGTCTACGGATCATCTTTTGGCAGAAGATCTATGCGAACTGCCTGCGAACCATCTTGCCAGATCCAGTCTGGGGACTTCGTTGACAGACTATGCCTCCACACAGCCTTTACAGCGAGTTTTCCTTGAGAAGCAACGCCGACAACCTCCACAAGTAGGGCCCACCACCTTTCCAGCCCCGTTCGCCTGCATTCATAATGGTGTATTGCTCGGCGCTACAGCTCCAGCACGATTCGGCCAGGCACATCTCCCTTTTCAAGGAGCTGATACACCTCTGGCAGGTCCCTGAAAGGTCGCACTTGGACATGCGGTTTGACTTTCCCATTCCGAACAAATTCCACGGCCTCGAGTGTTTCTTTCAAGGATCCTACTAGATTCCCTTGGATCTTGAGTCCTCGGATGACGATGGTAGCCACCGGGGTGTCGAGACGCACGTCCCCAGGAGGTATCCCCACCGTGCATAAAGACCCACCAATCCTAATCATATCAGCCAGCCCTCTGAAGGCAAGAGGGTGGCCGCTTGTGACGACAACGGCATGTGAACCCCCGCCAGTAATGTTCACGATCTCCTCTGGAAGGTCCTTGCACCTTGAGAAGTCGACATACCTGGCCCCGAGAGACTCCACAAATTGCTGCTTCTCGGTCCCTGCATCGACCCCGACCACTCTTGCACCTAGAGCAAGGCCGTATTGCACTGTTGAGCTCTGTCAGCCGACTCTCGCTGCAGGCGACGAGCAAGCGATGGCCGTACCTGCGAAGTGGCCTAACCCGCCACCTGCTCCGATGACTGTGAGCCATTCTCCTTGTTTCAAATTTGCGTTTTTGACAGCCTCATATAATCAGCACCTCTTATGTTCTATTGGAAACGGGTGGGAATCACCTTGTATGCGGTCACCCCAGCACAGAGAGCAGGTCCAGCGACCTTTGGATCAATGTCTTGAGGCAACTCGGTCAAATACTTGGTGTCGAGCACACAGTATTGCTGGAAGCTGCCATCTTCATGGTGCAAATGATTTGTTGCGCTGGTGCAGTGCTGGTCGCGGCCAGAAGTACAGTACTCACATTGGTGGCATACTCGCGAAGCAAAGCGGATGCCCACGAGAGTGCCTAGCTGGAGTCTCTCATTCGGAGACAAGTTGGGACCGAATGCGACAACTCGCCCGACTCCTTCGTGTCCGCCTACATGAGGCAGTTTAATGTTCGTAATAGGGAGACCATCGGCGCCAGTAGCAGTTCCAGCTTTGGTATGGAGATCTGTGCGAATCAGAACAAACCCCTAAGCTTATCAAACACCGAACGAAAAGGTTTGCTTGACCAACCACTTTGGCAGACACCAGTGTACAAGACCTTCACCAAGATCTCGTCTTCCCCGGGCAGACTGACTGGGTAACCGTCATCGAATTCGACAGGGCCGCCTTGCCTCCGGACTATTGCAGCCGTCTGGGTCTTGGGAATACTGTTCTCGGCCATTGCGCAGATATGAACAATAATGGATAGGCTTCGCGATGGACTCTACTACTCTCGTCGGCACAAGTCCCTTTTTATTCAACGGAGTAAATCTCTCAGCCACTTTGCTCCCACGAGCGGACGGGCCTTGTAATCGGCGAGCACAGATGGCGACAAGTTACACAACACTTTAGGCGGCAATCCCACACACCAGGAGTGGCGTCACAGAACAACAAAGGTCGGACAAAGTGCCTTTCCAGGCCAAAGCCGTCCAAACAGATGAGCTGGTCTTTTGCGGGATGCCCGCCATCCTCTGATTCACTGACTCCCTGGGTACCTGGTCCCGTGCTCTGCTCTGGTAGCTCTGCATAATGCAAACCCCGCATCTGGCTAATTGCGAGAGTCAATCTTTGACTAACAACGCATCCTTGGGGGCCCCCAAGGCCTTCGTGACAGCTGCCATCGGTTACTTGACTGAACTCAGGGGGGCTGAATATAAGGTTTCTGTCAAAGTTCGACTATCTCTTTGCAAGGGCTTTGACAGACTTCGGCTGGCCAGTCAAGCGACGACCGAAAAGAAATCCAGGATGAGAAAGCTGTCAATAGGAGTGGAACACTGGCATTTGAAACGGGCTCCAGGCTCTGGCTGAGGGCAGTATTTTTCTCTTGCCGGATTGATCTTAACTCGATCCTAGGGTGGGAAAAAACCCAAGGGCTCCCCTTTCGGCGACTTGATGGCCCGGATTCATAGCGAGAGGGAATGAAACAGGGACCAGTGGCAGTGAAAACTGACATATGCAAGCACTTTGTGTCGCTGATCTTGAACGTGGGGTTAAAGGATTGTGCCCCATGCCCCAAGGGCGATCAACTATCCCACGACGAAGATTGGGGTCTTCCTCGATAGATCCGCCGGATGTCTGTCAAGTGTGGTAGTACAGGGTACAGAGGTGGAAGGCAGGATTTTGATCAGCGGGGAATGTGTGGCAGGGATGCCTCGCCTCGCTCGATACCCCGGAGTCACGTGCGACGCACTGGGCGAGTTGGTAGATCCCCTATGACGTCTATCAAACAATAGTCCAGTCCACCAACATGCTGCCTGCGCTTTCTCTGCCAGCCACTGCTGCGCGGTCGAGTTTTTGCTATTTTCTGCCTTGTATCGACAATGGACAGGAGGGGGACTCAATGACCCGAACTCCACAACTCCTCCTCTTCTCATCTGATCTAACATCGCCCTCAATGGCATCCTCGTACAATCCGGCCTGCTATTTGCCTTACTCATGGGCGTCCTACCTCCCCGATGCTATTTCTTGCCCTCCTCCTCCTTCCTTGGCCCAAACTCTCTACAGCTATGCGATCTCGCCCTTCTTGTCGACATACACCGCTTTACGCACCATGACGGACGCACTCATTGGACTGCCAATGCTCTCTTTCCTCCTGATACCGACCATGTCCTCCTACTCGACATCCCTCAATCTCTTGTTCTTCTACTTGACCTGGTCGACTCTGGTCCTCTCACACCCTCCGCTTCGAGTTGAGGTGGTCGCCTCTCTGGCGGTTAGGGTTTTATTCTACATCGCCCCTTCACTGTTCTTCTTGGGGTTTGACGCGCTCATTCCCTCTGTGGCCGAAACCCTCAAAGCATCGGGCGACTCCGCATTGCCGTTCAAGAACGCCAATCGAAAAAGGACACTAGCTATGTTGCGCATACTGGGCTGGTCGACCTTCAACATTCTCCTGGGGGTTCTGGTTCAAGCCCTTGTGGAGCTCCTCTTTACACGCGTCCTCTTATGGCGCTCTGCATTGCGCGTGACGACAACCCTGCCTTTGCCATGGGGTATTCTCAAGGACCTCGCACGGGGATATCTCCTCCGCGAAATCATTGCGTACGTCCTGCACAGATATATCCTGCACGACTGGCATCATACGGTTTCCCTGAGCAGGGCACATCGAGACTGGTACCACGCCCTCGCCAACATCTCCGCGCCTTTTCCCCTCAGCGCTAGTTACGACCATCCGGTCGCCTATCTCGTCCGCTCCTTCTTGCCGACTTACGTCCCTGCGGTGCTGTTCCGATTTCACCTCCTGACCTACATACTCTACCTTACTCTTATTTCGCTGGAAGAAACATTTGCACACAGTGGGTACTCCACAATGCCCACCAATTTCATACTGGGAGGAATAGCACGTCGGACCGACAATCACTTACTATGCGGCGGAGAGGGGAACTTTGGGCCGTGGGGGCTGTGCGATTTGGTTATGGGCACGTCTGTCGGGGCGGACATTGTTGACGATGTGGTCGCCGAAGCGGATAAGCATGATGTGCCGGAAAGGATGGCGAAGATGAAGAATAGGGCGAAGAAGGTCAACGGAAAGGTCAACGATACGAAAGGAGGTGTGCGGAGGAGGACGAGGAATCGAAGCGAGGATTGAAGAGAACGTCTGTGACCATCTACGAGAGATTAGATGTGTCACCATATCGCGGTAGAATGTTGGCGATTTGTTGCCGTTCGATATAGTGAGAGGAACTGATCTGTTAGCAAGCGCTTTCAATTGAACAAGTGGAGGACTCTCGGGACCCTAGCATGTAGCGGCTCATCTTGGTTTTGGGCCAATTTCATTACTTGCATTCGATGCTTGACACATTTCCCTGTATTTGGTCTCTTGGTCCTGATAATGAAACGTACATTATCGGCCACGATTGCATGAAAGCTCCGTCTCTGTTTTTATTGATCGGCAAGTTCATGCCATTGCTCAAACCGGCCCCGTCCCACTTTGTCACAGCATGGTTCGGTCTTTTTTGGTTCTTGCTTCGTGTGGGAAAAGGGTAGTAGAGTGCTGCTTGGAAAAATCTCCCCCTGGACGTTGTGGTGCAAGCAATGCACACCTCATAGCGCCCCCGCCCGGCTCTCAGTTTTCTATCTCAGCTCCTCTCTGTTGGATCTTTCTGCCGCCGCTCCCAAGCAACGCACGCACGCACACTCCTTGCGTCCCAACACCCCCCCATACATACATACATGCATGACCACTTTCGGCTCCCCCTGCTCTGCTCTCAAGTCGAATGACTGGCTGGCGGCTTGCGCTGCGCCTAGGGCTCAGCCCAGTCTAAAAAGCCATCTCGTGGGGCTTCTGGCCGTGTCTCAGGCTGAAGCTGGACTTCAAGTAGCTGGCGAGGAACTCTTCGTTCTTGATTGCGGAAAGTATGGGCTTGTCGATGGTCTTCTGGTCGGCTGCGCGTTCGGAGGCGGGTGCCTTCTTCTGCAAAAGGAGAAACGTCTCAGTTAGTCTCTTGAGCACTGCCAATGTAAAATGGAAATGACTACGGGCTGTTGCTGGTTCCTTACCTCGGGCTTCTCCCCCTGCTTCAGAAACGCCTCCTCGCCCTTCTGCTTTCTGCTCTTCTTCTCCCGTGCAAAGTACTCTGGGCTGGCAATCTTGTCCAGTGTCGACTGGTCAAGGCCACTGAGGTCGACCTTTGTGGATGTGGCAATGACGTATCTGGAGTTCACTCGTCGGAGAGGCACCCCATTGATCTTGAAGGGGCCGGTGACGAGGAGCGCGCCTTCCTTGAGGTTCTTGAGCAGGATGACTCGCTTGCCGCGGAATCGACCGGCCAGGAGGATCAGGACGGCACCGGGTTGTAGCGAGGCTCGAGGTTTGGCTGGGTGAAGCGACTTGCGGGCCTAGGATTGTTTGGTGCACCGGTCAGTCGACGGGGTTCTCTAGGGGTCTTCCGATATTTTTCATTGACTTACCTTTTTGCGTTGAGGCTCGTCGTAGGCGGGATACCACTTCCTGGCTTTCTGAGAGGGATGGGGCACAGATCGCTCGCCCGACCCGAACTTCTTGACGACGGCTGGTTTGGCCTCCGTAGAAGACATTTTGACCTTCAACCTTGACCACGCGGGCTGGAGATGCGAGAATGAGTTTCGTGGTGTTGGTCGCCGGATTGTGTGGTGGGAGAGTCGATATCCAAGCGCAGAATCGGGAAAGTGTGCGATTTCATTTCTTGGCGTGGGCACATGCAGGTTCCGATCTTGGGTGCAATGGAAATTCGCCATTGGGGGGAAGTGCATCACGTGACTGACTTGGTGACTGCAGCCAAGAGCTTTTTGTTCCCGCAGTTCGCATGGTCCAACCTACTGCACAGTAGGTACATAGGCTCCGCCTCGTACGACCAGGCTTCATATGCTGTCGTCCTCTATCCAAACGGTCATGCTAATACAACCACCTCTCGAGTCTCAAGGCCGAAGTGTGTAAAGGCATTTTAAAGCTTTGGCACTGAATTCAACCCGTCAAATTCTTCAATATTGCATCGTCTGCGCAACTGAAGCTTCCCGCATTCCCTTTCGTTTCGTCATCCTCATACAATGTCTATTTCTCCTATCCTCACGTTCAAGGCAGGGCTCTGTGAGCTTGACGTAAGCGTTGAGGCTTCCCATGACTCCCTTTTCCAGTCTGCTAACTGCTATCTTTTTCCAGACGAGCACCTCACCTCCACGGGCTAAACCTCTTCCCACTCCTGGATACCTCTACCTCTACACAGAAGAACTCCTCCACTTATGCTGGCGACCGAGAACCGCTCCGTTGGACCAACCGCAACTGGACTTGCTGATGCTTCCAACGGACGGGTCGTTCACTCCCTATCAACCTACCAGCGCAGAAAACCCATCCAATCCGAAGACGCCCACGAACGGAAGAATCTACGTTCTCAAGTTCAGCTCCAGTTCGCAAAGATACCTTTTCTGGTTGCAATCCCGCAGTCAGCATCCACAGGGCGACCCATCATGGTTCTCCGCTCGAGATTTGAAACTAGGCCAAATCGTGAACAACCTTCTCCAGGGCGAAGAAGTCGATGTCCAAGAACAAATGGCCAGTTTGCCCCAGGATCAAAATTCCCCAGACGACGAAGGGCCGGAGCCGATGGAGGAGGTGGAAGGGACGGATCATGACCCTAATCGTCGCCCTTCAGGTGGCCCAGGAGCGGGACCTGATGCCACAGGCGGGGATTTTCGCGAAGAAGGTGAAGAGTCTCGCGAGGGCGGGGCAGACGGCGGACGAGCGTAGGTACCTGCACCGTCGTGCGTTTCCCCTTCTGTTGCCAAGTCAGCTATCTGACTTCCCACATCAGGTCGGCCGCGGGTGGGTTAGATGCGAGTGCCTTGGTTCGGAGTTTTCTTCAATCCATGGAACAACGCAGCCAACGACAAGGACCCCAAGAAAAGCTATTCACGACCCTCGCAGACCTGCTAACACCGGCATCAACAATACCATTGCTCGAGTCCGCCGACGACAAATTATTGAACCGGCTGTTTGATTGCCTCCCTCATCAATTGCCGGATTTAGTGCAGGCTTCGGTTGACACGTCAGCCTTGACAAATCCGAACTCGACTCCTGAGGAGAAGGATGCTGTGGGAGAGGCATTGACCGAAGCTAAAAAGACCATGTTGCGGAAAGTTTTGCACTCGCCACAGTTCTCGCAAAGTCTGGCCAGTCTGACGGTTGCACTGAGAGAAGGTGGTCTTCCGATAATTAGTGAGACTTTCAAGATCCCGGTACGTAACGGTGGATATCTCAGACATGGCGGAGTACCCATGGGCGGTGGCGAGGCTGTGGAGGCTTTCATGGCGGGAGTGAAACAGGACGTCGAAGACAGATTGGCGAGAGGAGATGAGGATCTGGCAGCGGACCGGATGGATGAGGACTAAGTGTCTGCGCGTCTATCCTCCATCGAGCCAGAATAGTCCACCTCTGTCCTTAAGCTGAGATGGTTGTCAGATATGACCCGTCAGAGGGTTCGCCTTTGTTGCCGTTCCTAACCAATCGGACCAAAGGCCCTCCATCTCCATAGCTTCAAGATTCCCCAATATACAACTATCTTAACAAACTCCTCTGACCTGCAGCCTGTGGAAGGGCAGCACCACCAAAAGATGAGTGAAGAAACTTTACCAAACCTTAATGTCCCAATTTCCTGTCCGTTTACAATCTATGAGATTGAATCCAGCTGGCCGACAAACTCGACCACGTATTTGATCCGCGAGCACGATAAGTACGGAGAGTTCCCGCACATCTATGCGAAGATCTGCAGTGTTCCCCTCGCGTCTGCTACAGCGAATAGTCCTAGTCTGAAGCACAGCAAAGGCTGTCGGGGAGATGGAAATGCGATTTCGAACGAGTTGGAAGGATGCAAAGTCATCGTCCTCAGCGACACGGGCTGCGGGACAGAGGTGTCCAGTTCCAATTCCCACCAAGTTCCTCCACCACAGGACAACGGCGAGCAGAAACGATCCGATGTGCGTGCTGAGCCTGATGTCTGGAACATTCGCACGTTTCTCGAGTACACGATCAACCCCGGCGGCAGGATACCCTACCTCGTCATGACCACGCATTGTCATTACGATCATATCATGGGCATTGGGAAACTGCCTCCCACGTCGACGACGGCAACAGGGCGCGAGGATCGAAAGGATCATGTCTCCAGGAATGTCCTGTCTGATGGATGTGCGCACCCTCCAACGACGGTCCTATCGTCCTCTTACGGCAAATCGTTCGTCACGCCATACTCCAATCTCCAGAGCCATAGCCTCTGCGACAAACTCAACCTCCAGGCGCCACGATACGACGTGGGAATATGGGCCAAGGACATGTCCCGCGTCGTCTTAGCGCATCCAACTCTCTCATCCTCGTCCCCCACAGCAGCTACCTCTTCGCCGTCACCGCCCGCCAGCATAGTAACGCCTTTGACCATCCTTCATACCCCCGGCCACACGCCGGACTCTCTCTCATGGTACGACTCAGACCTCCGCCTTTTATGTGTCGGGGACAGTTTCTACGTGAAAGAGACCGCGGCCACTCGGAATGCAAAGTGGGGTCCAGAACCGCCCATGCCGGTCATATTTGATTTGGAGAGCGATTTGGCCCAGTGGTGGAAGAGTCTAATGAAGGTGTTGGACTTTGTCCGGGAGAGGAATGCAGAGGGTGAGAAGGAGGAGGGCTGGGGGAATGAGAGATTGAGAGTGGAAACGAGAGAGGATGCAGATGCAGATGCAGATGCTGCTGCTGCTGCTGCTGCTGCTGCTGCTGCTGCTGGTGACGATGACGATGATGGGTTTGTATACATCGATGCCGAAGACGTGCCGTCCACGCCGTCGAAGAAAGAAGCGGGATTGGAAACAAGGCGTACCATCCCCCAACCTCGTCCTGAGGATGAGCTGCAAGCGGCCCCCAATGCGAAGACAACACCCGAGAAAACAGTCCTAGGAAGACAAGCAAAGTCACCACCACCGACTCAACAAACGGGCTTCGACATCCCGTCACCCAGTCAACGCGGCGTCATCGCCTTACCGATCCTTTCCACCCCGAGGGGCCGTCTCCCGGACAGTGCAGAGCAGACCGACGACGTGTGGATGATGGTCGTCGATCCAGTAGTTTCTCGACCCCGTCCTCAAGTTCCTCAACGCAACGGCCCCGACCAGTGTTCGGCCCGATTTCGTCTCGAGCCCGTGATAGCGCCACCGCAACGTGTTGCTCGCCCGCGTCCTCTGCCGAAGACGATAGTGACCAAGGATACGAATCCACCTCGTCGTCTTCGCCTCTCTTTCCAAGCCGGCGCGGGAAGGCGTCCCCGAGTGCGCCTTTGCGCCGCGCACACGACCCTCTCCGTGGACGCCGAGTGGGCCATCCTCTGCATGCGGCGCTTCATGACCAGGGTCCTCGAGGGCGACGTGCCCTGCAGACGGGCCGAGGACGGGCCCCGCGGCGAAGAGCGCTGGATCTGGGACGACGCGCTGTCGTCTTCTCGCTCGGATGCAGCCTCCTCGTCGCGCGAGCGAAGCGCCCTCACGACGGCGGAAACGAGGCGTGATGCCGTCCGCGTGGCTCTCCAGGACGTCGAGCGCGCAGACCCAGACACCAACCATGGACAAGGACACGGGCATGAGCATGAGCGGAATGCAACCTCGCCGTCTTCTCCGACCAAGTACAGGCGCAACTCCAATTCCAATTACAGCTACAGCGTCCTCGCGCCGCTGAGCGTCATTGAGGAAGCGCGCAGAAGCATTCTCAGGGGTCCTGCCGGGGTGGTCTAGTGTACTGGGTATGCGGTGTGGTGTAGTGCGGTGGCAGCGTAGACTGTAGTGTAGTCACTATACATCATAGCCGTGGTGAAAATCATATATACTCTCTCTCTCTCTCTCTCTTAACTATCCACATAGTCCGTAGAAACTCCGCACAGATAGAATATCCGTCTATGGCTGGCTAGACACACCGCCTGTACGGTCTAGGTAGCAGAGACGAACAAACGCACTTTTCAGATACCAAGTCGTTGATGTATCTCTCTGTCCGGAGAGAGCACTCTGGGCTTGAATGCTAGGTATCCAAGACGGCTATGTAGCTACATTCCACGCCCCATTGGGATTGATTGCATAGTTTGCACAATTTTGCATACAGGCATACCCATATTGGAACAGCACAGAACAGAACAGGAGAGAAGCGGAACGATCAGGTAGAGAGCCAAGTAGAGCTTCATCAATCAATCAATCGATCAATCAATCGCTCAATCGCTCTCGTCGTCGGTCCCAATCTCGACGTTCCCGTCGGGCAGCAGGCCTACCCGCCCTCCCGAGCGACCGTTCCCTAGTCTCGAGTCGTAGATATCGTCGTCATCGTCGGCGTCGTGATGAGCAGCTTCATCGTCCTCATCGTCCTGTTCTTCGTCTTCGTCGTCCTCTCCGTCATCATCATCATCATCTTCGTCGTCATCTTCCACTTCATCTTCGTCCTGCTCAACATCGTCCTCTGCACCGGTGTCGCCTTCCTCGAGATCTGCTTCTCTGTCTTTATCTACCACCTGTTCCTCTCCTTCCCCCTGGGTCGCACCATCAGGCTTCGTCTTCCCCTTACCGTTCCGCACGACTACCGAAATCCCGCCATTTTCTTTGCTTTTCCTCTTCCCTTTCGTCTTCTCGGGACGCGCGGCCGGTGGTTCACTGGTTGTTGTCCCGTTTAACTGCTGTTCCAGCATCCTCTCCTCTTCGCCCTCTTCTTCGGCGCTCATCCGCCTGATCTTCTTGTTACTTGGCTCGCCCTTGTCTTCGTCCATCTCCCCGTCGTCGCCCTCTGCACCGCCAGACTCCCTAGCTTTAAGTTTCTGCTTATACCCCCTTCTCTTCCGTCCTATAATCTCCTCATAGGCCTCGACCTCCCGCTCCAGCCTTCCGCCGGTCCTGCCATCCTTCCCCACCCCTCCAAGGTCCATCACGTTCCCAAATTCAATCTCCCTCAAGGCGGCCATGACGTCCTGCACGGCTAGTGTTTTCTTATGTCGTAGTTGCGACTGTTCATTCGCGTGGTGGGCGAGGTAGGAGATGAAGACGGTGGCGGAGCGGGTTAAAGCGAGAATGGCGTCTTTTTGTAGGGACGTGTTCGCAGGGAGGACGCCTCGAGAGAGGCGGGATATGAGAGAGCGGGGAAGAAGGAGATCCTGCGTCAACAAAAGACACCGTCAGTCTAGATTCAATGGGTCTGTTTTCCATGACACCCCGGGCGCGGGGTTTGTTGTTCTGGATCTAAGTGTGCTCTCGCGCAAGACGAGCTAGAGTGCGAAGCCAGGGCCGAACGTACATCAATTCCCACGCCATCATCATGCCTTCCTCCTGATTGCCTTGACGATTTCGGATGTGCGTGCTGTATAGAAGACGAAGCCGTGGCGTTCGTTGCATTGGACAATATGGAGACGTCGCCGTTAGCCTCTGGTGCGGAAGCAGTCGAGGCACCGCTTTTTCGTGGCGGCATATCTGGGGCCCGACAGGTAGATACGTTGGACGTGGCGAAAAGGCGCAAGAATTACTGCCGTCAAGAGGACGGACAACAACAAGGCGCAGCAGAGAAGAAACTGCCGTGACCCTCCCTTCCTAGTACGGGAAGAATGTGAGGCTGGTGAGGCGTGTTGTTTCGAGGCGGGCGTAGTGCGCTCAATGCAGGCTCTGGTCCGTGCGGTTGCGCTTCAGGGACTGGCGGGCAGTCTGTTCAATCCGGCCTCAATTGAGGGAACCTGGTTCCCGGCAGATGGAATTTGTCGACCGGGGGCCCTCAACCTCTTCAATCCGTTTTGACCAATTCCCTCTAGGTGTCTTGGGATACGTGGATGAGGGGTGGGCGTAGGAGCAAGTACGCGGTAGCAAGGACAAAGTCCTGGAAAGAAGAGCGACCACGATACCTCCAATTTAGAAGAGGAAATGTTCCCAAATGATGGCGTGTCTCCACTACCTGTTATGGACGGGGGACGTTCGTGCAAAGGAACGGCGTAAATATTGCAATGTCGAGACTTGAAAAAGTCCACACTCAAGCGGAAAAAGGGTGTTTGAGACAGACGCGGTCAAATGGCTCAGAACGCGACCCGCGCAAAAGACCCAGAATCAATGTTGCGGGCGAGAGGGAATCTCGCGCCTAGGGGACCTACTAGCCTAGTAGCCTCAGCTCGGCCTACCAGCCTAGGCCACCAGCCCCTCGGGTTGCCAGCCTTGCGATCCTCACAGCATATCATCATGTCCTTCCGATGCAAAACGCCATAAAACACCGCATGCGTTCATCAGATTCATGATTCTATCTGCATAGCATCAGCTCCCTTCCCATGCTCAGTATCGTTTCCCCAAAGGCCCTCTAACTTGAACTCCGCCGCCCACTCTGTGACAATCTGCTTTCGATCGACGCCAGTGGGCATCTCCCTGCTGCTGTCTGCGCCCTGGCCCTCGACCATCTCCTCATCGTCGGCGACTTTCAGCACCGGTGGTTCCACCCAACCCTGTATCCTACCGTCTCTCCAATCTGTGATCACCGTCATCGCCGCCGAGTTCAAGTTGGGCACCCCGCCTTTGCCCAACCTGCCTCGTTTCCTTGCGACTTGAATCAGAAAATCTGTTGTTTCGTCTCCCCGCGCAAAGGGCCCTAGTGCCACGATCCCATAACATTTCAGCAGTTTCTCGTACAGGACCTCGGACGTGGAAAGTCTCTCAAGCAGAAGATTCACCGCCGGAATAGGATCCGAAATCTGACTCGGCGGCAGCGCATTCAGAAGAATTAGCCGCGCCTCATGCTCTGCTTTTCTTCGCTGTCTGTCCTCTTTCCCTTCTCCGTCCACCGTCCAAGGAAACACGATTCCTGGAGAATCGAGGATTTTCAGTTTGCCGTCGATCTTTACTTCTCTCAAGCTTGTCGTGACACCGGCCTCGGAGCCAACGGGGCACGCGAAGCTTTGGACACCCTTATTCAGCCGTGAGGTTAAGGCGTTTATGACGGACGACTTGCCCACGTTCGGGTATCCTATCACTCCAACGGAGATGGATCGTTTGAGTTGTTTGGAAGCGGCGTAGGATTTTAGCGAACGGAGCAGCGTTTCAGAGGTAGCTTTCAATGTGAGTTGCTTGTGGTCGAAGGTCTGAGCGTTGGATGCCGGAGTCGATGCTCTGAGTGGTATCGTGGGGAAATATCGCCGTAAATGGGTCAGCCAGCCTTTCAAGACGGACGGAGGAATCAGATCAATCTTGTTCAACACGAGGATCAGTCGTTTCGAACCGCCCTCTGAAGCCACAACCTCTCGTTCGACTTCCCTGGATCTCGTGCCTTCGGGATCTCTCGCGTCCAGGACGTAGAGTATCACATCCGCAGCGTCAAGGACTTGTTTGAAGATTTTGTCGAATGCTCTCCGTGATGAGTCCGGGTTTCGGTGGTCCGAGGCGATGGTCTCCGAGATCTGAATTCCCTCCGAGACGGCTTCATCCTCTGCAGGGGGTCCGATGTCGCCTGCTAGTACGCCGCCGTCGTACTCAGCAGCTCTCGCTTGCGCTGACGCCACCAGAGCTGCTAGAGGGTTTGCACTGTCATTGGCGTTATCGTCGTCCTCATCATCCATATCATCGTCAAGGAGCTCGTCCTCTTCTTCCATTAGATCATCCTCGTCCTCACCTTCAGTGGCTTCTCTCGTGGACGCATCTTTTCCGCCTCTCTTCTTCTCCTTTGCCGCGTCTCTGAACCTCTGCGCCTGCTCTGCTTTTTGCCGTTTCTTCTCTTCAAGCTCTTCAAGAATCTTCTCTTTGTACGGAAACAGGTTCGGGATGCCGGGATCCTTCTTTAGCCGTGACTTCCATTGGGGATTCTGTTGATCCAAGGTTAGCAAACGCAGATGGGAACATTGGAGGCACCAGCGGACCTTTTTTGCTTCTTTCTTTAATTTTCTCTGTTTCGCCGCACTGGCTTTTTCGATTTTGTGCCGCAGCCGCACAGGCGTGCGTTTTGATCTGGAAACTGAATGAGGTCAGCTAAAGGAAATTCGCAGACCGAGGTTGACTTACATGACTTGACCATCGTTAGGGAAGATGTTCACATGAAAACTTTTACGACTGACGAGCTGGGGAACTTGGGCCCATGAATCCGATGTGGAAAAAAGTTACAGGCCGCAGACCACGCCAAGATTCTCCCCGGTCCATCATCAGCCCGACACCGAACATGACGGTTAGGCGCCTATTGTCATCAACGAGGATATGACTCGGGCGAGTAACGTGGGTTGAAAACCCTCACCGCCCTGGTTGGTCGGGATGAACCCCAATGAAGCAATGCTGCCGATATAGCAGAAACGCTGAGAACCCCATTGCCCCATCTCACACTACTTGTAGGGTTTTCTCAGGATATATATATATAGAGGGACGTAACATGTGCACGCGTAGAAGAATATAGATATAGATTTCCCCATCATCCATTTCTGCCAACTATCTCTCGTTCATTTTCCTTGTATACACGGTTTCGGTCAGAATCGACCTTTGCGATGGGCTCAGTTGAACAACTCAACTTTTCCGCGCCACCCGAGATCGCCTCGGCCAGAGGTCTCCTTCTAGACTTTGACGGTAGGCACGTGTTACTAGAATCGCAAGGGATTGCAGCTCACCAAATTGACAGGAACAATCATCGACAGCACAGCGGCCATTATCAAGCACTGGCACAAGCAAGGCGAAATCATGGGCGTTGATCCCAACGTTATCCTCGCCAGCTCACATGGAAGGAGAAGCATCGATGTAATCAAGATGTACGACCCGTCTAAAGCGAATTGGGACTGTAAGCACCATCTCTTGGGACCTTAACACTATACCAGCGATTTCCTTCAATTTTGGTAACTGCAAACTAACGATTTGAACCCAGACATAATCCATCAAGAGAGCCTCATCCCAAAAGAATTCGGCCAGGATGCGGAGGAGATCCCTGGGGCCCGCAAACTTCTGACAACCCTTGACGACGCCAACGTGCCCTGGGCGGTAGTCACTTCGGGTACGAGAGGCCTCGTGACCGGCTGGATCGAGGTTCTGAAGCTCGCGCACCCGCGCACAATCGTTGTGGCAGAGGATGTCGAGAACGGCAAACCGGATCCCACTTGTTATTTGCTTGGCCGAAGGCGCCTGAGACTCCCCGAAACTGCCGAAATGATCGTCTTCGAAGACGCTCCAGCAGGAGTCTGTGCGGGAAAAGCGGCTGGATTCAAAGTCATAGCACTGTCCACTACCCACACCGTTGGACAGTTGAAAGAAGCTGGAGCTGATTGGATCGTGGAAGATCTGAGAAGTGTGAAACTGAAGAACTTCAAAGACGGGGTGATACAGGTCGAGATCATCAATGGGCTCGTCGAGGCCTCTTGACGAGTCAACTGCATTCCCATTGCCGCTCCAGTTGCTGCGAGAATGAGTATGGAGGAAAGTTTTTCTTTTCTTTTCCCAGCGCGGCGTTTGGAGTTCCGGCATCTGGAGCTGGTGGTATAGAGAGCTCAGATACAGGTTTGTAAAATAGAGAATAGAGAACAGACAGCAGACAGAGTGACTCGGTGGTTATATCAGCCAACGAAGCTTGCTTTAGACTTGCTCAAGCGCGACTCTGACCTTGACCCGGATCATTCGAACAGAGACCAAGTCACGCTCTGTCAGAATTCCGGCACCTAGGTACAAATGCTGTTCATGAAAGGGATACCGACCCGTTCATTCGGGTGATGGCTTGTGCATCTGTCCAAGAACATTGCGCAGCACCAACATTGGAAGATATCCATGACTGTTCCCATTAGACAACCAGTGCATCCGAAGTAAGGGTTTCGTAGGCCAGAGTACCCCATCTGATGCCCAAGTCAAATCCAGATCATTGCAGGTATTACGGCGCAGTCAATGCAGCTGTGGGACCGAACAGCCACGCGTAGACTCCAACAGCGAGTCCAATACATGTTTGGAATAGTCGCCGACCTCTGTCCACACGTACCTGTCAATAAGACCAGCTGCTCTTTTTCTCTTACGGAACAATCTGCGGTGAGGTGTGGTGGTGTAGCGGCCAACAGACAAACCTGTCACGACAAAGCTTCTCGCGAAACCTAGCCGAGTCTGTGAACTACAACATGAGTCTAGCCTAGTCAACGGATGCCATCGCCGCAGACCCCCGAAGTCGAGAATGGGTGACCAGTTGTGCTCGTGAGGATATTATCAACGCAACATGACAAGTTTGGTGCAGTCTACATCTCGACGTTGCTGGTCTTCTCATCCTGCTCATTTCATTGGCCACCACAAGGTACAGGCCGTCCACGAGTGCTGCAGGGTAGAAAAGCCATTCCATGATGTTCAGCGTTTAGCGTTCGGATGGCCACAGCAGTCAGCAAGACACATCGTGAGAGAGGAGTGCGCCGCATCGAAGCAAAAGCGTATGGGTCGGAAAGGTGGCACAAGCAGAATCCTGAAGAGGAGAAAGGGCCCGGCCATGGCTATTACGGTCCGGAAGCCTGGGTCTGGAGTTGACATTGCCCTTATACTGTGCCACCACGGAGCCGGGCATTTGTGCGTCGAGGACTCGGTAGTATCGTGCAGCTGACTTGGCGCTCAGAGCAGAATTGTTCAGTGACAGCAAGATTACACAACTGGAAATGCCGAAACTTCGTGATCGATGATTCCACCACCGTGGAAGGACATTTTCCATATCCAGCGTGATACTCTTCCGATATCTCGAAGGGCCAAGAGAACTATTTTTGTACTTGTGCCCCGGGTCGACAAGCAATCAGCATTGAAAGCGAGCATGCAAGTTGAAGGAAGTCGTCGTTGCCGGTCGGCGACAGAGAGGGAAAGGCCATAGAGCCATGTTTTCAGGAGGCACGCCCCAGTATGGCGTCGATGTGCAACGTGGAAAGCGGATTGGCTCTGGCGAGGGTGGGAGGAAAATTAAACAAAGTCGGGGCGATACCCTTAGGGCCGGGAAGACCTGAACGCAAAGAGAATGAGGCTCGGTTAATGGCCTAAAGCCCGACTGGCAACCTTGTTACTGTATGTAGGGCTCACGAAGCGAGAAGCCCGGAGGATTTCTTGATGAGCGCGGAGAATATGTAACTGATACTTATCGGTCGCCTAAATTAGCCTCGGAGACAACATTGTCTAGGAAAGTCTTGACAGAGAGCGGAAGGGGCTTGGGCTACCGAGATCAAAAGGGAGTCTCGCATGTACATAGTATCACAGGCGAGGTTGGCAAGGAAGGAAGGACTTCGGAATGAAGCGGTGGAAGCTCTAAGTACCCAATACTGGGTAAGGCTGCCGGATTCTTTCTGGTGAGTTGGGCGTCCGTGGACGAAGCACTAGGCTGAGGGTAAGACTAGCCCAGTTGCAGCGATGCGAGATTGCTGTCTTTGATTTTGTGCTCCCGGTGGTCGAGTTCCAAGACCCAGGTTCCTTGCATATGTCAGCATGTCGCCAAGTGGCACCAGGGCTGGCTTTCAAGGCTGAACAGCAGAGCGATACCATTGTGCCGCAATCACGTATCACACGTGCAGGCTTGCAATCAGCAGTCGAGACGATGCCGCAGGAAGGAACCCCCTGCATAAGGTCAATCTCCTCTTACGCCGAGCGAGGGAGTGGTCTGTCTGTCTTGCTCTTGTCGCGCGTCTGGAGGACGATATGTAAGAGGACCAGATGGGTGCATATCTGCCTGAGCGTGTAACGGCAAAGTCTGAGTGGTGCAGTGGGGTGGCTCGTGATGCAAGACGCGTGATAGGAGATGCAGCCAGGGCGGCCACTGAGTGGACGACGGACGGCGGGCCTCGGCTGGTAGGCTCACCTGGGCAGAAGGGTGGATTGGGGCTTTCAGCTGCCCTCCGTTGCTGCAGGATCCTCCGCCACAGCTGCAGGTACAGATTGTGTTGTGCATCTCATTACTGGGTATGGAGTACAGTGATCCAGCTCGAGTCAAGATGGACCAACATGCCAAGCGCTCGGGGAAGGGGGAATCTGTGTATCTTGACCGAGGATCACGATCCATTAGAAGGATGATGGTCAAGGATTTGCGTGTCTACTCTTCCCATTGTGGGATTCATGAAAAGAGGTGCGTGTTCCAAGTACTCATCATCAGGCGTCTCAGAGGGAAATGGGCCAGCTATCGAGCGCAAAGGCCAGCGAAGGTCTTCGAATATACCATGGCGAGGCGCCCGGTGTGCATGCAATCGATATCGCCTGGTCGCATGTTATGGTTCGCTTCATGAGGAGGCACAAGAAAACTGAACGACCCGATGGAGACGGTGGACTCAGGGCACCCAGACTGTGTACCCAGTATCTTCCCCCCCTTCTCTTCGCCAGAGTTCCGAACTCCTGAATAACAGGCGACTGGCACGTCATGCATTGACAGATCTTGTCTCTTGGACGCGTTCGACCCTCGGGCATAGGCGAAAACAAAAGCGAATGGTCAGACGAAATCCGATGACCCTAACCAGACGGCTCTTTGGGGTTTTGTCTTTTGGCAGTGATTTACTCGTACTTACTACTGAGCATGGCCACATCTCATCTCGGCTCATCTCCCTTTGAACGCCTCGTCAACAAGGGTTTCGAGAGGTTTGCGCGTCTCTGACTGGAAGGGTGCCTCCACAACCTTCCTCGTTTCGTGTCTGACTGTGGCACAAGAGGCTCTGTGGGCTGAGACCTGCGCAGAATGGGTTAGATCGGGTGAAAAAAGTTGGCCTGTAAGGGGCCAGGGTGTTCGAGGAGCGAGTTGTGCCTAACTTAAAGGGCCGGCCGGGGTGGAGATGGATCACTTAGCCTGGCCTCAAATTGCTGCCGCACACTGGCTGACTCCAAGCATGGGGATTCCTTGTCGTCGATACCTGGCTCGATACTGTTCCTGCATTGGCGCCGACCTCAACAGACCAGGGATCTGTGTCAACGTTCCCCTTCTTCGGCACGAGGGTGCAACTATCAAAAGTCAGTGCGGGTTGAGGACAGAGCCGAGAAGCAAATCAAAGCGATGGAGAAGGGATTGAGAGGTAGAAGCGCGGAAGTGAGTGACGAGAAGCAAGCTGGTGGACTGACTGCGCACATACCTGTCTAGGTACCCAGTAGTAGTAGAACAGAGGAAGGAGGGGAGAGAAATGGGGGGGTTGCAGTTGGTGCAGTCTGCAGTCGCTTTGTCTGACGTGGTTTCAGTGGCGGGTGAAGTGACTGCCTGACTGGTCCCTTTCTCGAGGGCGCTTCGTTCCGGTACATCTGGCGGGCACTCTGCTTGTACCCAGTAGGTGCTACTTTTACAGGCCCTTCTCTGACCTTCTACTTCCTTTTCCCAGCGCCTATTTTATGCCTCTCCATCAAACCGCACAAGCAGCAACTCTCGAGTATGCCTAACTTTGACGCTGGTAGGGGTTGCCCGCAACCATCATGGCCGAGAGCTAGCCTGGACCTCCACCCACCCATTGGGTTCCGCAGTGGCTGACTGGTTCACTGGCTCGTCTCCGCTTCATGGATCCCCTGGCGCCCCTGTCGGCGCTGTCGTCTAGCCTGACGGCTGCTGGTTCCTCCACTACGATGCTCTGCGGTGGAGAACTGGACTTGTTGGAACTCTTGTTGTCCCTGCAAGAAAGTGAGTCCTGCGCTCTCAGAGATCCCACATCGCGATTGATCAAAAGATCTAGAGCACGCTCTCGATGGTCACAGACACAGGTATTTTGTTTTTTTTTTGGTTTTTTATTCTCCAAAAAGCATTCTTGGGTCTGGTGAAGGGCCATCAACGTCAAGACCTTCTCTTCTATTGCTCCAGCTATTTCTCCGTGTCACTGTGCCATCACCACCTCACTGACCTTCAAAACGCCCCTTCGGCGCCTTGATTCAAATTTTCCCATCTCCCCCGGTCTTGGAACCTCGTCAAAGGGTGCTACATCCTTCCCGCCTGATCCCTCGCGACTGCCGCCTCTAAATCTAAAAATCCCCCGAGCCTGCCCACTTCCCACCTACCTTGCTCCTCTTGGTCTACTTCTATCGAGGTTATCTGTCAACTGCTCCATCGTCTGCTCTTATACCACTACTGCCGGACTGCCTCAGCCCTCCATTGCGTCGCTCCTGTCGACAGCAGCTTTCAACTCGAGCAGCTGCTCACGACATCGTCCTTATTCCTTCCCTCGTATATCCTCACTTATCCGTTCCTTCTCTCTCGCCTGCTGGGGTCGGACCTCACTTCCTTACCGCTCTCTCTCTCACCTTCAGTCGCTCCTTACCTTCTCAGACAGCCCGATTTTGCTGCCGATGCGAGATCTGGGCAATATCTCGACGCTAGCGACTTGACCCTATGCTTGCCTATGGAAATGCCGCATGACTGATCCTTACCATCTCGATCCGACTACGACACACGTCCTAGCAGCCCTTGCTTTTGCTCGCGGACGAGACACCTACCTCAGGAAAAAGCGGCAGCAGCTTTGCAACCCGCGCAGACGATACTCAATTTGCTGCCCAAGAAGCCGCCCAACGAAATTCCGCCTCAGCCTATCAATCCTCTCCAGCGTCCAAGATGGACTACATGCAACAAAATGTGTTTGCATTTGCTTCTCAGCCTCAGCCACAATTCCTCTACCAACCAGTCCAATATCCCACCTTCATGACCCACAGCCGCCAGCCCGTTGATGATTTCTATATGACCTACAACGGAGCAGAGTACGCCGACTTCATGGATGCGGGGATGATGCACGATGAGTTCGGAGAGACCCAGGAGATATCGACACGCCCTAGACTTACCAAGGAACAAGCTGAGATCCTCGAAGCCCACTTTCAGGCGAATCACAAACCCAGCTCCCAACTGAAGAGGGAATTAGCTATCCAAACAAACTTGAAGCTCACCCGGGTCGGGGTACGTGTCAATTATGTTGCCGTGGACGTGGACGTGTCAGCTAACTGGTAAACAGAACTGGTTCCAGAATCGACGAGCAAAGGCAAAGCAGCAAAAGAGACAGGAAGAATACGAAGCCCAGCATGCAGCAGCCAAGACTGGATCGAATGAGCCAAGAGGCCTCGATTTGGCGGAGGACTCAGCACTAGAACCTACCTCTCCCAGATCGTCAGTTGCTTCGCCCACGAAGAAGACAAGCAGGAATTCAACCTTGGTAACGATTTCGACCGGCCAGACACCAACTTCCCCTGTTAAAGTTGTCGAAAACTCGAAGGAGGCAAGCTGGAACTCTTTGCAACGTGCTTTGGGACAGGCTAAAGCAGCACAAGGTCAGCAGACAGCCCAAGCTCAAGCTACCATGTCGTCTCTGGAAATCCCTCCACAGAATGCAGCTATGCAGCTTCCCCTTCGATTATACGGCCACCAGCCTACTTCGTCGACATCTAGTTTGCCAACTTGGCCAAATCAACCTCCTGGCACAGTCCCTTATCCCTCTCCGATCACGCTTCAGGACACATCCTTCGATTTTGGTTTCGACGATGAGGTTCCAGAACAGAATTCAAGTCAAGACCCAACTACCATCAATACAGTCGTGGATTACGGGCAAGACTCCTTTGTGGTGACACCCGAAGAATTCGGGGAGCCTCTTGCTACTCCCAAAGGCATACCCAGTCATCAGAGTCCCCTGACGACATTGCCCTCTCCTGGCTTGACTATGCCTTCGTATCCTGGTTCGCGGCGCCCGTCAACCACAGAGGATCTTTCAACCAATTTTAGCAACTTTGCCCTCGCAAGCAGTTCACCCAACTTGCTGGCAAACCGACGGGCGTCAGAGGTAATTTGCCCTCCACCCAGTGGTCCCCTCGATATCGCTGCCCGAAGAAAGCGACCTCGACCCGCTGCCCTGACCTCGGCGTCGCTTCGAAGTCGTTCCTATGGAGCACTGACATCGGCTTCCCCAACATTCCGCCAGGGCCTCATGAGTCCTCAAGGACCGCATAGTGTTCGACACGTCAAATCAGCCGGTCAAAGCCTTCATTCGCGGTATGCAGGAATCCGGAAAGCCAGTTCGGCTCAGAGGTCGCCCATGTGTGCCTCAACTTTTGCCGAAGGAGAGGCCTTGAACCGATTAATGGCCCAGCAAGCAATTGCGACGACGCCGCTGGGAGAATTGCCAGAACCATTGTTGTCATCGGGCCACGTCTCAAGCGGTTATATGCTAGATCCCGAAAAGAATCATCCATTCTTTGCACAAGCCATTGACATGCCTAGCCAATATACCATGCGACCACCGCAAAACCTCTCGATCACACCAGGATCACCTCCAGTGACGCCGATGATGGCAGCTTTCATGAGCAGAGCCCAGTCGCAACAATCTCTCATCCCTCCTGCCTCTGCTCCTCCACAATTTGCGGCATTCACCGACTACACACCTCCTTACTCAGCTGGACCGCTTACCAACAGCAGCTGGTCAGATGCTCCCTTGACATCGCCCGAGATTTCTTCGTTTCCTGTCACACAATTTCCATCCCTTGGATTTCCACGTCAGTGTGATGGCCTCAATGGCCAATTTCAACAATATGTCCTACCTTCCGACAACATATCTGAGGTGGACTTTGTTTCTCATGTCGATAAGAAGAAAACAGAATTTTGCATCCAAGAGTTTCCAAATCAAAAAGAGGAACTTGCACATGTTGCTCAACAACTTGCTCAACAAAGGCCCAAAAACTACGTGTTTGCGAATACTGCTCCTCAGGACTACACCAACACCTAGATGCGTGGGTCTGGTCTCGTTTCAGTGCCTGTATTCGCATATGAATTTTTTTGATTTCATTATTATGAGCGTATTACTACCTCTCTTGGCGGTATGTTATTGTGGGAGGCAATGTTTTCAACCGGTATAAGTGGGATGGATGAAAATGCATGAAAGATAGACTTTGAAAGTTTTAGCAATGGCGCGGAAGGTCCAACCAATGCTTCAAGGAGACATGTCTACTACAAGACGCGATGGAAGCACTGGTATAATAGTATGAGGCACCTACGGGACAATGAACATGAGAATAGCCTCGGGAACATGAATTGAAATGGCTAAAACGGATGGGACTATATTTTCATTTTGCAATCTACCGTCACAATCACGTATCTGCTTTATAACGCTCATGGCTCACTTACGCTGCGCCTCTTTTGATAATATTCAGCGATACAGAAGCGAAGTGTGGAGCGGAATACCTTCGTTGAATCATTGATGAAGGCAAAAAGTCGCGAAGGTCCGATACAAAATCATCTTGATGGAGCTTTATTGTGACCATTGCTTGACTGGGAGGGACACCAGTGTAATGACGGATGACATAGTCAGCTCAGCTCATTCTTCGAACTATCCAGATAAACCATCACTCCCACTCACCCTCTTTCAGGGTCTTCCATCGTCATGTTCACTACACGCATCGATAGTTTCCCATCCTTTCGCTCTGATCAACCCAGCGGCTTGTTGCCCCTTTCCCTTTCCCTTTCCCCATTCCCCATTCCCCATCCCCCATCCCCCATTCCCCATCCCCTCTCCTTGGCGCTCTTCTCTAAGAAGAAGGAGAATCCTGATTCATCTTCAAGCGCTGATCCGGCTGGCCGTCCTTCCTGAGCCCCTCACCACCCAAGTGCGCGGCGCCCTGGGGATTGTCACTACCATCAGAGCTGGAGGAATCCGAAGAGCCGCTGCCGCTGCTCTGGCCACCCTTCTTGCCGGCCTCGTGCGGGTCGACTTTGCCGTACGCGAAGCCTTGCTGGTTGACGCGCTGGTCGGGCTGGCCGTCCTTGCGAAGGCCGTCGTGTTCTGCGCGCGGGAAGGGAGAATTAGTATTCTGTGTTCCGTGTGCAAAAGATGGTTTTTGTTGGGGGGGGGGGGGGGAGGAAGGCGGAGAAGAGTGTGTGAAGAGACAAGTGAGCTCATAAACGTGGGATCGATGGTATGCAGTCGAACTGGATACGGATAAAGGGAGCAGTGTAGTCAGGGCTAGGCGTGGAGAGAGAAACAGTGATTGTTTCTCTTGTTAATGGGAAGCGCGTGGGAGGGAAGTCGTACCAGTTGGCTTATAGTCAGACATGTTGATGAGTAGTTTGGTTTGTTTGTGATGGTGCTTTTGTGGCCGCTGAGTCTTTGTTCGTGAAGGATGATGGTGATGATGGAGTGTGATGGAACAGATGTTCTCTAACCGAGGAAAGTGGCCGTTTATATAGACAGATGTCTCCTTCCTGCACCCTTTACCAGCTCAGCCAGGGCGTCATGATGGCCCGGCTTCAAAATAGGTTCCAAGCAAACGGTGACGTCGATGATTTCTTTCTTCTTCGTCTTCTGCTTGAACCGTGCCCTTTGGCCACTATCGATCTCGTCATCGTTTTCAGCTTGCCCGTGTCTGAACGTGTCTGGCATTGTGTTCTGAGGAATCGTCACTTTCCTTGTTTCTTGCATGCGTCCGTGGTGACTCTGCTGATGCATCGCTGGTGCCTGGTTTCGCGCAGATCGATCTTCGATCGGGACAAAGCGCAGCCTCAGTTTAGCTGCTAGATTGATGCCACTTCAATCAGATCTCTCAGGTCGTGATGAAGGGATTGGTTGCCTCACGAGGCCAGACCGCCAGATCTGAGATGTTAGTGCAATCACAACGTGGAGTTGGGCAGCCCCATCGAACCAGAAACGCAGAGCTGCAAGGATCGTGATGCACCAAGCAGAAACGAGATTTTTCCTGAGAAATGAGCAAAGCTCCAACAAAAATTCACACCATGAAACTTTTACATGGGGTCGTGCACTTGTGCATCGAAAGCACAAAGGTCTCCTGCAGGAGGCGCCAATAAAACTTCTACCACAATATATGGGAGCTTCAGGGAGGTACACCAAGCTTGAGGTGGGCGGCTGCATCAACAGCTGACTCAATGGTGTTCTGCTGAGACCGTAGAGACACCAGAGACAGCCAGCGGCCGGAAAGTAAATGGATTGACCCGTCCCATGGACATTGATGACTGAGGTACGATGCACCAGTAGAGGTGAGGCTGCCTGAGACCAATGACGGCGGTCTGTGATTCGCTCACAGGACCATACCGAGTGATGGATCTACCTCAGGGGCAGTCGGAGATCGGCAGGATGAGGGTGGAATTTCTGACTTTCGACTGCTGGCCCGTGCTTGAGAAGAATTGTGCGTTGTGTGGATGGGAATATTGGAAGCTGAAAAGTCATGACGCGAGGACAAAAAGCTAATGACACACCACGAAAGGGGGCAAAGGGGGGAAGCTCGAAGCTCCTCAGCCTCGTCGTCAGAACTCAGGGGCTGGGCAGAGACTTGGTAGTGTACGACGTCAGTACCGAGTAGTGCACGGCTAGTTTCCTGCGAGTTGCCTAGTACATAACCGGACTCAACTTCGGCTTAGTAACAGCCGGAGCCGATCAGGCTGACCGGGCCCTGGTCTTGCCCTGGTCTTGCCCTGGTGCAACCATCCTCTGGACCATTTTCGGTCCTTCTTTAAACTTGGGTACGGACCTCGCCGTGATCTTCTTGACTGATACAGACGATACTAGTACAAACACGACGGGTGGGGGATCTATGTTAAGTTGATGGCGGGACCGGCCACGCTGCTGCCTGGAGGCACCCTCTCGTCAATGATGATTCCATCCATGATCCGTGCTACCATGGAGGCCAGATCCGCTCGCCAGACGGGCCAAGGGTAATTGGGCCAGCATCCCATATCTCTTCCATTTCTGGATGTCCTTGTCCTTCTCGGGGCTTCGTTACGCGCGTAAGTGGAGAAGTCCAGCCTAGGGTTCGAGTCTGGAGGTCTCTCTCACGGAGGCGGTTCCGTGCCTCACGAGGGGCGTCTCCAGTCGGTGGGAAGATGGCGAAGAGGTTTCGAATACCCCGGAGGATAACTGCTGGCGCAACCATTCGCTGGTAAAAGGCCCACTCCTTGTCCTCCCAGCCTGTGACATATCCATCGTCCTGGCTGGCGAAGGCAATGCAGAGGGCGAGGTCGAGGTGGGCAAGAGGCAGGTGTCCCTGGATGAATCTGAGAGTGTCTGTCCAGTTGGTAAGTGATGGGGTCCCTGGGCAAAGGCCGTCGTTATGAAAGGTGGGAAAGATGATCCGAAGGGAGTAGATATGTGGCAAGGCGTCACGCGGGATCGACTGAAGGAAGACAAGAGCCGATCGATGCTCAAGGTGATGCGACATGTCCCGATCCCAGTGAGCGTCAAGTGTCTCGACTGAGAATGTGTTGGAGCGGTAGAAGATCTGGAGGGCCTGATGCCGAAACTTGTGGTTGACTAGGAAGTGGTCTCGAGGCCACTGCCAACATGTACACCGCCCAGATGTGAAGGCCGCGTGGAGCGGAGGGCAACAGCACGCCTCTAATGTTGCGGTACACTGCTGGCAGCAGGATGGCCTGGTAGTGCCCTTCCCCTCCACCCATTCAATGGTCCTAGGTGCGACAAGGCCTGAATGGCGGAGAATCTGTAGTTGGAGTTCATCAGGGAGGTCGTCCCACCGAAAGGCGGCCTGAGGTGAGCGGAGTGGCCTGTAACCTGGTGAACGGTGGTTTGGGCTAGGCGCCGAAGGTGGTGGTCAGGCTGCTGGCCGAGACGGACGGCACAGCTCTTGAGGAGCGGTAATCTCTCCAGCGGCAGGAGAATCTGTTGGGCCGCGGCGTGGTCGAGTGTGTCGCAGACAACGCTCAGTCGGAGTCGACCCGGCGTCAATTGCGCAGCGAGGACAAGGACGAGTCTTTCCCACTCTTGTGGCAGAGACCGCATGCTGGGATTGTGGGAAAAGAAGGGGGAGCCGACTCCACATTTACAGCCGGGGTGACAGGAAAAGCACGGATAGATCAATGGATTGGGCTCGTGGGGAGAGCAGGTTTGGCCCAGCACACAGCCACAGGCGGTGAGTCCAACATGAAGGCTGGTCATGGCGCCCAGTGCCTTTGGGCTGAGCTGCGATAGGGCCTTGAGGCCACCCGGGCCAGAGCGGGAGATTTTGAACTGATTTTCGGCATAGAGGATTGTCACTACCTCGATATGAATGGCGCGACACACCAAGAGGAGGCCCCGGGGAAGAGGGCCACAGACGCAGTCTAGCCCATCTGGCCCAGGGAATGGCGCATGACCCTGAAACCGCTTGGACCGGTAGAAACAGCTGTACTCAGCGAGTAAGTCCGCGGTGGATATCAAGAAGTCGGAAGGACCCTCGATCGGCGGTCTCCAACCATCGTACGCCTCATCGAGGTAGTCGAAGCACCTTCGAGCGTACTCGACCTTTTGAGGACCTTCATGATTCAGGTCGATTGGGCAGAACCGGACGAGGCCGGCAAGGACATAGATTCGACGGCGGATCAGAAATGGGAGGCTAAGGAAGGACACCATTTTTGAGAGGAGGGGGGGAGGTTGTGCATCTTGCTGGAACTATAGAAGAAGGTAAAGCGAAGCCTCACTCGCTACCAAGATTAATACTCGTGAACGAAAAATCTAATTACCATATACGGTTTGAACCCAGAGGGTGAGCGAAGGCCGCTTTTTCCCGAGCTTTAACTGAGCAGCAATTGAGGGACAAGGAGGGCCTAAGCTGGACCCCGAGTGATCGGCTACACCTGTCTCTCAGCCAGACACCTGGTTTAGACATGTCTGCTGCCCAATATTCTTTTTAAATCGAAACCCCAGAGCGTTGTAGTCGACACCCCCAACATAGTGAAATACCCTGCCACCAAAGCAGAGGTTCATTTTGCGCATCGATTGCAACATTGCAGAGATTTTGCAGAGTTTTCACAGCTTCCGAAGGGGTGTGGCCATCTCATGAAACGGAAACACATATGAAGGGGGTGGAGGTCGACGACATGGGATGCAATTGATTTGTAAACAAGATGAAAGAACGAATTCCGCTCTGAGCGAAAGGAACGTGGAGAATTCGGCCGCTCACGACGGCTGAAGAAATGATATGCTTGTTTCCTTACGAGGAACGGAGTCCATCACAATGGAAAACCACCAGGGCTTGATTCCGTGATCATTTCTCAAATCATCACAGAACACAGCCCGTCATCCATCGGCAATCTGACTATGCCAATATGTGAGCCACCAGAGAGGCGACGTCTTGATCTCATCTCCACAAGACTAAACGGGAATAGGGCCCTCCAACTCGATAACTAAGCCTACAATGGCAATTTTTGATTTTTCAACAATCTTGCATCGCTGGACTTGGAGGTAAGCAATGCGAAGTTATAAAGACGAAGAAACTTAAGCTGCAAAATGGGCGGAACAGTCTACCTTTGTCCTAAACGCAGAGATGAAACGGCTAACACTGGCCCTCGCTCTGGCTGAAGTTGCGGTCTCTTTTGCCAGCCCTTTGGCAAGAGGCACGGTTTATCCGCGTCAATCCTTTCCCTCAGAGTTCAACCCTGACCCTCAATCCGGATTTGACGACCCTACCATTGATATCGCCGATCCATCCTTCGCTACTGCCATCCAAGCTGGATATCAAGGACCTTTTGCATCATATGAGCAGCATGAACTGGTTGGGCCGGTGGACCTTCTTCGGAATGGCCATGTGAATTATGGAGTCAACCCGAATTTCACACTGCCACTGTACAGGGGATTGTCGGCGGCAAACACCACCTATTGGTGGATTGTCACAGACACATCCGACGAAGGCAATGCAAAACAATTGGGAGTCAACTTCGCGCCCAAGCTTCGATTTGCGGCCCAGGGCCAGACAAGTAGCGGACTGAAGGGCGCTGAACAGCTTGAAATCGTCAACAATACCGTCGGTGGACGGGAGGGAATGGTTGACTTTTCGCCAGTGAGGTCAATTGTCCCTGGCGATCTATCTCCTTTTCCTCCGAAGTCCGTGCAACCCGGGAGTGTGGGGGACCGCAAGTATACGCCACTCATCCAGTTGACAAATGCCGGATATGAAGTTTGGAATGCACCAGTAAGGCGTTTTCGACGATTCTTTGAAATGGTCGGGCTGATGCTTGGACAGATCATTGCTGGAGAGGTGGATGAGGAGTATTTGAACCAGGTAGGTCACCCCCCTCACCGCAAGTCTTTGATGTTGCTGAGAAGTGAAAAGTTTTGCGACGGGATTCCAAGCAATCTCCTTGCGGAGTTTCGCAGCAAAGTCCACGATCAAGTTCTCTCAATCTGTCCTCGTGATCAAGTCGTGACGCTAGCAACCATTCGTGGCTTCTCATTCTCAAAATCCGTGCTGTATCTGATCGCTGATGGATCGGATCCCTTACCTGCAACGCTCGATGGTGGGACATACGCTCCTCGCCTTGCTGCGGTGCGCACCGGTGATGATGATGCATTGTTCAGCGGCATTGAGCGATTCTTTGTGAACACAAACGGATACACCAACCGTGATTTGCCACCTGGCGCACCGAACAACGAGACACATCACCCATGGCGACAAGGGTTGAACAGTGCCATCCTCGGAGATGGGAACCCGTTGAATATTCTTGGAGCTATTCCCACAGTGGCATATGGTAAGTCACCTTGAAGCGGACAATTATTTCATGTCTCTGACGCTGCCGATAGATTACTCTCCCCTCTGGGACTTTAATCTATTCACCTGGACGAATTACAGTATTGAAAATGGCATCCGAACCCGGTTGACGGGTGAATTCGAGGTGTTGGGCATGGCCGCTGCTGGCTATGTAACGAATCCTGATGGTACACCATTGAGCGATGCCGGAATTGTGAACAACTGCCCAATTGTACATCGATTCCTTTAGTCGTAATATTAACTTAGATAACCATCATTATATATAAGAAATCGATATATTGTCTTGCGTTCATGTTCCAGTGTGGGATCCGATCGTGCGCTTCTCGTATTATTGCAGAGCCGCTAGTTCCATTTCAGCCACACGGGGACGTGACTAGGAATTTAAGGAACAACGCCCTAGCTAGCGACTCACCAATTCCTCCCTTCTCTCTATTCAACGTCTCTTCTTCTCGTATCCTCCTCCACAGATAGAACCCTCCAACCATCCATGCTCCTGCCGCCCTCCTACCACTACCCTCGTGCGCCTACGCTGCTCGCCATGTTTTCGGCTGAGCAGAAAAAGTTGAAGGTAGCTCCGAGATGGTAAATTGAAAATGCCTAGATCGAACAGTATTCCTCGCCGTGACGTACTGCTTACCTTTACCCTAGCAGTGTCTCAGCGCAGCAAACCACACTGGCTGGGCTGGCGAAGGAAGCGCGGACATCCAATTGAGACCATATCCTGTACCTACTTACATAAGCCTTTACCCGTTGCTTTTTGCCCCGGTGATGCCCGGGACTTCGGATTTCGTGGCCGACCTTCAACCCGGCGCGTTGCCTCGATTGGAGTGCTTCGCGAAATTAGATCGTGGCTGTGGCCGGCGGGGAGTCCTGTCTGGGTTGCCATTATATGGGTGGAGGTGCATAACTCCATACGAGCTACTGTTTATTCGAAAATAAGAATACGAAGTACAACCGAAGAGCCGCAGGCGATTGGAGACACTGATACGCGGACAAAGTCTAGTTCCGACAGGGGCCCAGCGCCTTCATGGGAAAGTCGTTCAAAAAGCATCCACACAGGGCATGGAACCGAAGCCGTCGCTTGTGGAGACACTAAATCCTTCGCACAGCCTCGTTCAGGGGGAGGGGGGGGGGGCACAGGGATATGAACCGGTATGAACCGGTCGCCGGCCGGGCGATATCACTCGAAAGCTGATAACGACAATTTATCTCAATTTTCGCAACATGTGCCGGTTTAGGTAGGGCGTATGAGGTACTGGAACTGGGAGATGTCGTTCTAAATAAAGGCGCAAGAGGAAACCGGTCTCCTGTTGCAGAGTTGCAGCTGTGTAATTTCCCGACATTCTACTCGAGCACAGCCCCGACTACGCGGTACCAATGGCGATCCTGCTCCCAATAGCAGCATAGGGTGTACCGGGCAGCCTCGTGGTCGTCAATCCAGAGCCGCCGCAGTCATGTGCAGCTTGGTCGCTTCAGGGACAGGATGTCTCATATCAAGTTGCTGTTGACCCGCACCTCGCCAGGCAGCAACATTAAATCATTGTCTCCATCCGCTGGGTGAAGGGGTCGCTAACGGACAGCTGCGAGGAGTAGTGCAAATTATGCAGGAACGCGACCCACATCCTAACATGAAATCTTCCGGGGAGAATTATGGATCGTTGTCGGAATCATATAAGGACGGACGTTGCTGCCACATGTGTGTCCGGCTAAGATTCCAACAACGTCTGCTAGATCAAAGCCTTGTTCAACGTCGAACGCCATGACCAATTCTCCCAATCCATACAAGACGTATGTCCCTTCGGTCCCCGCTGCCATCATTGCAGCAATCGTCTTTGGTGTGTTGACGATAGCACACACCTTCTTTCTGTTCAAGAAGAAACGATGGTCTTCGATCCCCATCATGATAGGAGGCCTCTGTAAGTGGAATATCGCGCGCTTGTCGGTGGTTCTTGCTGACTTTTCGGCCGAGTTGAGGTGATTGGTTTCCTGGCCCGGGCAGTCTCCCGCTACCACCTCGACGAGAAAGGTCCATACATTGTCCAAACGCTTCTCATCTTCCTTGCGCCCATCCTCCTCGCAGCATCGGTCTATATGTTCTTAGGCCGCTTGATCATTGCCGCAGGCGGTCAAGCATATTCATTCATAAGAGTCAATTGGCTGACGAAGATCTTTGTCGCCGGCGACATAATCTGCTTCTTGGTCCAGGCTGGCGGAGCTTCAATTCTGGTCAATGCGACTTCCAAGTCCGCGATCGACAACGCTCAAAACATCATTCTCTTTGGCTTGGCTCTGCAGATTCTATTCTTCTTCTTATTTTTGTCGGTTGCAGTCGTTTGGCAAGTAAGAGTTCGTTCTCAGCCTCTCTGGAGAATCTGCACCGAGTCGGGCTTACCGTTAGCTCGCATGTTGTGGTCGCTGTACCTCGTTGGATTCCTCATCACCGTGCGCAGCATCTATCGCTTGGCGGAATATAAAGGAGGTCAAGATGGCTATCTCATCACCCATGAGTGGCCAGCATATATGTTGGATGCGTTTCTGATGGCTATCGTTATGGCGGTTACATTGGTTTGGTATTCCGTGGAGTTGACGGGGAAGAATGCGCAGCAGGGCCTCCGTCTCCGAGTAATGAGCGACGTCTGAAGACAACAGCATCTGAAGATAGGCGGTTGGGCACATGGCTCTGATGGCGGCTGATTGAAAAGGAAAAGGAGTCGTCAACGCTTGCAATCGCAGGATCTTTGGTGAACACGGGAGCCATCGCGGCAAGGCAGAGGCTGGTTGATGGGCTTTTGCCAGAGACGTCAGGACTGCGGCAGGCGTGAGATGAATTCTCGCCGCTGCTCCCGATCACGTCTTCCTGGTTGAGTCGACAATGAGGTTGCGGGTCAAGCTTAACGGTGGGTGGCAATCAACAGCTAGGCCGGTGGTTGTATTACTATCTCGGTGAATGGGGTTGGTGGGGCTAACGGAAACGGTTTCAGGGAGTCAGAGGGCTCAAAGCGGCTATGACTTTTGCATTCTGGTCGTCGGTGGGTGGGGCGGACTTCGTTGACATCGATCAAGATAGATGCAATATGGAACGACCTCGACGAGTGGATTTTCCAAGTCGAGTTGATGGCAGGCACCGAGGAGAGTGACAAAAGTTCCGTGGTCACCGTACCTCGTACTGGGTACTCGATTCACAACCCAACTTTGGCGAGCCCTGCACTTGTTTGCGAGTATCATACATATACCCAGTACGTAATGAGAAATCATGATATAACTACCAAAACAAAGCACTACTTGTAGATCTAACTCGCTAGCAACTGTGTGTGCTTGATAGAGACTGGCTGGAGACCGGCTGGAGACCGGCTGGAGACCGGCTAACTTACCCTGGCCACGTAATTCTGTCGACCTGCCCGATTGGTGGCACTGCCGTGCCTGTTTTTGGTTAATACCCGCCGAGCAGATCGGGGCTGGTGAGGCTCCGGGCGGTCCCTCCAGGACCGAACGTGATGATATTGCCCTTGCGCCAACGACGCGGCGGCAATCAGCGCTGTCTGCAAAAGTTGTACCGACCGTACGGGGGTGAATGACAGAACACTACTGTCTCCAAGGGCAATGAGATACTTGTGGTCAATGAAGGGCACCTCCGATCTAATCCGCAACTATCACGTATATATGTATGCCATGCCACTTGTTTCATTTTCATGCGTCGTACACGGCAGCGGGCCAGCCACCACGCCCTTGTCCTCTGGGGGCGAGATAAGACGGTTTCGTGGATCCAATACCAGCTCCTGAGTTCGCGTATGATTGCCGCAGCGGAATCCCATACAGCGCCTCTTGAGTTCTCCAACGTCTGTCGCGGTCTCTCGCCTGGCGGCCTTCACGAGGCTTGTTGTTCCTCATCAGAAAATCCCATGTGGACCGTCTTTCGACGGTCTTGGGGGTGGCGTCAGTGCCGACATTCCTGCCCTCTAACAACACGGCCGCCGGACCTCCTGGTTGCCACCTGCGTATCCGCTCGTGAAACTGTCTCCTCTCGATCTCACGTTCGCGCAGATCTATCTCTTTGGTCCGGCGAAGATAGCTCATCCATGCTATTACTAGACTCAGTGTCAACACTACACTCACACTCCAATATATGGCGAACGGCCGTGGCACGATGATCTGCTTATGGTCTGTCGGCAACGCAAAATTGAAAATCGGAGTGTCAAAGAATGAAGCCACAAAAGTACCGGGGAGGAACAGTAAGGAGACGAACGCAATGGTCATCATTGCCTTGTTGGTATTCTTCCCTTGCCACGCGAGTTCGTTGTTGATGTCGGCTACCGCAAGACTCGCACGGGAATCGCGCTGCGTCGTCAATTGAAAGACCGACGACATGGCATTGTGAAGTCGTTCGCCTAGCGAGTCTGCGTCAAAGAGGTGGATAAAGGTATAGTCCCACATCACGTTCATGAAATGGTCAAGCTCTTCGCACTCACGCCATGACGACTGAAACGTAGGTGCGGTTGGGTCGAGGGTCTGTCGGTATTGATTATTACATCTCGAAATGAACTTGATTTGTTGTTGAAAGGTCTTGAGACGGAATCGGATGTTGGTGAGCTTGCCTGAAAGGACATTGAACCCTTCAACCGCTTGATCTTGGATTTCACCAACGCCACTTCCAGGCTCTACACGATCAAGGACCCAGTTCCAGGTCTTGAACCCAATTTGTTGTTCAAGCGCCAGAGTTTCTCGATTCATATCGTCCAGCATGTCGAAGGTGAAACTCAACGAGACCTTGGTCTTAATATAGCCAAGGAGCATGGGATGAGACAAGTGAGTTTGGAGACGTAGAAGGTCCGTCAGAACTTCATTCTTTCGCTGGTCGCCGTCGCCTTCCCGATACCACATGACCGCCGCAGTATGATTGGTTGCGCGGTTGTGAGACCAAGTCACAGTCCAACTCGTCCCACTACAATAGTAGGAAGTTGACGTGTTCTTGGAAGTTTTATTGGATTGGGAATGTGATGAAAAGGTTGGAACGCATATAAAAGTAATATGAGCTTTCACATATGCCCCGAATGCAGCAAGGGGAAGATCGAGGTGAGTGAGTATTTCAATAACGAACTCAGCTTGTTTCTGATGTTCTGATGTCTGAGATTGAGATGGTTGTCGAGTTGTCTTGGTCGGTAAGGGGAGGGATATAAGGTCGGGTGGACGTTTGGTAGTAGATTGATTATGGGTTTGGATTAGGAGGATTTTCATGGTGGCATCGCCCGAGTTTGATCTCGTCCCTGGCTGTCGGAGCCATTGTGAGATGTCGCGAGGTGTGGTTTTTGGATCGACAGGGAGAGTGGATATGTCATTTGATGCATGAGGGAATTCGAGGGTATGTAAGGCGTGATGGCCATTGTATCGCGGGATGTCATCGGGGGAAATGATAAGGCTGTCTAGACTGCTGGCTGGCATATGAATTTGTATATTCGACGAGCTTGATTGCTGTTTCGGTTGTGGTATCTGGCGCCGGAGGAGTATCGAGTATTGAGCATTGCAAGAGAAGGAGAAGCAGAGTAGAGGGGGAATGAAGGAAATGGAGGAGATTCATATAGTTGGCATACAGTTGGAGTCTGAACTGGGAATTGGGGACTGGGCTCACGCCGCGGAAGTTGGCCATTGGCGGCAAGGTAGCCTCATCGGCCACGTCCGAAACGACCTGCTCCAAGTGTTGACAAATCACATCTCGTGTAAAAGACATGTACATATCATATCAAGGCTGTTGGAGTCAAAATGCGAACCGCTGCCAAGTCGAAACTAATCTGTTGCCTGATTCAAAAGAAACAAAAAAGCTCGAGAGCCTCATTTCGGGTTCGAACTCGCAATGACGGACCTTTGGAAAGTAAAGTTGGCTTCTAGTGTGGGGGTGGGTTTATGTGTAGAGTACTTTCATATTCCGAGAAGCAAGGTAGGTACAGGGTGGCTAGCGAGGGAGATGGTTTGTCGACCGAGGCTCGAGAGGAACCCTGAATGCGGAGTGAGTCAACGGAGAGCTCGTATTGCATGCTGCCTTGGTGTGCCAACGCCCAGCTTCAAGGCCTCCTGCCTAGTTGGTGAGTCGAGCTTGGTGTAACCCCCACGGTACTAACCACCGTTCGCCTCTACCTTCTGCTCTGGCTGACGAAAGCTCGCTTTCAACCATCCTGTCAGGCTGGATGGCCCGACCTAGCGAACGACACATTCGTCCGCCCCGTCGCTTCTTTCGAACTTTGTCATCCGGCCATGCTTATCCGGACCAGCTCAAGCGTCCTTGGCAGAAGGAACTGACAAGGACGGTGTCCGTCCATTTTCCCACAATGAGGCCATGGGCGCCTCACTCTCTTCAAGTCGCAGAAAAAGGGCGTTGCATTCGCGACTTTCAAGCCATGCTGAAATTGATGTCATGCTTTTTCATGACAAAGTGTAGACCGAAGGGCCCATAAGCGCGCTCATCCTCGTCCTTCCACAGATGTTCCAGGAGTTTTGCAGCCTGGCCCACTTGCGAAATGTTGATCTTGGTTTCCGAATATAACCAGCGAAGATATTCTTTGCGTTGATGTTCGCAAATCAAGCAAGAGCCGACGATCATGATTGGCCACAGCAATATAGTGATGAAGGGCGACATGGACACGGGCACAAACAGAGGAAATGCCGTGTCAATATGACCCTGAATTGCGACAATGACCTTGGGGTTGCTGACAATGGAGCCACACATAGAAGTCTTGATAAATATCAAGAGAGCCTGCTGATAAACCTCTCCAATCCAGACATGCTCCGCTTGCCATTCCATCATTTCGGGGGCCACCGGCGGCGACCGCCACTGGCTGATCGTGTCGACCAAGCGTTCGTAATCAGATTGGGTTTCGGCGCTGCACAAGCCGGATTCCTCTTCTGTCAGCCTCTTCATCGCTAGGAGGGAGACTTGAGAGATCATCTCGAAGAGACCTTGTCCACAACTGAAGAAGACTCCGAAAGTCTCGTATTCTTTCAGGAAATCCAGAGAAGAGAAGAACGAGTCGAAAGGGAGAGCACGAGCTTTGTCGCGGCCGTAGGGCGTAATGCTGTTCACCAAGACCAAGTACAAGTACACCTCCAATGCAAATCCTTTGACCAACTTCACATCATCTTGAAGCGTTGGCTGCGGCTCTCGCAGGAGCTTGAGGACGAGTTCACGGCTCGCCCGTAAGTGCGGGAAGATACCGCCATGCGGTTCACCAGACAGAGCCTGAAGATCAATGTCAGCATTCGCAATCCTTGTCCGAAAAGCTTGAAGGATCGAATGCGGCGTGGTTTACCTCAACATGGCAAAGTACAACCAAGACCAGAAGCAGGCGCAGTGTCCTGCGGATATCGTCATGAGATGATTCATCTGCGAACAAAGACCGAAGATTTCGCAACAGCAACGAATAATGCTGGCGCGTTGCTAATTGGATTTTTAGGTCATCGCGCTTTTTGTAACTGAGATGAGTTCCGCTCAAGGCGAGCACAGCATGCATAAGGAGATCGTCTGAGTAGGCCAAAGGCAGGACGAGGGTGATGAATGGATTGCTGGAGAGGGGCTTCGCTACCAGGAAAGTGGACGTGGCTTCCAAATAGTGTTGGAGTAACAGAAGTGAGCTGGGATTGAGCAGAAGAGCCCGCTCGGAGCTGACAAAGGACGCCGTCAGTGGTTGCCAGAGGATGACTGATTCAGGCTTTTCATCTCCGTCATCGTCTTTAGGCTCAACATCGACCAATAGAGCTGGGCAAGGAGAAGCGTCGTCATGTCCTGCAGACTTGGGCGAATGTCTGTCAAAAACAAACGTAATTTCCCCTGGTAGACTGGTGATACTCCTGGTGCTTGTACCGGTACTTGTGCTCCTTGAGGCAGACTGTCTCTCCTTGCGCCTGGCTAGTCGAGCTCTGGAGCCTTGGTCTGGATCCAGCGGAACCGGCCATTGGCAGTCGATGAAATTACGTGCGCAGCCAGTGCAGGTTGGTCTGATTTCATCACATTTTTTCCGTCGGAGGCGGCAAGTCAGACATCCCGTCTTGGTGCGCGTGTAGACCGGCTTGTCGTGCCTTGGAGGCGAACGTATCTTGTCCATTTTGCTCGATGGCTGAATCTGGTCGCCCTAGGATTGCTGGCACGACTCCATTCTTCTCCGCGACGGTCCTCGCGGCATGGCAATCGTTCATGGGGAACGAGCGCGGTGTGAGGTCGCGAGGAACCAAGGATGAAGGAAGAAAGAAGAAGGAATTGGAGCGCGAATCGCGGTTGGTCTTTTTAAGGATGGAATGGAAGCTGACTGATGGACAAGAACTCGAAGGATAGAAATTAGCCGCGGTGCAAAACCAACCGAGGCTTCCTATCTAACCAACTGGCAATCGCTCCCTCCCTTGTTTGTTGACGTCTTCAAACTCATACCAGAGCCATAGCGATTTGGCATTTGGCTTTTAGAGACATCTTTGCGCCCGAAGGGCCAGTCTAACGAAATAAGGCTCCAAGGTAAACAGTTCGAGGTATGTCCGTATCTCGTATTCCCGTGTCCTTAATGAATCTTCTTCGCTGCACCACTTCCTAAAGCTCCGTGCCTTTCGGAATGCGTTCGAGGCATATAAATAAGGTGCAATTCCTTCGAGAGCTGTAACCCCGATCGACAACAGATTGCTTTCTATATCATCTCGATCCGCACATTTACCATACTACACCTTCGGAATTCCCTTCATTCGGACATTTCCCAGCTCAAAATATGGCGCCCCGTGACGATAGACCTGAGGTCAAATTCTGCGACGCTCCAGGAATGCCTGACCCCGGCTTCTACTCGCACGCCGTCAGTCTCAACCAAACCAATCGCTTGGTCTTTACGTCGGGAATCATTGCTCAACGACCCGATGGCAGCTTTCCGGAGTCGTTGGAAGAGCAGGCCAAGGCTGTGTACAACAATCTCCAGCAAGCACTGGAGAAGTCCTGCGCGTCTCCTCGAGATGTGATCAAAGTCACCTTCTATGCTGTGGACTGGTCCCTGGAGCAAGGCGAGGTGTTAATCAAATTGTTTCTTGACTTCATGACCGATGAGCATGGCACCACCCATCGTCCCATCACAACTCTCATTCCGGTCACGAAACTGGCAATAACAGGCGCCAAACTTGAGATCGAAGTGGTGGCAGCGGTTGGGGGACACGCCTCGCGTTACGCAGGACCTTCCATTCGTTCCTTCGATCGGCCAGTTGCGCCGGCAAAGGTCGACGTGGTGGTTGTGGGGGGTGGCTTCAGTGGGATTCAAGCAGCGTGGGATGTTCAAAAGGCGGGTTTGAGCTGTGTGCTTCTGGAAGCAAAGCACCGCATTGGTGGTCGAAGCCGGTCGCAACAGCTTCAAAGCGGGCCAGGGATCATCGAGCTCGGAGCGACTTGGATCAACAAAAAGACCCAGCCGAAAGTGTATGCCACAGCCAAACGGCTAGGCTTGGACATTGTGGATCAGTATACCGAGGGGGACGAAGTGTGGCAGTTCCAGGATGGCACAATCCTGCGAGCTAGGCCTGGTTCTGTAAGTCATGTCCCAGTCGATGTTTAGCAGGTATGTATGCTGATTGCTTCATGACTCAGCCCGAGGCCGAACAGATGACCCAGTTCAACGTGGCATTGTGCGAGGTAATCGACGGTGAATGCCAGAACATCGACATCCGCAGATTCGACGAGTTCCCTACAGCTCTTGATGTCTCTATGGAGACGTGGTCCGAAAGTAAAGGGCTCAGCGATGATATGGGCAAGGCTGCCCTGAAATTCTTCACGAGCGCTGTCGTCGGCCGCGACCCAGCCGAGATTGGCATGCATTATTTCCTAGATTACATCAAGTCAGGCGGTGGGTTTATCAGTATCGCTACTGAGGGCGAAGATGGTGCGCAGTCACTCAAGATCAAGCAAGGTAAAAGACAAAGGATCACTTGGAAAAACTTCCCCGCTTACATGGTCTGGCAGGCACATCGGCCATTGCGACTGGTCTCGCAGATGAAATGAAGCCCGGATCCATCTTCATCAACAGTCCGGTCGACAATATCCACCAAACTGCCGAAGGTGCGCTGGTCCATACAGCAACTGGGGATAAAATATTCTGCCGGAAAGTGATTATTGCCATCCCGACCAATACCTATGGGATGATTCACTTCTCGCCCCCCTTACCCCATGATAAGAGGGCGCTCGTCTCACGCACAAAGCCGGGCGTATATGCAAAGATGATCCTCACGTACAGTCGCCCGTGGTGGAAAGAGCTCGGCTTGGTGGGCAAGTTCTCAAGCTTCAGGGGCCCGATCTGCTTCTCTTGGGATATTTCAGACCACACACGGAAACAGTACTCTCTGGCGATGTTCATTGCGGGTGAAATAGCGGCAAAATGGGCGACCTTGAACGAGCTTCAGCGCATCGAAGCTGTAATCGACCATCTTTCCCAGCTGCTGGGTCCGGAGCATGCGCATCTGGCAAAGGACAGCGTCCTCGAGGTCAATTATGTCAACTGGCCGGAGGAAGAGTACCTGGGTGGCGCGCCCACGTCCGCAATGGGACCTGGAATGCTCTCCAGGTATGGTGCAGCGCTGCGACAGCCGTTCAAGCACATTCACTTCGCGGGCGGCGAGACGGCATTCGAGTGGAAAGGCTATCTTGAGGGGGCGCTGAGCGCGGGTTCCCGTGCAGCCGACGAGGTCATTGCATGGGCAAAGCAGGAGGATTTGATCAGAAAAGTTTCAGCAAACCTGTGAAGTGCGACCCCATAGTCAATTGTCCACTTTAATGTTCCTGTGACCACGCGATCCAGACCTTTACCCCGCATTACGCTAGTCCTATTTAAGGCCTTGTTCCCAGCTTTAAGCGCGATGTTTTGATAGTGCTGGAAGTGAGCCAGCCCCGCCCCCACATTTCGGAGGACGTACTCCGTATATATGCGGAGTATCGCGGAGGCTTGTTCTGGCTTGGTTTAGCAAACACCTATCTTTGACTAGTGTCTACCATATAGGAGGGAGAGAAAACGGACGATACGCTGAAAAGAACTATGGACTAGCTCGTTGCCAAACCTACACTAGATTTAGCATTATACCCGGGACTTTACCGCGCCCTGGAACCGGAATTAGACTCCTGGTCTATTCACCGGCTTATGTTATTGCAGTCTGATAACAGACCCGGCTATGATCACGGCCGGGCAGAGTAGTGGGGGTAATGACAGGAGAAAATGTGGGATTCGTCGCGCTCCTTGGAATTGCAACCAGGCCTCGAACGGAGAGGAACCTGAGCTTGAAGCTGCCTATGCATCAAACTCCTCACGGCGAGCAGAACCAGGAGACCCAAGAGACTTTAGCCTCTATACCAGAGTATGTATGGAATGCTGATAAGGGTGTCTCGGGACGGCGATAGCACGAGAGAGTCGACGCAACCAAATAGAACCCGTTTGCGGGGTCGCGCACTGCCAAAGTAGGGGCCCATGATAGATATCGAACAACTCCTACTGCAATTCCCCCCTGCGAGCGCACCGCGCAGCCATCACAGATGCCGGTCAAATCCGACGACGAACTTGGTTATCGAAGCGCGGTTCGACCCTCAATGCAATCAAAGCTCAACGCATACCGTCCTTGACGGCGATTGAACTCATTCGGTTCTGGGACTTTTGTTCGGATCCTCTTCCTGTCACGGATCATTCTTATATCGCTACCGCCCTCCGTCATATGTGGTCTGCCATTGTCAGACGACAGTGTCTTCTTAGGCTTGAGTTGTGGCACGGTTTTCTTCGCTTCACATTATGGACATCAAAACGCCAAAGACGGTAGCAAGTGGTCGGTCCCCACGAACTTCCCTTGCGGCCTTTCCAAGCTAATCAGCAGCAACAGAGCAGCAACTGCACCGTTTGGTTAGCGTGGGTGATGGAACGGTCCAAAGCCTCACGGTCGGAAGTCCACCCGCCAAAACACAGTTCACGAAGTGGAATATTGTCGCCTTCGCCTTTGTGATATGTAACAGCTGGGCCGGCGTGGCAGGCAGCATCCAGTTGGCCCTCTTACAAGGCGGGCCTGCCACTCTCATCTATAGCATCATCATCTCTTCAATCGCCTACATGAGCATTGCCATCTCGATGGCAGAATTGGCGAGCGTTTATCCGACCGCAGGGGGACAATATCATTTCGCCTCGATCCTCGCGCCGAAGAAAATGAAACAAACTATCTCTTACGCCTGTGGTTTGCTGTCCATCCTCTCATGGATCGCCATCGGTGCAGCCGTGACAATTATCCCTGCCCAGCAGATTATGGCTTTGGTGGCGGCTCTGAACCCCGGATTTGAGACCAAGGAGTGGCATGTCTTCCTCATCTACCAGGGCATGGCTCTTTTTGTCCTTGTTAACAACTTGTTCGTGCTGAAAAAGGCGCCGTGGACTCACAATATTGGGTGTACGTGTTCACATCATGTCTACTCACCCCAACGCGGGGTTCGAAGCTAATCCTTCACACAGTCGCTCTCACGTTGGGCTTGTTTCTGGCCAGCTTCATCGCTCTGCTGGTTCGTTCATCGCCAAAGGCTCCATCGAGCTTCGTCTGGGCCACCTTCATCAATTATACGGGATGGGCAGATGGAGTGTGCTTCATCATTGGCCTATCCACGTCGTGCTTTATGTACATCGGCCTGGATGCCTCGATGCACATTGCCGAGGAGTGCAAGGACCCGAGCCGAACGGTGCCCATGGCCATGGTCACTGCAGTGACCATCGGCTGCACGACGGCTTTCGCCTATACAGTTGCCCAACTCTATGCTTTAACAGATATCGAGGCTATCCTGACCACTACCGAGTAAGGAGAACTTCACCCGGCACGATCAAACTTCCATGACCAAATGTAACAACTAACAATCCCCCCCCCAAAACAGATACGTACCTTGGGTTGTGGTAAGACAAGGTCTTCGATCCACGGCCCTCGCCGTGGCATTCATCATCGTTGCCATTATCATGTCCGTGTTCATCCTCAACGCCATCCAGGAGACGTCGTCCCGCCTCGCCTGGTCCTTCGCCCGCGACAACGGCCTCGTCTTCTCTTCCAGGCTATCCAGAATCCACCCGACGCTGCAGGTGCCGGTCTACGCTCTCTTTCTGACATATGGAATACTGGTCGTGTGTGGCTGCGTCTTCGTCGCCTCGACTACGGGTGCGTACTTGGATTTCCGAGTTTGGATCTATTCTTCAATATCTCCCTCCTCCTCGCTAACAGGGTGATATGCAAAAATCCAGCCTTTAACGCGTTGATCGGCTCCTCGATCGTGCTGCAGGAGATCTCCTTCCTCATCCCCGTCGCGCTCCTCATCTACCGCCGCCGAGGGCCGAAATATCTGCCCCCGACTCGCTACTTCGCGCCACCGTCGGCAGTCGGGTGGATCGCGAACGTCATCGTGGTCGCTTTCTCCCTCATCACGACCGTCTTCTTCAATTTCCCTGTCTTCCTGCCCACTTCGGCGACGACTATGAGTAAGTTTTTGAAACACTCCCGTTCTCGAAATGCAATCCCAGCTATATACATGTTTGCGTTGGCCCCCCTTCCCCGGCCACTCTTTTTCTTTTATTGTGTGTCGAAGTTCAAGAGCGGAGTGCGCTGACATCTTTTTAATTTCGAAAGATTACACCTGCGTCATCCTGGGAATTGCCCTACTGCTGGGCGTTATGAACTGGTTCGCCCACGCGCGGAAGCATTATCAGGGCCCGACGATCAAGTTTGAAGGAGAGGACGACGGCCACGGCCGGTGGGCTGAGATTGTCGCCATGTGATGACTGCGGTGGTCGCGATTTTACCTGTGCTTGGCTTCCAGAGGATATCTGAGGCCATCAAGAGCTCCGCTCGTGACACTTCGAGGTCCTGACGGTTGACCCGCCAAAAGAGGGAGAGAGAGAGAGGGCACAGACCCTCGCATTCCGGTAGCTTTCCTACGGAACGTGGTGTCCGCAAAACATTCCCCTTCTCTGTTTCACTTTCCTTGCTTATAACATGAGGACTTACCCAGTATGTGGCTGCATATCGAGGATCAGCCCAGAGCGATTGCTACTCGGACCGAGAACTGTGATAGCAGACAGAGCTTGGCTGACCTGTGACACCCGGGGCCATTTTGACCCAGCACGTCGGAACAAACCAGTCCGACAGCGACTGGGCCAGACCGCTGGATTGGTCTTGGTATTTAAGTTTCGTATTCGTGTGCACGACTAGCAGCCATGAGCGTGGAATTTCCCTCAGAACTAGCATCATTAGTGAGGTGGCTTGCTTACCGCGGTGGGCGGCCTCGTGTCCGACAATGTCCAGCGACAGGGCCCAGTTACGCGTATTCGGCTCCGGCGTGCGGAAAGCCATTGTGCCTCCTTTGCCATTGGAGTGTCCGTCCCAGAGGGCGTCGGTCTTCTTCGCTGGCGGTGTTCATGACCGCGATCCCGGATGCCAAGTGGGCTTTCGCGATGGAGAGCTCCTCTGGTTCTTTCTTCAGAAACACTAGGCTAGCTGAGTCTTGGTCCTGGGACGGGGTGTCTGTCGTCGGTGGAGCGAATGGAGTGCGGACACTGGAAGGCGCATCGGGCGAGCATCGTGACTATGTGCAGCAACAATTCGATCCAGAGAGAAGATAATAGAGACACAAGGCTGAAAGCATGAGAAAAGGAAGCGAGGCTCGCAGGAGGACGTGGGGTTTTGATTTCAACTGCCTAGTTCGGAAATCTTGATTTAGTGCCGCTTTAACAAGTGGATATATGCAAGAACATGTGGCAGTTTTGCCGAGATTGCCGCCTAGAATTGTCCTTGTCGACGGTGAGGCTGAAAGCATTACTCGACCCTAAAATGTTTCATAGTGGTGCATACCAAGCAGCAGCGGAACGTGGATAGGGGCAAAGTGATGCCGTACACGCGAGGGAAGCGCAAGAAGGCAGCGTGTTGAGCCCGCCCTGTAAACGCTTCTCTCGCCCTTGAAAGTGACATGGATCATCTTCCTCTACCCTCAAACCCCGTGTTTGGATCGCTCCCTGTCCCTTTTCTCTGCAAGGAGCCGTATGATGGTGATTCGTTCCTTACATATCCTTTTGGAAAAGGCTGGAATGTCACAGCGGAGCACTGGCCCGAAACTCTCTCTCGTCATGGCAAAGAAGTTCGTGATGAAGCTCAGATCGCTTCATTCCTTCAAACATGGCTCTACTTCGGTTTGCTGTGCGAGGTCACTGGTAATACCATCGACCCTATGGCTTTCAGAGTACCTGGACGTACCAGGAACACCTCTCGGTTCTCATCAAAGGCTCTAACGGACATTGTGGGCCAGTGGTCTCTGGAATCAATGAATCTCGAATGTGAACTCGATGAAAGCCTTCAAAACAAACTTGGTGATGACATCGAGTTGTGCGACCCCTTCGACGACTGGGTTTCAAAAAGAGATGATATTATTGATGCTGCTGAAGCCACATGGAATCGCGTCATTGACGCATACCAAGACAAGATGACGGACACGCTCAATCTCGTGCTCTTGAGCATTGCTGCCTTGGGAGATTACCTTAGTCAGGCCCTCGCCGATATAGCTCGTGCGAGGGGTATCGGCGACGGTACTCCGTCTACCTTATGGCTACTGCCCGAGAGTGTTTGCCAGCCTCTGCTGCGCAGGTTGCAAAACTGGTGTCCCAACAGATTACATGGCTTTGTCAACGTCCAAGGCTGCTCAATCGGAGTCTTGTGGTACATCGCAAACCTCGACCCTCCCAAAGTACGCGATGATCATGGTACATGCAGCCCCCAGAGATGCAATTCATTGCATATTGATGTTCACGACTACAATATCCAGCATATTAAAGCCCACTGCGCGTGCGAACTCATTAGCCCGTCAACAAAGGATATGGTAAGGATAGTGCGCCGAAACTCAATTGCCTTGTTCACAGTACAGCATGCTGCGGGAGAGGTCATGTTGTCCATACAGGATGAGAAACGAACTAGGAACTACGTTGCAATATCTCATGTTTGGGCAGATGGGCATGGCAACCTCCAGGCTAACTCGCTGCCAACACGCGTGCTCGAAAAACTGCAGCGCAACGTCGATGCACTGGGGATTTCAAACTCTCGAGTAGTCCACACACCAATCTGGATGGACACGATCTGCCTACCTCGCTTTCCGCTGGACCTGCGCAGGAAGGCTCTATTGCGCCTAAGTGACATATTCGTAAAAGCTGGTGGTGTCCTGGTGCTGGACTCCTATCTGCAGGCTTCAGATTCGCTGAGCATCTCTCCAATTGAAATACTTGCCCGAATTTCAATCTCGGGCTGGACTACCAGGCTATGGACTTTCTCTGAAGGCCGCCTAGCGAGACGAGTGTGGTTCCAGTTCCGTGACCGGGCTGTCGATCTCTATGACCTCATGAATAACTGGCATGAGGAGCTCAAGTTGCGTATCCCTGCAAGTCCCTTGACCAACGTTTCTTACGGTATGGCGGTTATGCACTCGGCAACCAATCTTCTCGAAAGTGGCCAAGATCGAGAGCGGCCGTTAGAACTTGGCCAAATTAAGATTGCCATGAACTCGAGGCAGACCAGCTGGCCAAGTGACGAGGCTTTATGTCTAGGAGCGATTCTTCAACTAGATCTTTCCACCATTATTGATGCTGAAGACAGCAAAAAGATGGCAGCTTTCTGGAGACAAGTTGACTCCGTGCCGATTAGCATAATCTTCACCAGGTGCTCGCCGAAGCTCGAAGATCCCGGCTGTCGGTGGGCCCCGGCTACATTATTGGGTGGCACAAATTCTGATTTTGCAAAGTTGGCTTTCCAAAATTCCATTGAGATCGCTATGTATTATGTCCCGCGCACAGACACCGGACTAGAGTACACCGTGGATGCGGCTTTTCCTGTCACTGCTCTTTTACCCGTTTCAAGGAACAAGGAAGAAAGAACATTGGGCTCAAAGCGCAATTTTATCAATCTGTGTCGCCAACCAACTGGATCGGCTGCTGGCAAAGCCATAATGCTCAAAGACGATGATGGAAGCTGGTACAGCTGCCTCATCCAAGACCTCTGGCACCAGACGCCCATAGTTCCCGACTGCAGGCATGAGACGCCCGTGTTCTTCGTGCAAGATCATACCAACCTTACCAATATGAGGCAGCAGAACGACTTGGAGGTATGGAACCGACACCCAGCAGTATTTGCGACCTACAAGCCGTCGAAAAAGCTTTTCCATGCGAGAGCCCACACCCATGTATCGCTCACTAGGCTTCCCGAAGTAAATGGGCAGGCCTTTGACACCATTTCTGGGTATGCTCTTGCATTCAAGAAGAAGTGCAGACAAGAATCGTTTATTCTCCCAGACAATGAGGACAAGATGCTGGATATCGTAGCGGCGTGGGTGCAAGCTACTCACGCGGAAGCAGAACTGAATAGCCTCGCGGCGAGCATCCTGCCTTACGAACCGTTGGATGCGGTAGTCGAGTCCGGAGTGGCACTGTGCGCAAGATACATTTGCTACTTCTGCTTGGTCGCCGAGTGGTACAAAGTCAAGCCTTCAGACCCTTTTGACGCGCTGAAGTGGTGCATCGATTGACGGCCGACTGCTGACATGCCCCATCCTCAACCCTGACTTGCTCGAAGCTTGTCGATACTGGCCTCCCTTCTCCTGGACACCTCAGCCTTGTCTACCTCCCTGTTGAGCCAAGTTTGCTAGCTAGTCGACTCAGGATGCGCGTTGCCGATAAGACTAGCTGTATGAGACGAAGCAGAAGCGATCGAACCAGCCCAAGACAGTCTCTTTGAACGTTTGGGAGAATGACACACGGGAGTGAGTGACGGGGGGCTTCAAGTCAATTTTGTGTGGACGGGAGACCCAGAGCCCCATTGAAAATATCTGTGCAGTATCAATTCGAGATTCACAACCAAACACCACCTTCTCATATCTCTTCTTTCTGTCATCGAAAAGCCCTCCCTAATTCGATCGCACTCGTCATATCCTTGGGAGTCCTACGTGATTTCCTTCTACGCCACAATATCCCAGTACTCGTCAAAATCCAACGTCTGGATCTTCGCCATATTCTCCCCGTGCTCCTCATCCACAGTATGTCCGTTGCCCAGGTACGCGAAGCGGTTCCTGCCCACGCCGCCGGCGTCGACCTCGTACTCGTACTCGTAGTCCTCCCAGCGGGGCTCGCGGAGCGCCTCCATGAAGTGGTAGCTGGTGCCCGCGTAGATGGCGACCACCTTCCCGTCCTTGGTTCCGCGCTTGTACCAGCTCGCGCAGGGGGCTGTCCAGACGCTGCGCTCGAGCCACTTGTGGCAGTGGATGTTGTAGTCGCGCACCACCTCGGGCTTGATGGCTAGAGATTTGATGGACTGGGTCTGCAATTTGGAGATGGCTTTGTAGATGTACACGGCCGTCATCTGGAGACCGCCGACGAGCGTGCCGTTGGAGATGGGACTGTTGGGGCCGAGGAAGGCTTTGATATGATGTTAGCAAAAGCTCTCTTTTCCTCTTGCTATTATAATCCATATTAAATGGGGGGGAAAAAGGGGAGGGAGGGAAGTTCCTTACAAAAATAGTTCGGGAATCCAGGCACCGCAATCCCAAAATATGCCTCTGGGTCTTCCTGGTCCCATTTCCGCCGCAAATCTAACCCATTTTGGCCGACGATTGGAATTCGAGGTTTGAAGGTCGTATCGAACCCCGTGGCGCAAATGATGACGTCCAAGCTCCTCTTCTCCCCATCCTTACATACAATCCCTTCCTTGGTGACCCTCACGATCCCATCCTGTATCACCTCGACATTGGGCCTCACCAAGCTCTCCAAGAAGCCGATGCCGGGCGTCTGTCTCCTGCACCCGATCGGGAAATCAGGGATAAGTATTTCCGCAATTCTGCGCCCCTTTTCGGTGTCTCCTAGGCGCTCTTTCATGGTGCCGCGGAAAACGACTTGCGCTCTAGACTGGAGATCACTGGTCTTGATTGCGCGGTCGAAGATCTTGGCGCGTCGGTCGGCCAGATTGCGTCGGTGTTGCTTGAGGTACTCCGGGTCGCTGTTGAAACGAGAGATCTCGTCGGCCGTGTAGTTGTAGCGTGAATCCATCTTCGGATCGTCGTCCACAGGTTCGTTGATACCTGGGCCAGGGGAAATCCAGGTTTTAGAGCGGAGGAAGACGGTCAACTTGTCCACATCTATTTATGTTTGTCGTTAGCAACGTACACATGGCAACGCATGTTGTGCTTGCATATTTAGAGAGCAGGGAGTGGGATACCTTTTACGACTTTGGGGACGATCTGTATACCCGATGATCCGATCCCAATGACAGCAACGCGTTTGCCGGTGAGATCGTAAGACTCATCCCAGCCGGCTGAATGCATCAATTTTCCTTCGAACTCTCCAATACCGGGGATTGTTGGCCACTTCCAGTTGCTGTATGACCTTGTTAGCTACAATTTTGGTCACTGTAACAATATCATCTTGCTCTACGTCAGTGGTACTGGAGAATAAAAGACCTACTTGAGCAAGCCCCCAGCATTGATAAACACCTCGCAGTGATCGTCGAATTCTTCTCCGTTGGGCCTCCTAACTCTAAGATCCCAGCGCCCTTGCTCTGAGTTCCAGGCTGCCTTTAGGATCTGGTGGGAGGTGTGGATGTATTTCTCCACGTCGTACTTCTCCATCACATACTTCATATAATCATGAATCTGCCGCGAGGTGGCGTAGTAATTGGGCCAGTTGGGGTTGGGCTCAAAAGAGTAGGAGTAGTTATGTGCAGGAATGTCGCATTGGCAGCCTGGATACCTATACGCAGCACGTTAGCTATCCGCATCTGATCCTGGACCTGAATTCCACGAGAGCGAAAAGGTGCAGCATGGTTATGTTCCGCAATGAAGGAAGGACATACCTATTCTCCAACCAGGTCCCACCCATGTCGGCATTCTTCTCATAAATGCAAAAGTCCACGTTCATCTCGGTCATGCGCTGCGCATATACAATACCCATCATTATTCCCGAGTAGCCTGCCCCGAGGCACACGACACGGATAGGCTTTCTCGTGCCCATGGATACCTCTCTCACAATATAAAAGGACTCCGTCTGATTGGTGAGCGGCGTTACGTGTTCGATATGTCCATTTTGGCGGTTCTCAACCTGATCGGGAAAACCATTAGGTATCTGTACATCGCTGATGGCGACCGTGGCCTGCTTCAGGTCAAGAAATCCACTGGCAAAAGGCGAATCAGGTTCTATATCCAACAGGGGGGCCATATCGTGCTTTAACGGTGCCACTGTTCGCCTTGCCTTAGACCTCGCAAACCTGATAATGTTCCGCACCAAGCAGACAAACGTGATTGAGGTAACATTGTCTGAGGGTGAAATTTCCTGGATGCCGCGTCTTCATGACAGGTATAATTATAAGTATAAAGTCCTGCAGATAAGTCCATATTCAGTCCTCATTTCCTCCACAAGGCATCCCTGTCTAACCTCATTTTCTCCATCACTCGGAGGAGAGGCATGCCCTGCCCCCTCAACCTTGACATTTCTTCCACCTTATTCGCAATTTGAATGTCCGCTAGGAGTCGTGCCCGAGGTATGCCCAGGAAATGCGTTTGGGATGGAGTATAGGAGAGGGGGGAAGTGGTCGCGAGGAATGGAGGCGGAGATGTATTTCTCCGTGCCGCCGTGGCATTATATGTTTGCGGTATAGGACTGGCATTTAGGCACGGAAGTCTGAATTGCTAATTGCCGGGAACTGACAGTCGCAGGTCAGACCTCCTAGAACTCTCGCGCGGTTCTCGGTCACTTGCCGCCGGTTATCGTTCTGTTGCCGGTTTGTCTATGATTTACCCGGGGAGAGAATCAAGCAAAACTTGAACTTGACGTTGATCCTAGCATTCTTTTGGCACCTGACTCTTGGAGATAGATATGGAATGATGGAGATCTCCGTCAGCTCTAGAAGCCATGAAAGCTCCAGATGTCCAGCCAGACAATACAACCTCGCCGACGATTCGCTTCAAACATACGTGGAATCAGTTGTGAGGTCGACATGCGATATGTGTATGTATCCGTAATCTGTTCTTGCATGGTCACCATATTTAGGGTTCACGGCTGTGCCACGAAACGTCCGGTGCTGAGATAAGTTGAGAATTGATGTCTTGCTGAATGCATAGGATGGGTTCTGGCACCTGAGAACCAATCCCTTTGTACTCCTAATCTGGTTGATTGAGCCGAGACGAGAGGAAATCTAGACTGCGGACGCAGTATTTGTCATGACCATATCCCATCGGAAGGAGCCCAACACCTGAGTTCAGGACTTCGAAACAGATTCAGAGGAGATGCTGAAACATTCGACCCGGATACACCAACTCAAGTTATCATGGTCGCAACAGCTGTCTCGTCCCAAACCTCCAGTTACCATGAAGTGTGCTCACATGAGCTGGCCATTTTCTTCCTCTCACGCTGTTCAGCATAAGCACGCGCTTATGCCACTTTCTCCACCATCTGATAAACGGCTTTCTCATTCCGCGAGGACTCTTCCTCCAGCGGTGTGCTTGCCTCATCCGACTTTCCACCCTCCGCTATATGAATCGCGTCTTCCCTTCGCACCACATCAGAGGGGAGATTCTTGGCACGGCGGACGACATCGAAAGGGCTGTCGGCGCCCTTGAAAATGGCATCGATAGCTTCAAGCGAGTGTTTGCGAGTTTCAGGGAAGAAGAAGTATACCACTGCGCACACGAATCAGGTCAGTCATGAAGGCGATTCACCTTCTTGAACTGGGCTTTGGAAGAGGAATGGAGCACTTACCAGGGAGAATGAGACACAAATTAGTCACGGCAAAGATAATGAAGAACCGGTTGTTTAGGCTCGTAAACCCAATTGGCGTAATCTCCACCACCAGAAAGTTGATTGACCACAGCGTCGTCGAGGTCAGGCTGTAAATTGGCACCCGGTACGCCAAGGGAGCGACTTCTGTGCCGTAGAGGTAATTCACCCCCAACGCGCCTACGGTGAAGAAGAAGCCGTACAAAAAAACGCATAAAGCTGACACGATGGAGCAAGCGCGTGAGTCCCCTGCGTGTCCAACCGTACCAGTGAGAATAATGAACACGGCACCCATGCCTGCGGCACCGAGAAGCATGAGTGGGCGGCGGCCGAAGCTGTCGACTGTGTAGATGGTCAAGAAAGAGCAGGCGATCTGCCAGGTGTACACCGAACCAGATAGGATACGAGAAGTAAGTGGTGAAAGACCGACATATTGTTCAAAAATGGTGGTCGTATAGAATCCGATCACGCCTGCGCCGTTCATCTGCTGCGAAAAGGTGCTGAAGCATGCTAAGAAGGTCCGATTTAACAGCCGGTCACCACTGTTGCGGAAAAGACCTAGAAGGTTGCCTTTATCTATTTCCGCGAGAGATTTCTGCATCTCGTGGATGGAGGTCTGGATTTCAGCCGAGTCCTCCGGCAGGTCTTCGAGGATGGCGAGGATGGTTGTCGCTTCGGCGATGCGTCCCTTTTTGACCAGCCATCGCGGTGAATCCGGTAGAAACATACAGGCTGTCAGAATCCAAATGGCGAGCACAATAGGAAACGCCCAGGGAAACCGCCAGCTCACGCTTCCCGGTGCGAAAAAGAATCCCAATTCGACCCATTGACTGAGCGCCAGTCCGCAACTCGCAAACATACCTTCAAGCACAACCAGCGCGCCGCGGTGCTCGGCAGGCGAGCACTCTGACTGCCAAACTGGGACAGTGGCACTGATGGCGCCGAAACCGAAGCCCAGGACGACGCGGCTGACAATGAGTTGGCCCAGAGAGAAAGAAGTACACATGATGATGGCGCCAATGATCTCAACGACGGAGCCCAGCATGATGGTGCGCAGGCGGCCGAGTTTATCGCCGACCTTCAGACATAGAAGAGAGCCGAACATACACCCAACGGTGTACAACGCCACAACAGTGCCTAGTAACATTGTCACCCATCAGTCTCCATCATGTCATGCGGCAAGACGAGAGCTTGCGGTGGACATGGGACAGACGGAAAACAATAATAATGCAAAAGCCGACGGAGCGCTGAGGAGTAGAGACATACCTTGAATCCTTGCGTTATCTGCCTGCTGCTGACCCGTCGTATTGACAGTGTCAATCCTCGGAAACGTCTCAACAAAGGATGGAAGTGTTAAGAGACCACCGGCAGCTGCATTGTTGTACCCGATCAAGATGTAGGCAGGGCAGACGACCATTACGATCAGAGCAGTTGTTAGGCGCTTGCCTCGCAGGCCAAGATAGGGTCCCTTGTCTGCCATGCTGTCGGTGTATGCTGCGCGAAAGACAGGGACGTTTTGAGGGAGTGGTGTGAGTAAAGGAGCAAGCTTGGACTGAGTGTGAAAAGACCAGAATCCTCTGTGAACGCAGATGGATCCGGAGACCGTAGGAAACTCCGTAGTCTGCGACGAGAATTTGAGACATCGATCATGAGATCAAGACAGCAAACGCTGTTGTTATATCTTCTGCAATGTGCCATGGTTGTTTTGCATTCCCCCACAATTTAGCTCCTCCGGGTTTACGTGTGGAGAAGCTGGAGACGGTGAAGGGGTATAGAGGTGCTGCATTTGCTCAATGGCTCGCTTAGACGGAGGTCACAGTTCCGGAATGAGCTCAACGAAGGGGTTTTGGAGCAAGCAGCGTGACCGCGACTTGCTGTTAGGGAGAAGATCGACGTTTCGGTCTCACAGCCGATGCCGACCGAATCTTGCGGACTCTTGGCGGACATGACGGAATCCAGGAAGGGCGTAGAAGATGAGTGGATATACCGAGTACCATTACGCTCTGTGGTTGCTTGGATGTCGAAAAGACAAGGGTGGGGAGTTGATTGGAATTCCCAATCCAATTATATAGGGCTCTTGGCAAGGCTGGAGAGATCTGACGGATTAACAGATTTTCCTTGCTCCGTGTTATGCTCGTCCCACTTGCGGCTTGAATAGATGTCCTTCACCTGCAATCTGGCCTCGGGAATAGTTTCATGGTGAAATGAAGAGATACTCGTCCCTTGCACAACCAAACGTGCAATGCTATATCTCACCACCATCTAATCAAGCCACTATCCGAATAAATCCAGCTTCAAGGCAAATCCCGGACGAACCCCATCCCTCGGCGCTGTCACTACCCGGTACCTTGACTCGCAACCAGTTGAAACATCCCAAACAAATCATCATCATCATACAACCCAAACCCATCAAGCCCGGTATCCCAACTCCAATCCATGTTCCAGTCTCCATTGTGCTCTGCCCCATTGAACCCTGCGCCATTAGGCCCCTGGACCGTTCTGAGGGAGTCCATTGGCTGTGACAATGGTGGAGGATTGTCCGGCGGTTGTCTGATTTCCTCACTTATTTTGCAGGGATTTGGATATGCAAATGGGCCGGTGTATGAGTGAGACGGAATAGGGTAGGTAGGATTGTCGCCGAGTGCCGGATGGGAGGTGAAGAGGATGCTTGTCGAGCGCGGCTTGTTGCTCCCTCCTGCGTTTGATTGCCCATTCACGTTATCCCCATGCAGATCCCCACCGCCTAATCCAATGCTCATTTGTTGGACCCGCTCTGGGGTCCTGTCTTTTTCAAGCCCCAAATAGCGTACCAAGCCCTTCATAATCCTCAAGGGCTTCCTCAGGCCCAAATTTGCTGGAGTCGTTTCTTTTAACGCTTCATAGCAATCCCTAATCTCCTTCATATTCCTACTTGGGTCCCCATTCTTTTGGGCATCCTGCATGAACACCATGACTGCGTTAAGTATGCAATAAGACAGGCGGATGGGAGCTCGACCCAGGGTGAAGGCGCGACGGTAGGAAGTGACGAGCGAGCGAATTGAGAGGGCTGCTGAGTAGCAGTCGAGCCGCGCGGTAGTGAAGAAGTCCACAGGAGATTGGGGCGTCTGCGGCGCTTTTGTTGAATTAGCCACAGAAAAGATGGATGTAGCGCCGGAAGAAGGGACGACAGTGATTTCAGTAGGGTACAAATGGCCTCCGGGGAAGAACGGCCTCAGCAGGAGAATCCTCAGCGCATAATAGGTAGTGTGCATAGTGAGTTGGTGCGGTGGAGCGGGATGATCTTCTTCCACCGCAAGATGTGGCGGCAGCTTCCTTTCCCATCTCTCCAAAGCCTCCCCGATACGCTTAAACGCTCTCACCCTCTCCTCTTCTGACATTTTAAGTGACGAGACGGCATATATCGAACTTATGAGCATCTCCGCTATCTCCGCGAGGTCGACAACTGCCTTGAACGTGCTGATCGCATACGTTGGTCGCGGGACGTACTCTGCGAGGAGCTTTGACGTCGCGCTGGAGGCATAGAGCGGGTCGATGTATGGTTTCCAGGGCTCGGTTTCCTCGTAGGTGTCGAGAAGCCTCTTGCTGACTTCGCTCTCGGAGACCTGTAAACAGCACGGTCGTCCCAAATAAAGACTCTGGACTTTATCGTTCACGTACGCGGTCCAGAACACCCGCTTGCGGATTTCGATATCTAGCGCTGTTAATTGGCTGTTGTTGCCGATGCTGCTGCGTGATGACTTCTCCAGGTGGCAGCCGAGATCAATCACCATGCGGTATGCGATCCCGCAGTATACCCATCCTTGTGAAGTCTTCCCAATTGACACCAGAGCGGTGCCCATGAGGATCAATCCACAAATGGAGGGTACACTTGGCGTCTCGATTCCCTCGTCTTGTAAACACTCTCTGAATCTATCAAGAAATTGTGCAGCTACAGTCTGCGGATCGTCTTTGTCCCTCCGCAATGCAATACTGCGTTCGCTGTAAGTGGCAGAGGCGAAATATATGGCGTTAAGGAGAAGCTTATTGATGTAGGGGCCATTGTTGGCGAGGCTGTCCATCACCGCTGGGCGGTAAGTGATAAGGTAGGAGAGATGAGGGCGGTTCCAGTGCAGGTCGAAGAAGTGGATTGCCATCTCGGGATTGAGGCCGTCGAAGTCGAAGCGCCGTTCGTACAGATGGGCCACCTCACGATGTCTCTGCAGCGCGGCGTGGGCGACAAGTTGAGAAACGATGGATTGAAGTTCAGGGGAGAGTGGATCATTATCACAGTCTCCAGATGAAGAACCAGGTTCGCTGCCGGCACCGGTAAGGTGCGAACCAGAGAAGCAATCTTGAGACGAGATGGAGTGCCGGTGGTATGGGCCGAAGCCGATGAAGTTTGAATGCTCGGGAAGGGTACCATCGCCGTGATTGGAGAGTTCGTGCATGGCAGAGGAGGGTCCGTGGAATATAGGACTGTCCTCTGCTTCTGCCTCTTCTTCTTGGTAGTCTTGGTCTTTGTCTTCGCGAATGGTAGGCGAGGTGTGGTGATTCCACCTAGCTTCAATGGATCTGTAGCGTAGTGTGGACGCATGGCCATCATCACGGGGATGTACATGTTGTACTGCTGGGGGCAGAGCATTGGTCTCAGAGAAAGCGGTTATCGCGCTGCTTGGTTCTGGTGGTGGAGGGTGGAGTGGTAGAGACACGGCTTCTCCTGTTGCTTCGAGGCGCGAAGACTCAATGGTCATCATCATCGCCGTCCCATTTTCTGCGTGAAATGGCCCCGTTGCTGCCAATTCCCCATTCCTGGAGATTGGATCCTCCGATAGGCTCTCGCCAATCTCATTACCGTTTGCAGCCCTGTTCTTATCCCTAGTGCCATTGTGTACCATCTGCTGCTGCCCCAGCAAATTCCTAACCTCCTCGAGGCTTTTACTCTCTTTCAGTCTCTCGACCAGCAACCTCAGTAAATTTATTTCTTCTTCTTTGCCTTGAATCTGCGCTTTTGTCGGCCGGCTAAATTGCCGCCTGTCCTCCAGGTAGTGGCATGGCTGGTCGTATTGCGCACAGAAGCCACATTGAGGCCGCTTGCCGTTGCATTTTGCCTTTGGACGATATGTTAGCTGAGTCGCTCCATCATTGAGACCAAGATGAAGGATCCCAGAGGCAGATCAACTCAGAGAATTGTGCAGATCAATCATCGGGGATGGAAATCACAGTTGCGAATAATCTGAAACGCCGCACGGACCTTTCGCATCCGACATGCCTGGCACGCCTTCCGGACAGCTCTCCGGGGCACAGTTACAGGTGCCGGAGACGCTTCACCAGCCGTCATATTTTCAAATCCTAACTCCTGGTCTCGTATTCCTTTCGTAGGCTCTAATTTTCTGTTTGATCGTTGCAGTATGGTGGCATATGCAACTCCATGCTCTTAAAAGCCCGGAGCAGCGACGACGATGCGGAAGTGGGAAATCGGAGAAGTCACTAGCTGGGCTCGCCGGCTATGCCACCCGCTTTGCCGCCGGCCTCGTATGAGGAGATGCGAAGATCGACAGGGAACTGAATCCACTTCCGAGGCATATACGACAGTAGTAACGCGAGCTTACAGCCAATCAAGACATTCCGATGATTACTGCCGCCTGCTAAGCATTATACTAAGGACGGATGGTGAAGAGACACATTGCTTAATCTGAGGGCTGCCTTGGGAAGACTGGATCTTGTTGAGGCCCTTGGCAGGTCGCGCTCAGCCTCGCATCGGGAAGCCCTGTAACCCCTTTAGGCCTACAGCCTCGCCGGCCGTGCAGTCCAACAGGAGATACCCCCGTCCACCACCACCTCACTCCCCGTGACGTACTTGGCTTCCGAACTCGCCAGATAAATAACCGCATATGCCACATCCCAGGCGTCTCCCATCCGCCCCACAGGCACCTGCGAGTCTCGCCGTCTCGCCAATTCCTCCGCCGTCACACCTTCCGGCAAATGCTTCAGCAATCTGCTCTGCACAAGTGGCGTGTTCATCAACCCTGGCACCACCGTGTTGACTCTTATGTTTTTGGACGCGTAGGCAATGGCCGTGGACTTGCTGAACTGGATGATGGCCGCCTTGGAGGAGGCATAGGCGATGTGGTCAGTGCCCAAATGTCGTGTACCCGCGATGGACGAGAGATTCACGATGGCGCCGCCGGGGAAATCTTGCTCCAGCATTGTCCTAATCACGGCCTTGCAGCACAGGAACACGCTCTTGACGTTGACGGCCATCTGTCTGTCCCATACGTCCTCGGGCATATTTTCCGCCGTCCCCGGTGCGGAGAGACCGACATTGTTGACCAGCACGTCTATCCGCCCATATTTCTCCACGCACTTCTCCACCTCTCTGTCCACATCCGCTGCCGAGGTGACGTCGCACTGCGAGACGGTTATGTGGTCTGCAAGCTGTGGACTCTCAGAGAGAATGTACGAGCGTGTGTCCTCCGCAGCGGAGAGATTTAAATCCACGCCATAGATCGTCGCCCCTTGCCGCGCGAACAGTATGGCGCTTGCCCTACCGTTGCCAATGCCGCTGCCGCTGGAACCGACACCGGTAATGAAGACGACCTTGTTATCGAAACGCAACATTTTGTTGGACGCAGAAATGACAGGATCATGCCTCATAGGTCATGAGGACATTATATGCGTGCGAGGGACGGGTAACTGCACCTGCCATGCCTAGGTAACTTCTTGTCCTTTGGACACCCCCGCAACGCCAAACGTGCTGACGGAGATCAAGAGCTCCGGTTCCTTGAGATAAAAATACACCATCTATTTTGCCAGCCGCATTGAGTTGTCCCAATGGGGAGCAATCGATATATTCAGGGCTTTGGACGTGGACATTGCCAGCCATCCGATTCGTCGCAGGGGACCCTTGAATTTTCTCCATGTGGTCAACCAAGAGAGTCGAGACAAGAAGGAATGAGGTTCTGGATAGGATGATCTCCGTCACTCGCCCGCTGAAAGACCCTGTAAAGTTCAAGGAGCCATTGATAATCTTCAAATTGGGAACTTGATAACGATTTAAACCTCGCGTTTTGTATAGAGAATGAGCCGTCCACCTTACTGAGGGGAGATATGGACAATTCAGAGTGATTATCCAACGCAGCCCACTCCCCTACTACGGTGAGAAAGGGGAGGCAGATGCTAACAGCATCAGAGACGTTTTGAATCGAAATGATGCCGATAACGTCCCACAAGAGTTTATTATACACCTGGGCGATCGTTTCAGTAATAGATGTTAATCCAGTCTCTATAATCCCATAGCCACGTCAAATCGACTGGGTATGAGTTGTTGGTCGAATTCGGGACTGGGAATATTCGCATCCAATTTGAGGCTGCGTGGAGCAACGATGGGTCAATCAAGCTCAGCTCCCAGGCGTCTACTATGTATATATTACAGTCGATAGACTCGAGATTTGGAAAACTGATATGCTAAAGCAACGGGCAAGGGTGCATTCCAAGGCTAACCCCTCAATCTCCCGAAGAGTTCGACTGTGAAGAGCGGATATTCGAGTGCCAGAAAAATTGCTGTAGGCGTCCCACGGCACCAGGCTACCCGTGATTGTGATAAGGCCATCAAAGTTGATGTCCCCAGAAGAATCTGTGCCGATGAACACATCTCCCCAAAGCGTAGGACACGAACCAGGTAATGTTGTCCCATTGGCAGGGGCATTGATGGTCAGTGACGCAGGGTTTGTAGAGCTTCCACAGCCTGTAAAATCCTTCTGTCGGAGCGACAGCCTTGTAATCCAAGAATGGACCTGACTTTACTCTCACACAAAAAGGATAGAAGAGATGCCAGACAGAGCCACCACATACTGGTGAACACTGAACAACATCAACTCACCCTAAGGTAGCTAGTTTGGGGTTTCAAATCCTCACATAAAGTGTTTGCTCAGAATTCAAGCCTTAGCTAAGCCTTTGAGCCTCCCACAGGGGCGCCATAGCTTTGTACCGAGGGACGATTCGATCAAGTGACGCGAAGAGGTTGTTACAAAAAACGGGCTGGAATAGGACTCACATTTATTAGATGTGGCGCTATTGCAACCCCAACGGGCTGAACTATTCAGGTTCTCAAACAGTCGATTTGGGCAGCCTAGATGACGAATTTCCTGTCTTGCGATTGCAATGGACTGGCGGATGTGGGTTTCCCTACGCTTTCGTACATAGCCAATGACTACCTTAGCTGTTCTTTTACAGTCGGTTGCCGAACTTAATGACATCGCAGGGCCGTAGGAACAATAGGGTATGCCAAATCGAGTACATTTGATGAGGCTGCGTCGTGTTCGCAAGGCCAGGTGGTTATAATGGGGAGGTGTCTTTTAACGGGCCGGTCCAGGACCGGGCTTGTGCGCCTACGTCATTCCTTGCGTTGGAAGTTTGATCCCGGGCACGTAATAGTATCTTTGACATTCTCGCCGTCCCCGTCCGTTCTCGTTGATGTCCCATAGCTAGACACCTATTCTATTACCACTCCATTTAACAATTCCAAATATCCCCTTGGTGTGTCACGCTTGTTAGCCGGCCATGTCTCAAACACAGCTTGAGGTGGTGAAGTCCATGTATGATGAGCGCAGCGCACAGTACGACGAGAGCGACGTGCACGTGAGACAGGCGCAGGACTACATCGCCTGGGCCAACTTGAAGGCCGGGGAGAAGCTCCTCGACCTGGCCTGCGGGACTGGCCTTGTCGCCATAGGCGCAAAGCACGTGGTCGGAAAATCAGGGCGTGTCGTCGGCATCGACATCAGCGAGGGCATGCTGAATGTCGCGAGACGAAAAGCGGAAGCCGCAGGGCTGGAAATTGCGTTTCTCAACCACGACGTCTCGGATCTCAGCGGTCTTGACATTGTGCCAAAAGACCACTCGGATAGGTTGTTGTTCGATGTGATAACCTGCGCTTCGGCGCTGATATTGCTCCCGGACCCTCTCCAAGCCGTCAAAAATTGGAAGTCGGTGCTGAGACCAGGTGGCCGCTTGATCACGGACGTCCAGACTAAAGACGCAAACGTCGTCATGAACATCTTTTCAGCAATCGCGTCTGCGGTCGGCGAGACGGTGCCCTGGCACTTGCATTTGTGGCAGTCGCAGCAAGCTCTGGCAACTTTGATGCTTGACGCAGGATTCCACGTGGAGAGGATCTTCGAGACCGAAGCTTATGCGAGGACGCACTATCATCTCGGTACGGCATCGGAACTATTCGAGAAAGCTGTCAACAATGCTATGTTCAAGGGCTTTGGCCGCGCCGAGGTTCGTGAGAAAGCAAAGGAATTGTTTATCCAGAAGTTTGCAGAGATCGCTGGGCTCAAAGGTACAATTGATGAGGAGACAACATATTGGGTCATCGTAGTCACCAGACCAGGATGACAAGAAAAGCAAAACGAGAAGCTTGACCAAGTTTGTGCGTGATAATAGCAACTGACTAAAACGTCTTTGGAAAGGACAGCCAAACCCGCTAAGCAAAATTGATACATCTACAAGTTCCCGCCTTATAACATATCCATTCGTAGGGTGCCGTCAAACCCTGTGCTGACAATTTTGAGAGGCTTTTGCGTCTCTTGGTCTCGGTCGAATTAAAAAAATCGATGAGTGCGTCCCCTGGTTGAGGTGTCGTTTACGATCGTTTCTACAATGAGGAGACTAGTATGTTAGAAATGTTTTAAGGCACACCCTAGGATTTCGGACTTCGGCTAGGCATAGATGAAAGAAGAGAAGAATGGAAGAGATCGGTTTACTGAAGGGAGAAGGAAAGGTCAAAAACACACTTTGACCCGCCACTTGGCTCTTCATCATCTTGCCATACCTTGTTCAGCGACCGGTTTCCGCTTGAACAACTTCTTCAAACTTCCCGGTTTTTCTTCCGCATAACGCTCGTGCCCTATCACTGGGGCCGCCACCACCTCCGGCTCAGTGGCGGGAATGGGATCATGGTATCCAGCCGGAGGCGCTTCATGTGCTGGCCAACCACCTGGGATACCTTCCATTTCGGCGCGACCCTTTTCTAGGATTTGTTCGTTCTCGGCGTTGATGCGAGCTGCTTTTTCGGGATTTTTCGATGGAAAGCGACGGTCGATTTTTGAGTTAAAGGTGCCTCGGAGAGTCTCTCCGACGCCCTATGAACATAAGAGTCAGCACAATGATTCCGAAGTACCTCAATTCGATCCAGGAAAGACTCACGTGCAGTCCCTTGGCTGCTGCTCGCAGATCGTTAATCGTGCTTTGATTGTGTCGCATTGGCTGATCAGCTGTTTTGAGGGAGGAACGAGTTGGATAGCTGAAGTTATGCCTCGACGGACTAGCGGGTGGTGTCCCACTATTGCGTCTTATAAAAGGAGGGTCAACGGGGCTCACAGGACCATTGTCCACAGGGTATCCGTCCCGGGAGGAGTCACCAGATCTCCTCATTGCACTTTTGGCTGGTATTGGAGGAGAGTCAGCCGCAAGCAATCCTCCACTAGCCACCACAGGTGGCCTTCCTTGTTGGGCCGTACTAGTAGAGGCCATGGTTGGTTGATTAGAGGGCTCCGGGGTTGTGGATCCTGCGGGCATTTCTAGCAGTTGAGGTTGCTGACCTGGACTAGATTGCACTTCGCGCTTGACGTCCTTTTGGATGTCCTGGTGTTTCTTCCCCCCTCTAGTAGTTGTGGTAGTTGTGGTAGTTGTCTGGTTTATTGTTAGCATTTGGAACTGAGCATAGAACACCCAGGCATTAACGACAAAATGCTCAAGTTTGGTGCAGAGGCTCGTGGAAACTTACGGTCGTTGTCACTACGGTAACCACTTCTCCCGTGTCTTCATCGAAGACCTCCCCAGTCGAAGGCTTCAACGCGAGGTTCCTGTCCTGGTCGATGTTGGCTATCTCGCTATCCTTCTCCGCGGATATTATTTCATTTTGGTATCTCTCTCTTTCGGGAGTGGTTCGTCCCTGAGCACCATCTGCGCTGTTGGCACCGCTTGATGCATATGCTGAATCAGGTCCGAGGTCTGGCTGTGGCTCCGGAGTCTTCTCTCGCTTCCCGAGCAGGCGGCTGATCCGCCGATGTTTCTTCTCCTTGTCGTACGTAGGTAAGGATGAATTGGCCAAGGCTGAGTGGGACATTTTCTTGGAAAATACGGGCGTTATGTGTGTGAAGTATTGAAGACAGCGAGACCTGCGGGGGGAGACGACGTAGAAGAAGGAGCAGCTCAGCAACTCGTGGGAGCAGTATTTCAGGGTTCTGGTCCCCTCTGTCCCCTCCCAGGTATGGGCACGCCAGCCCAGTTGATCATGCAAAATGATGTCATTCTTCAAGCCATGATCGGCGTATTGATGGAAAAACGCCACGATTGCTGTACAGCCACAAACCGCGGGATAGACGAGGAGAGAAGAACCGGGCTCGCTTAAAAGGGGCGGCCAATCAACGCTGTTGGAAACCACCCGCTGTTGACATAATGCTATGGGTCCGCTCTATGTCTGATAACCGATTCCCATGCCTCCTCTTCGACGGAGGTTCGTATACGCGACGTCCAGTTCCAGCTCGATGTCGCACCTGATTTTCAGTTCACAGATGTACGGCCACGTACACTTCTCCCCTCGCGCACTCCATTTCTGCAACTTAGCTGGTGTAGGAGTGTCAAATGTGCTAAGGAGATCCCACAGCCCGAGTTGCGGCGTGATGGACAATTTTGACCAGGAGGCGAGAGTGGGCACGACTTCGTCCATCAACACTCGCTGGAGGAAGGTCGGAAGCATACCGAAGTGATTCATGACCTGCAGCCAATGCAGCAACTCGTCCAGGATGAAGCGAACCAGGATGCCGAGAGGTTGGTGGCGGTCGGCAAAGTTCTGCAGTTGAATAAAGGGAGCTATATATGGTCTCGACTGAGACACAATGAAGTGATTGACGTTGAACAGTTCGCCTATACGTGTCAATGGGGCTTCCGGGTGAACGGAGGCCTGTCGGTGCAGGTTGCAGCCTTTCTCTGAGAAATCGGCGGCAAAATATAGGGTAATGTCACCCGTAGCGCTCTTGCACAGTAACTGGACAGGCGCATACATGGCTTTGGAAGTGGCTATAGACGCCACCACAGCGGACCGAACCAGGACGTGGGGTGCCGTCAGGTAATTGAGGAGTTGCGGAGTTCCAGCCACCTCAGACATGGCGATGGTTATGTTTAGGATCCTTCCGGTCTTTGCGTAGGCCTCTTCAAACGTGATATCCCCAAGATTGTCTTTGGTGCATTCGTGGAGAACATCGATATCGAACACATGGTGTGAGGTACGGTAACGCTGGTACCGTCGTTTGATGGTTGCAAAGAAGGAGGAGTTGAACCAAGATTTGAGCCCATTTGTAGCGCGCCTTTCTCGAGACCGAAGAAAAGCATCGAGGTTGATGTTGGTAGCCTCAAGGACGCCCATCAGGTCTTCGTCCTTCGTCACACATATGTGCGCAGCAATCAGAGCTCCTGACGATGTCCCCGTGATTATCCGAGGAAGCAGACGCTGCAGATAAAGTGCTTTGACCACTCCGAGATGGCACATACTGATCATAGCGCCTCCCTGAAGCACTAGGCTTGTACGGCCAAGGGCAGTCCGCATATCAATGATGGCTTGTCGTTTTTCCTGAGCTGAGACGACAGGAGTAGCCCCACTGCTGATAGCATTGCGATCTGCAATGTAAATGATACAGTGTCGTACTTCCATGATATAGTCGTGGATGAGTCGTTTAGTCTGTATCTTTGATTTTCGGTACAAAGCAGGCGATAGGATGCGACACATGTTACGGGAACTGTGGGCTCTCAGCTGACTACAAAGGCCTCTCTCATCTCCCATCCGTCGGGATCGTTCAAGATCTCGCTTCAGAGTTCGGAGGACCTGCCAGTCATAACTCCGGTGACGGTCCACAGTAACCCACTCATCGATTCCATGAATTGCATCGTACTCAAACTGTCCTGTGTACCATGCCTCATAGGTGACTGGCGTCGTGTCGCCGTTGAAGTGTGGCTTGGTCCACGGCTCGACGAAGACTAGGAGAAATAGGTACCGGAGGATGCTCCATACAGTGGTGAAGATGCTAGAAGGGACATCCATCTTTGCAGACCATGGCAGAAATGAGCTACCATGAAGTCGGGACAGTCTCCTCCACCAACAGGATCAATGCTCTCGTAGACAAGATGACGAGACCGAGGAAGGTGAAAAGGTCAGACGACAGTTTCGACACCGAGCATGACAGAGACAGACTTCGGTCACGCTGCTTTTGGTTCCGGGATTCACGACTTGCAAGAGACACGCCTGCCGCTAGCGCCTTGGCAGTATGGCCTCTAAAGTGGCGCCAACATCCCAACTCAGTGTTGTCCGCGTCTTCGCCGTTCAACACTCAACAAACAATATCCCGTGTCTCTCGAGGTCTCCTCTCAGAGCATCCCTCGAGGACCGGGACGAACCTGTCCCCAATCGCATGTGAAAGCTACAGAAACGAGGATTGACCAAGCCAATAGATGTCAGCTATTCGGTGGAACTGAATGCTGCCGATATCGGCCTCACAAATCGATACCCCAATATTGTCCTGAAGATATAACAAGGTCTCATCCTCATATCCTGTCGTTAGATCATCGGATTATTTCATATAATCTAGCCGCAATTTATACAGCTAAGTGCATCTGAGATCTGGCATAACCTCAGCGAAGTGCTCTTCAAGACCGTCTTTGTACGCAATGGCAAAAGAGCAAGCTGTCTATTCCCACGGTCATCACAGATCAGTGGTCGAAGACCATGCACGTCGAACGGTCCAAGACTCGGCAGCTTTTCTTCTTCCCCATATCAAACCCAACCACAACATTCTCGACGTCGGCTGTGGTCCCGGTACAATCACTGCGGATCTAGCGGCCCTTGTGCCGGAGGGCAAGGTCATCGGTGGCGATGCCGTCGAGTCTGTCCTCGAGCAAGCTACCCAGTTTGCCTCCTCAAGAGGACTGACGAATATCACATTCCAAAAGATCGACGCCAATGACTTACCGTTTCCGGACAACTCTTTTGACATTGTGTTTTGTCACCAAGTCCTGCAACACGTGAAAGATCCCGTTGCCATATTGAAGGAGATGCGAAGGGTCGCCAAACCTGGCGGTATTGTGGCGGCTCGAGAAGCGGACTACAAGTCATTCGCTTGGTATCCAGAGACCCCTGAGATAACTAGGTGGGCGGAACTCTATCAGAGCGTCGCAAAGACGAATGGCGGCGAACCAAACGCAGGGCGATACTGTCACGTGTGGGCAAGACAAGCTGGCTTCTTGCCGGGTGAAATCACTGCCACGTGGGACTGCTGGAGATACGCTGGGCAACGAGTGACTCAGTTCTCTCAAAGCTGGGCTGGGAGGATCCTGCAACCGGGATTCTTGGGGACGGCTGTCAGAGAAGGCTTTGCGACGGAGGATGAGATCAAGAACATCTCTGAAGGCTGGAAGAGATGGTCCACGGATCAGGATGCTTTCTTTGCCATTCCTAGCGGACAGATCTCGTGTCGTAAGACATAGCGAGGAGGGTGCAATGCTGTGCAAAATGAGGAAGTGCGTTCGAAGCCGGCGATTCCATTCCTGTCCAGGGTCTCTACAAAGAAATCTACACTGTCTTCGTGAGGACATTGGATTGTGATTGACTTTGCTACGCCTCGGTCCCGTCTCTTTCCAAGTAAACAGGGACCCTACTCCGGTGTCGGCAAATATCTGACCACATTGGCTCACGTCAGAAGTCCGAGATCAGAGTGAGGAGAAGCTGGTGAAACATCCCCCTCACTTCAACCAAATGTCGCCATCGCCTCCAGGCAGTAGAGGCTGCTAACATCACATGCTCACGACAGGTCAAACACCCATTCCATCCCAGATGCCTCCTGACAAACTGGTTGGTCTACTGGGCGGGCTTATATAAGTCGACATTGCGTGTCTGCCATATTGCCATGAGACATCCACCCTTCTTCCGGGAATCACCCGCAAATCTACCAAACTCGAATGGAATGAGTATACATCAACCAAAGTTACGAAATGGCAACTGCTTCGACAATCAGTCTCTCCGCCGATGTCCCGGCCATTATCCGTGTCGCGGCCCTAGACCAAGAAGCCACCGACAAGGCCAGCTCTCTCCTGAACCACAACCACGCTGCGCACGATATCCTCTTTGACGAAATCGGCCGCCACAACCATATCGTCCACCACACACTTGCTGCATTCGCGCTGGGCGCCGACGCAGAAACGCTGCAGAAGCAATATGACCAGAACGCATCTTACCAGCGCCCACCCTGGCTAGCGGATGAGAACATCATCAGGTCTCTGAGTGAGGGCGACCCCACGACGTTTCTGACCCACATGGCCCAACCAGAGAACTACTCGACCTTCCTGGCTTTCTTCACGCGCCAGTTCTCTTCACAGTCGATTCCCGAAGTGCTAAACAAGTACGTCTTCTCCGACGACAACGAGCTGGCCAAGACCATCTTCAGCCGCCTCTTCGCGGGATACTACCACCCGTTCATCCATCTAGGTTATGGCGTGGAATTCTACCAGCCAGCCATCGTGGCGGAGGCGCTGGCCCAGACCTGCGTGCATTCCACCTACATGGACGCCTTCTTCGAGCTCGCCGCCGCTGAAGCCGCGAAGCCCTCGGTAGAGCCGGACACGATGGTGAAGCTGCTGTCCAAGATCCGCGCCGACGCCAAGGTCTCCACCGCAGCGCACTGGGACGACGCACAGAAAGTCCGCGACGGGGTCCTCGCGCGCGCCAAGGACGAAATGATCGCCTACGTCGCACAGTGGCGTGTCTCTCCGCCTTATTCGGCCCAGCGCCTCGACGAAGCCGCAGCGGAGGTCATCAACGCGGCCGCGTATTTCACAGGCGCGGCGCAGAGGCCGCCTAGGGTAGTCAAGATGGACTTCTTCTACATGCACGCCGTGACGTCGAGCGTTTTCCTCAGCGTCTTCCTCGCGCAGGACTGGATCGCTTCGCACATGAAGGCAAAACTGGTCGAGTATAAGGGCCGGCTTGATCTCGCGCTGTACGCGTCGCGACGGTCGCCGAAGCTCCTGCTCGATGAAATCACCAATTATCCCCCGACGCCAACGCCGCCCAATAACGACTCTGCGAAATCGCTGCCCCTCCGAGAGTGGAACGACATGTTCACCATGGCCAGCCAGTTCATGGACGATGGCCACACAGCGAAGTTCATCCGCGCGCTGGCGAACGGGGAGAGGGCGTGCGCTCCGTTCGAGAACAGCACCCCACCCTCACTCAACGACATGACCAATAATGCAAGCAACAACTCGTACACATTCAGGGGAGACGAGACCAATAACAGCCACCTCAACGGACAAGCGAACGGCGGTCGAGAAAACCCCCAAGATGACGACGGCGCGAGATGGAAGATCAAGGGAGACATGTGGCGGCGGCTGGCTATGATGGTGCTGGACAGCGTGCAGCCTGAGAAGGGGGAGAGGTGGGCACGGAGCGTGGGCTTTGACGAGGCATGGAAGGATTACGGGTTCAGGAAGAACTGTGATCATCATCATGGTGAGAATAGCGCCTACATCGCCTAGTGTGCAGTGTTTTGGGTAGTGGTCAATCCCAGTTCCCCGGGCTGGGGAGAGGGCAAGGCTCAAGCCGAAATTGAAGTTCCTGTAGCACACCCAGAGACTCGAGTCCTTCGCCGTTACTGTTAGAACGGAGGTGGCCTTCGTCGTCCGTTGATAATGAGCATTTCGTTTTCCCCGGAAATCGGGGCCCTCGGTGATTCATCCCATACTATCAACTATATCCGATATAGCGGTCACTTTGACTTTGTGGAGCATTCTTGAGGCACGATTCCGTGACTGACTGACCGTGCCACTTGTTTTTGAATCCGGCGTGGGAGATACAAAATTCAGAGTACCAATATGCGCCTTAATATATGATTGCCCGAGACACACACCTACTGCAATCGTGCGTTTGATGACTACACACAGGCCCCCAAGATACCGATTAGCACTTTGAAGGTCTGGTCGGACTTCTTCGCTGTGAAGCAGAAGTTTCTCCCTATCCTTGTGGAATCGAAAGGTGCAAAGAAAGGGAGCGTCTCATTGCAGGGACGGAAGTACCTCGTCAACAATACCAGTCGTTCCTCACATTCGCTCGCTCTTCATGTTCGACTCCGCGCATTCCTGCATCCGAATCCCGGCTCTGCCAGTGTAACAATTGATTCTGGCTCAATATCTGATGATGACCTGACAGAAGACTCAACCCTGAGATCATTCTTGACCAAATATACATTATTCTACCGGACCGCACCATCGTTGAAGTCGGGGCCTTGCAAAGTCACTTCTGTTTCTGCGGGCTATCACGGCTCAACCTGGAACAGGAGCGAACTTTACTGTTAGGGTGCAATTGAGATTATGAATTCTAAGACAGAAGAATCTAACTACCAGCGAAGGCCGTCAACGCGGTAGAAGTATACGCTTAGCCTCGTAGGGGGTCACCTTTGTAGCCAGGTGACCAAGCCATGCACCATGATATGGACGTTTTTGACGACGGTCTCCACTTTCTGAGGAAGCAAACGATGCATTTCTTCGGAGACTGGCATGGATGATTCTCTGGGTGAAGATGGCACGGGCCGCGGTGTAGGGTCGTTCTACACTCAGAGCCGTCGTCGTCATTGGTCACACTGACCAATTCGGTAATGCTGTCACCTTTGTGCTGTGGTCCCAATCTGTATCGCCAAGAGACTTGCTTGGCCGAGCAGGTGCTGTCGCAAATCGTGTGTTCCCGGATTTCGTCGCTTAACGGAGGCAAATATTCAAGCAGGCTGTCTAATTCAAATACTGCAGAGGGGAGGAAATCCTTCCGAAAGCTGGAAGCACCTCCCGACTCTAATTGAGGCTTTTCACACAGGAACAGCTCGAGGGCCAGTGTATAGGCGAGGTTGAAAATAATTGTTCGGTCCACTTCGCGAGAAACAATAGTCTTCGCTTTGTACCTGTCAAACAAGAAGCGAGCAAAGCCGTTGAAAAACACTGCCACGTAGTCTGAGAGAACATGTGAATATTTGGGGCTGAGGATGGATTCGGCGTGGAGTAGATAATAGTTGGATGTTATTGATATGTGGAGATGGGCGTCGAAATGATTCATAGTGACCTGGCTCTGGCGTCGAAGCTCACGGAGAACCAGTCGTCTGGAGATACCCAATTGATTGAGGAGATCTTCTTCAATGTTGGACGCAATCGAGAGATAATGGGTCAAGAATATAGATCTGACAACGTTCTTCTCCATTCGGCGAGGTTTAGACAACCCAGGCAATTCGTAGACTCCGTCCGAGTTACACTTCAGTCCCGAGAGGAGAAATTCGATGTCGGCCTCGGCGACGTTCGCGTCAACTTCTTCTCGTGAGAAGCAAATTGTGGCATACAGAAATTTATCGCTCTTCATAGTGTCCATAAGCTTTAATGTAGAAGACCAAGGTTTCCGGAATTGAGCTATATAGGGACAAGAGCTGCAGATAGTTTCAAATCGTGCCGCAATTGCACCTCTGACGTGCTCTATCTTTGATAGTAGATCAGACGGTTGGTCTTTGGATCTTAAGAGGTTAATTATGGGGTATAGATGAAGTTGAAGTCCGATCATTAAGGGAGGGAAGAGTTGTCTTAAGGTGGCGACGATGTTCGGTGCTGTTCGGCGGAATAATAGGTCGATGAGGCTGTCAGCGATTTTCAGGGTCTCCACGGTGTTGACGAGTATGCTGTGAATGACGGCTTCCCCGAATGTAGCGGAATTCTCCTCAAGACCGTAGACCACTCTGTGAGCCACCACGCCGGAAATGTGTGACAAGCTGAACACTCGCTGGAGAATGGGCAAGGGATCCACACATTCTGCAAATGAACCGGAGAAAGGAGCCGTTTCAGCAAAACATGCCAACGATATGATTGCAAACATTTCTTCCAAGCGGTGCATCGCAGTGAGTTCGAGGCAATGAGAGTGGTCGATTGAACTACTATGCTTGTGGCCGCATATGGGGAAATGTGGGCCTAACGACCGAGATTCGAGGATGTCAGACAACCTGAAACGAACAGTGCAGACGTAGTCAAAGCCGAGAGTCCAGATTTTGGATCTTTCTAGGAATTTTCGGCAACTGTCGCACGGGCGAGTACCTGAACACTGGATCCTTCATCAGAATGTTCAAGGAGTTCTAAGAATCTTGGGGTCAACGTACAGGCAGCTTTTTCAATCGACACCGAAAGCACGCGCCCCCAGCGGCGTTGACGTCTTTGGTGTTTTGCTTCCGAGTTTGGGTCCATTTCCTTCGTTTGTTAATGTCCTGTGATCCACCAAATGCATAACAAGACATATGGAAACCCCCTTCCAATTGCTCTGTGAAGGATCGTTTTCTCTTGATTAGCAAAGTCTTGATGGCCTTTGATGGTTCCTGCATTTGGACCACTTTGCCACTGATGTCTGGCTGCTGTGAAGCAGTTCTGGAAACTTCAACCGTATTGCTGATAAGACTGAATTGACTGTGCGAGGTTTTATCTTTACCCGGCTCCTGAAATTGAGCACTGTCATTTGAGAATATACTCGCTGGCTGTTCATTGGTGACTCGCAATGGGCTCTGAGGTGGAACACGAATCAAGGAGTGGTTGGAAGCCACCCAATTAGCATTGGCGAACTCAAGCGGGGAATAAGGAGGGATCGATGAGACCGTAGTGTTCGGGAGAGCTGAGGCTTCGTTTCCTATCGACATTGGCAAAGAATTCCATGCGAAACTGTCCGAAAGGCCAGTTTGGAAGTCCAAATAAGTCTCTGGGACAGCACCGAGGCCCCGAGATACCCCAGAGGAAGGCATAAGCTGTCCTACACGGGCCCGGCCTTGCATCACTAGCTCTTGCCACCCTCTCCTGAGGTCATTCTTGCGGAGCATAAGGCTGAAAGCTTCGTCATCCTCATGGACATTGCTTTCGCTAAGCCCTCGATCGCGCAGACGCCGACGAATCAACAAGTCAATCCTTTCAATATCGATATCGAGGAGCTTGATTCGATCATCAAGGTTCTCGTTGGCTGCGAGTGTCATGGACAGATTATCAGATGGGACACGGTCGGGTGCATGGAGCAGGGAGGGGTCGGGACCGGGGCCGGGACCTTGAGTGCTGATCGCTAGTAATTGAGACGGATCATTTAATGTAGGCGGCGTCGAAATTAGGTCGTGTCCGAGCAACGGATCCGGAGCTGGTTGCATTGAATCCCATTCTTCAAAAGCGAGTAAGGCTGGCAAGTCAAAATCGCTAGGATCAAAATCGAGCTCCATTGTGCAAACGACAGAATCTGGGTGTCGTGGTCCAGCAAAAAGATGTCGAGGTGAGAGAGCACAGATGTCTTCTCCTGAAGCCTGTCGATGAGGCAGGAGGAGAGGTGAGAAAGATGAGGTGGGGACAGTCTTAATAATAACAGACAACGGCAGTGTGTTGCACAGCCAAGTGGCAGGTGGCAGTTAATTGGACAAGGCTGCCCGCGCGCCCAAAACAGTTAGTCGAGTTGTTCCGAGGGCCCAAAGAGGTTAGTCCCTTTGTTCCGAGACTCTATGCAGAATAGCTCAAGCTTGTCCCGAGTCCATGATCGGGACATCGGAACCCTTCTACAGGATTACATATAGTTTGGAGCTCACCCATACCAGCGGAAAGGAGGAACAGGAGGAACGGGCCGAGCGGAAGTACAGTGACAAGCCGTCGAAAGACCGAAAGAAATGTTTGCAATGTATCTCAGCTGTCCATCCCAGAACGTCAGTTCCAGTAACACGAGTACACAACTCCCGACCAACACCTACATCGCCAGTCCTCCAGCTCAATGGACTAGAGGCGACCTTCTCTCCTTCCTGCAACTATTGGCAATGCTCCTCCTACCACCCACAAAATGGGCCGCTAGAGAACTTTATAATCGACGTAAGTAAACAGCTTCTCAGGCCTCTGCCCAAACACTAATGCATCCTGTCAAGTCACCAGACATACCCGGGAACAAGAGCCACCACTCTACTTCGTCACTTTGGTTCGGATAATTACTATTATCAGCGGTCAAACCCCGAATCCGACCTCTACTTGAATCCTCCACTGGCCTTTCTCTTCATTCATTGCTGTATGTCTTCAAGAATTCCACGGTTTCAACCTGTCCCGCTCTGCAAATATCACCATCGCTAATATACAAGAGGCTCTTCTGGCCACGCACCATGTCGAAGGACTTCGAACCCTCACGTATAGATGGCGCGGGACCGAAAAGAAGTTGCACAACTTCACGTTGCCGTAGTCACAAGCTTCTTCTGCACCCGGACTTCCCAAGAAATGGCTGGCTCGCTAGTTTTGTTGCTGTGTATTAGATTATAATGTACATTGCTCCCGCTTCCCAATCGAGCCCCTTCCTTAACTGATTTTGTCGTCTCAGCGTGCATTTAACGCAACGTATTAACTTGGGATTCCCAAAAGCCTTGCGGCAGTCTGGGAATGTTAATCTTTGGGAACGAGATCCCACCACCAGTACTAGACTCTCTCTTCGGAAGGCTCTTATTCGGCGAAGGCGTCGATGGCGGCGTCGTCGAATTCTGTCGACTATCAATACTCATCCTCTTGTTTTCGCGGATTTTGTCGAAGGTAGTCAGACTCGCGTCTAAGCCCTGTTGGAGTTGGAGACGGGCGGCCTTTTCGTCGGGAGATTCGGATTCGGCCTCGTCGGTGGCGAGTGTTGAGCGCTGAGAGGTATCCACCGGCGGTATAGTGGTAGGCTCTGGTGGAGTACCCGCTCCCTCGCTAGGAGTATCGTTCTCTTTTCCATCTTGCCCATGACCATCTAATTCTGCACCAATCTTCTCATCATCTACTGGGGTCTGTTTCGGCGTAGGGATGAACGCAGGAACCACACCACCCGCCATTCTAGCCCAGAACAAGCGCTCCCTCAGCCGGACCAATTCTTCCCATGCGTCTTCTTCATCCTTCTTGTCACCAACCTTGACCACTCCCTCACGGACCATGCGCACATAGGCAACAAGGTCACCAACGCCACGCACCTTCTCCAGGCACAAGGTGCATATACACCATCTGGTAGCACCCTCCCCTTCGCGGACACGCATGGCATGGGTTCGAGGGTTTTCACCTTGCTTCCTGTTCTCCCCACACAGGGCACACGGCGTGTATTTGCCGTACAGCTTGATAGATGCTTCGGGAATCGGTTCGACAATTAGAGTGGAGTCGCCCATTGCTGCGAGAATGCTGCGTCGATTCAACCACGAAAGGGATGGGGAGAGGTCAAGTCGCAAAGTAGGCTCAATGTCTTCAACAAGAATGCGCTTGAAGAAGCGGGTCTCCCTTAGCGGAACAGGTCCTTTGGCATCTGGATTGGGGCTAAACGACCCAGGAATATTCGGGGAATTGGCGAGTTTCGACGTAGCTGTTTGAGAGATCTGTGACAGATTGGGTTGCGAGTTATTATTCAGTGAGCCAAGACCCATCACATTTAGCCCGCCGTAGGACCCCGAGCCTGCTCTGGACGGGGCATGGGAAGGATTATGCGACCGAAAATGCGACGTTTGTACTAGATTCCTGAAATCCTCATACGCTGGAATATCTGTCCGGCAGAGTGGCCTGACCAGGTGTGTTAGAGCGGTAGAAGGGCTGGGAGCGAGCTCGCCGTGCTCGAGTGTAACTGGGGACAGGTTCATTGCTTCAAGAAGGCGAGCTAGATCGCTCCCTTCTCTTGTCACACCAGGGCTTGAGGGTGCTAGTGACACTCGGGGGGAGTCAAGATCCCTTCGATAGTCCGAAGCTGGGCCAATCTGCTGCATCAGTGTTTTCAGTTCCGCCAGTTGCTCAGTCTGAGAGGCTATTAGAGCTTCACCGTCTTTGATCTGGTCGCGAAGCTGTTGATTCTTCTTCTCGATGGCGTCGCGGTCTCGGTTGGCCGAAGCAACCATCTTGTTTGCTTCATCGAACAACGAGGCCGTCAGCGTTTCCAGCTCCGTCTCTATTCCGCGCTTCTCTTGGAGGACTTGTGCCCTTTGCTTTTTCTCCTCCACCAGTTCTGCTGTAAGCTTATCTTTTTGTTCGTCGACTTTTTCCCTTGGAAGCAAGTCTCCTCGCGAAATCTTTTCTTCATATGCTTTAGCTTCAGCCTCCAACTTTGCGATACGTGCTCTTGAGGCTTCCAACTCTTGTCTCGTCTGAGCGAGAGTATCGTCTAGGGTGGTTTGATGGTTGATTGCGCTGATCAGTTTGTCGCTTAGAGCGGCAACTTCGGCATTGACGTCGGGATGTTTTGAGGGCGCAGAGTTGGACCTAGAGAGGTCGGATGTGCTTGCGTTCCTCGGGTCTGCAATAGTCCGGAAGGAGATTTCTGGTGACGTCCCCTGGCGTCTCGGTGGCTCGGGAGGGGATGAGTCGACGGTCGCCATTGTTCGCAAATTAGAAGCGGACTGCGCTTTGGATAGGTTGTTTCGCGATGTGCTCATGGGCGGCCCCAGGGATATTGAGCGCGAATGGGTGGGGGCGCCAGCTCCTAAGAAAGCGCCATGATGTACCCAAGCATTCATATTCCTACAATGGAAGTGAAATGAGAGGGCGACGTGTTTCAGGCAACTGTCGTGCAATTCATGCTGGGTGCCGCCGGGTGCCGCTGGTTGCTTTGGAGCAAAGCTGCAGACAAAGGAAGTAGGGCGTTTGGCGAGCGGACGCGGCGAGTGAGTGGTGATGCAACGGGCGGAAAGAAGGTCACAACACCTGAGAAATATGTGTGTTACTGTGTATATCGATCTAAAGGCGAGATCAGATCAGTATGAGGTGATCGGGGATGAGATCTAGGGATGCCCCGAGGACAAGGTAGGAACAAATTATGAACAGCCGGACGGTCCTCGAGGGTTGCAACCAGTCGGCCGAACGATGAGATGGGCGAGTTCTCGTCCTCTCGGTTAATTCCCGGTGAAGGAATAGATGGATGGCTCGATGGGATGGTGCCGCGTCATAAGCGGAGGATTTGGGCAGTCAAGGGTGCAGCTCGTGGTGGTGGCACCCACGGGGTGCCCTGCGCCACTGGGCCGCCACTGGGGCCAGTTAGCTGAGTTCGTTCGGGAGCATCCCACTGGCATCACTGGCACCTGCCCCGCCTGCGATTCTGTGCATTCTCTGCTGAAAGTCTCTTCCAATCTCACAAGAGTATCGTCTGTCCTCCCAACGATGGCGGACGACGACCTAGCACAGGTAGGCTGCAGCTCGAAAGCGATAGCCGGTCCAATTCACTCACACACAAGCACAGATCAGGGCGGCGCGTCTTGCGCAACTCAAGCAACAGCAAGGTAGAGGAGGGTCAGGCGACAATGGCGACAGTGAAGAGCAGAAAAGGTTCGGAAGAACATCATCTTCGTCAATAATACTGCCAGAAGGTACTCATCAAACATTGCAGAAAACAAGAGTCGGAAGCCCGGTCCCTCATGCTGTCCCAAATCCTAGAGCCTGAAGCTGCGGACCGACTGGGGAGAATACGCATGGTCAAAGAGTCACGCGCCACAGATGTCGAGAACAGGCTGATCATGCTCGCACGGTCAGGTCAACTACGACAGAAAGTCACCGAAGATCAACTGAAGGACATGCTCACCAGTCTTTCCGAGCATGAGAAGCAGACGGGCCATACCATGGAGAGCGTCAAGGTCGTTAGGAGAGGCGGATGGGACGATGATGACTTGGACGATCTGTTGAAAGAGGTGTGATTGGGAAAAGGGGAAAATAATCCCGACGCATTTGCATATGATACCCCACGACGAGCATTGTTTTTTTCATACTTATTCATGGTCACGCCTCTGGCCGAGGAGGGGGAACAGACTGTGCCGCTGCCTCTTTGGCGGCTCTTGCAGCCTTTGCAGCCTTTGCAGCTTTGCGTTCATCTTTCAACTTCTTCCTGATTGCCCTCAGATCCGGTGGCTGCTCAATTCCTAGCCTCTGGCGCAGTTCACCAACATCCGTCTCGAGTTCTTCCTCCCAGTAAACGTTAATCACATCTTTGCTCTTCCACCCGTTCGAAAAGGCCCACGGCAGGAAGATCTGGAACATCCTCTGCCTCTCCAGGGGTTTCAGGCGGATAATTGCAGCTAGACTGAGTCCCGTCATGGGCAATCCGGTGTTGGCAAACTCAAAAGCCTTTAATCCAAGCTCTCCCTCTACCCACACTGGCAGACCGGTCACAGCATGGTAGAAATCATGACACTCGCGGTATCGCTGCATGACATATGCCTCCTCTTCATCGTCAATGTACCGTACTGCATCTCGGGTGTCGGGCGTGACGCCTTCCCTATCCAGCCAAGCGGCGTATGTTCTTCCCACGCTGTTCTCAGGCAGCTGTCGTAGTTTCTCGAGAGACATCGTCTTGGAGGTAATGCGTGGGCGGTCTCGTAATATTCTTCTCCCCGTCGGATCCGACAGCATACGATTCCGCAGCCATGAGATGAAGAAGGGCTGTGCTGTGGCTTCGCCCAATGCGGCAACCATGTCATGTCTGTAGGGATCGATAAGTGAGGTGACTGCGCTGCCAATTGCTAGGCCAATGCGCTCGACGCCAGTGAGGGGAACATGACCCGGATAGTTTGGTGGAGGTCGATTGAGCACCGAAAAGGGACGACTTGAGGATACATTGGCTCGCGCACCGCCATCGGATTGGCCCTGCAGACGTGCACAGTTGGCACAGATAGGCCGTGAGACGCGGAGTATGGAAGACAGCAGAGCAAGATCCCGGTGTCTGCTCGATCGAAGGAATTTCATCTTGTCTGACTGCCGGATGGAACTCTTGGGCTTGCTGTACGAAGTACCTCCACATGAGTGCGTGATGGAGCAACTTTTGTATATCTCGGTTGATCATCGGGTAAACACCTTGAGCTCGATAACACGCCACTTGGAACACCACTAACGCGCAGATCATGATATCTATGTAGCTGATTGGCAGGGACGTAAGGTGCCGTTTGTCACATCGACTTCAATGCCGCTGACAGCATCATTGTAGCTTGGGAAACCAAGACGGCAGGCTCTCGCTCACTCTGCTTGAATATTTAGCTGTCTGTTAAGGCTTGCAAGTGAGGTAAGGCATTGAAAGACCGAGCAGCAGCAGCAACAACAACAACAAAGCAGTCGGTAAGATGGGATTTAGGGAACTTCCCCAGCGTGAGCTAAAGTCGAGAGCAAATGCGAGCAATCCTGGGTTGCTCCTGCTCCATTGAGTCGTAGAAAGTGCTTTCCTGCTTCGTGGATTCCTTGCCACTCAATAAATGTCGTGTTGAATCTTTCCTCTTCCATTCCAACTCTCACCAAAACCACCTCACTACTCTACAGTTCCCGAATTCACTCCGCCCGTCACAGCTCCCCTCTCCAAAGCCAGACTCTATAGTCTCAGTCACTCAAAATGTTTGGCCCAATCTTCAATTCAGAGACCATCTCCCGCGTCACTGCCGCAGAGAAGAAGATCACCGGTGCCAAAATGGTCGTCAAGGGTGGTCCTGCAGCACAGGCTCAATCCCATGTGGGTGAGACCATGAACTCCCAAACCCTACACGACATCACAGAGGGCGAGAAGAAAATCACTAGCGGTGAACGGATCAAAGGTGGCCCTATAGCCTCGGCCCAGAGCATCCTCGCTCATGAACGCAATGGAACCTCTGCTTCTACCTCTGCCAACGAGCAAAACCCGATTGGGACACTAGGTAGCGATACCATCTCCAAGATTACTGCTGCTGAGAAAGACATCACGCGTTCCGCCGACCCAGTACGAGACGGTCCAACTGCCCAAGCTCAGAAGCACGCCAATGAACCCATCAACCATGACACTCTCCATGACATCACGGAGGGGGAGAAGAAGATCACGGGAGAACTACGCCCTATCGCCGGTGGACCTACGGCCACTGCTCAGAGCGAGTTGGCGAAGAGTCAGTGTTGAATGGTAGAGCCTTGTGGATCAACACCTGTCACGGCCTTGTGCAGTCGAAGGAATACCGGGATGAGGGGAAATGTCTGTACCAGTACCGAAGTGCAAGGTGTGCACCGGTTGAACACCGAGCGGAGGAAGGGAATGTAAGAGTACGATAAAGATCATGGCCAAAGCTTCTGCCCGAGACAAAAACACTTCGAGGTAACAAGAGGTCTAGCCCCGGCATGGGCTGCATTATCATATCATTGCATAGCATGACATCGTATCATACCTTTGAGCGTGGATTTTTGCCGAGAATGTAAAATAGCAAGAACATGGCATCACGCATCCAAAGGGGAAGAAGTATACAGAACGACTCAACAACTCCTTTTTTGTCTTGTTTTTGTCTTTCTTTTTTTCTCTTTTTTTCTCTTTGTTTACTTTTTTTTTTGGTGATTCTTTGGTTTTCTATTCGAAGTCCAACCTCTCCCCCCTTCTGCCATGCTATGCTATGTCTCAATATCCGAACGAGGGCGAACCTCCGGCCTCCTGGCCCGCTCTCTTGGCTAGGTAGCGTAGAGTACCATTTACCATACACCGTCGCTGACACGATCCGAATTGATACCTAGGTACATAAGCTCCGTGGTTTTGTGTTGGAGTCTTCTGAAAATGCAAGCCCCCAGCCCTTAATCTCTCAGATTCCCGCACCGTTCGCTCTTTAGAGCATGATCTGATCGAATTCTTCTTTCCTCCTTTCCCTTTTGTTTTCGATTCTTCTGCCGTTTCTCCTTCGGCCCCCTTGTCCCCCCTTTCTCCTTGTCTCCTTGTCTTGGTCACCATTGTCATCAACGCATGCCTCTGCCTGCAGCATCGAGATTTACGGCACATTTGGCGCCAAAGGTCAAAAGTCCAAATACAGAGTGCAAATTGTGAGCAGCCCGTAAGGCTCTGGGGCGACTGTTCCGCTGTGATTGATTGAACGAAACTGCTGGGCAGTTCGGATGCTCCTCATAGCCGAGGACGAGGACGAGGACTCGGAATCTTCGCCTGGACTATCCCCGATTTCTTCAATTTCCTTCCGAGTGGGTTTTCTGGTGGGCCAGCGAGGCTCACCTCATCTGGTACATTAAGGGTCACCCCTTCTAAGAGTGTGCAACCTTCTCGGACTTCCAAGTCCCATAGCTCAGCTGGCATGTGTAAACAAGCAGGAAGCGTTTCTCGATTGCTCAAATCTAGATGCTTGAGTTTGGTGCCTTCAAGCCGTCTGATATAGCTAAAGCCTCAAAAAGGGAGGCAGCAGCCCTTCGTTGCCTCGATCCAGACTTGGCCTTCAGCATATTGAAGGAGATGACTCACCTCTCCGATGATCTCTGTCGTCCTTCTATCTTCACTGTGATAGCGCAGCAGCCCTAGGGTTAGTTTCACTAAAGGCAGCTCGAAGTTGGGAGACAGGCAAAGGTTCTTTTCGGGACTCAGAACTCGTTCACGTGGATTTTGAGCGGAGCGCGCGACCATCCCATGCTCCAAAGGTTTCATCGAATAACGGAATGCAGTGAAATCATTAAGAACGTGGCTTGCCATCTTTGATTTGGCTGCGGCAAACAGGGCAGGGATGGCTGCTGAGGGGAATGTGACGCATAGCGAAGAGCTTGTAGAATAGGATTATCGTCTGTCGATATCTCACTATATCCCGAGACCTCGTAGGATGTGGAAGCGTTTCTTTTATTTTCTATCTGCGCTAAACCTTTTCCAGGGGCATTGAACGGACGGTTGCCTGCAACTTGTACCACGCACAGAAGCGAAGAAGATATCTATCGGTACAGGATACGCAGTATCTAGGTATTTAGTCCTAGTTCGTTCACTCCTCAAGTCCACAGCATACAGCTTAAGGGAAAGAAATTGCTGAGGCATCGGTAGTCGTTGGGGATTGATTTGTAGGCCTCGTCCGAGGTAATCAATTAGCGAAATCGTCGAATGTACCGAGTGAAATCTGGGAGATCTTAGCTTCCTCGCTGTGCTGGCGAGACCAGGAGTACTGACGCCCTGCACCGCGTGAAGGTGCCTCCTATCGCAGGGCGAAGAGCTCGCAGAATGGGATCACTATTTGCTGATATCTCACCATCGTCAGGATTCCAGGCGGCGCTCCGAAGCAAATCAAGTTCATTTTGGCCCTGGTTTGGCTTGTCCGCCTTATCGGCCCTTGTGTCTACCGCTTCTGTTGGAGCTAGGTCGATATTGTCATACAGGCGCTTTCTGGAGGGCTGGGCTGGTTCCACCCCATCCTTGATCTTGGTCCACACCGTCCACGTCTTCGTGGCCGCATTGTTCTTGGCGTATGTTGTGGAGTACGAAATAGCAGCGACCTCTGCTATCTCGTCACGTGCCTTGGCGGTGGTCTTTCGCCGGTCATCCATGTTGTTCATGGACGCTCGTGACATACATATATATAGGTGCAAGATGAACGTCATTGTCTGACCGTATCAGCAAGCAAGCCAGGAATATCCTTGAATACTTGAAAACATTCATAGTCAGAATCACCTCCAAGAGCAAAATCAAAATCATCGTCCGCCATTGCCTGGTCTGCCAAGATGTTGTCTTGCGCAGTTTTCTTTGTAATGGCCATTGTCAAAGGCTCTGAGACTTCAGTCAACAAGTTAGGAAGAGGCTTGCCATGGGCATTTTCGGTGACTTTCTGCAATGTCACTGTGACAACGGGATCGAGCGAGTTGTCCTTGGTGGATAGCACAAACGAGTTGCCATCTGGATATTCTGCTAGGTCGTTGGCAAAAGCTTCAACGTTGACTTGGTAAAGGCGGGTGTCTGGATAGACACAGTTGAAGGCCACGATGCCACCCTCTGGATTATCGATGCTGCGGACGTTGTCAATTCCTAGGAGGCTAGCACAAACGGGTTGCCATCTGCTAGATCGTTGGCAAAAGCTTCGACCTTGACTTGTACAGGGGATTGCCAGGATAGACATAGTTGAAGGCCCCGATGCCATCATCTGCGCTGTGGACGCTGCGGATGTTGTCAATTGCTAGGCGGCTGGCTTCGGCCAAGTGAGTCGCTAAATATATATATCGCTGATTAGCAAGAAATGGGATTGATCAGCGTTGAGTGGGCACATCAAGTTGGGTAAGGAGATTTTGAGAGAAAGCGATTTCATCGTCTCTGAATCCCGACATGGTGATCGACAGAACTTTGGTAATTGGAGATGGGTTAGTGTGATGCTGGTCCGGGGCAGATCTTGGAGCCGTCTCGATTATCTGGAGAATCTGGCTTGACCCGTGTCACAATGAGCTTGGCCAACTCTGTTGGAAAGTCGTTGATAATGCGCGTCATGGCGAGATGTCTTGCGAGTTGATGCTGGGAGAAGATCAACAGGTGAGTTAGACTGGGCTTTTAAAATATCTAGAAGCAGCCCAGGCATTGACCGAGGCAGTAACCACGGAATTGACCAGGAGGCAGTAACCAGGGCAGTGGTCAGGTGACCACGAGGCAGTTGCAGTGAAGTAATCTCATGTCTTGTTACCGCGTGAACTGCAATCTAGCGTGAAGTCGCTGGTGGCGCATTGGGATTTGAGCCAGGTTGGAATGATGATTGAGCCGATAAGGAGTACAATCCAAGCAAGCAAGTGAAGAGCTCTTGAGGAGACAAAGTTCAAGTGTGAGCTGGCGTAAGCTTCAAGTCATTCAGGCTGCAGTGTGGAGGTGATCTGGGCAACAGATGGTACGCAGTTCGATCGGAGTCGACCAACCGGAAAATGCAAAAGTTTCGAGTCCCGATTGGATCCAGAGGGACCGCTGGGCTAGGGCAATTGTCATAGCGAGCACGGCAATTCCAATGGATAACGGAGTGGGTTGAAAATGTGGCGTGCCATCAGATCATCGTGATATAGATGTGAGGTGCACTCAAATCAGTTGAAGCCATGAACTGATCGTGGAAGTGTTTTGATGATGCTTCGGTACCTGTCTGAGGAAGAACAAAGAGATATTTATGCTGTAGGTAGCCATGCTAGTTCGGTCACTGCCTCTGTTACCTGAGGCAGTGGCGGTGATAGAGGCAGTGGCAGTGAGGTAGTGAAGAGTCCTGTCAATTGACTGATCCTGGCACATGGAATCAGGTGAGAAGGCACCACACATGGCAAAATTGAATGCAAACAGGAGAAAGAATGGTAACAATGGCTGGGAGGCGGCAGGGGCCAGTAGGTAAACACGCACCAATAGGACAATATTCAAAGGAGCAATCTTGGAGATCCGAGGAACAAGATTTCGAAACCACAGGTTGTAGCGTCGCTTCGATGCGTGAGGCTGCGATACATATTAGAAGTAACGGCCGCTCATTTCTTCTCGACATGTCTTCGGGGCTGATTCAGTTGGCATCGAGATCCATCCAAGAACGATTGTAAGGTGTCAAATATTGGTTGTGATCTTCTCACGAAGATTACCTAGCTGAGCCTACATACGAAGTCGTCGCCGGGCAGACCATTTGTTAAGACCTGTCAGTGAATTTCTCGCCAAAGGGTGATCATTGCATACCTCCATGAAGATGGAATGAAACCCCTACTCGAGAATTGACCTCTCTGAGCAGGAATGAAGTATAGTAGGCGACTGCGAGACGCACATTGAATCGTTGTATGCTCTTAAGGGATCGGTTGAGACAACGTCTTGGTGGTTGTGCAAAATGCATGAACTTCCAAATGAACAATGATGGATGATCTGCTTCATTCACTGGAAAATATGTACACTTTGAGCAAGATGCTCGAGACGGCCTGTGGGCTGTTTATTTTTCTAATTCGCAGCCTTAAAGACATGCTTCATGGGGCTATGAGCCACAGAACACCCTTCAATAATTTTCCTTCCCCCATTTGTTGAATGCATCGTGGACGGCCTAAGGCATCAGATTAGACTGGTTCGCATTGAGCAAGGATGGGCACACCTTCGGAAGGGTCACGTTGGGCACAATGACCGTGTTCAAGGCGCTGGGTGCGTTCTTGGGAGTTTGGTTCTTATCGCCCTTGGGGTGATATTGGTATTTGAAGTGCTTGGACTGGTCCTCATGGTCATGCTCCACTTGCCAGGGCATGGAGCTCTGAGCAACCGAAACTTCGGCTTCTGAGGTGGCGGAGGTAGGCTTGCGACCGAAATAGAAACCTGCGAGACCAAAGGCGCCGGACATGATACCTAGGAGGATCTGTTCGTCGTTAAGAGCAGCTCAAAGCAGGAGAGTCGGAGTGGGCGGAGAGGGCGTACATAAAGCTCAGGATCTCGGCGGGCACCCTTCTTCAGCACCGTGTCTTTTCCAGCTCCACCAGCTTTTGCAGCTGCTCGACGAGCCAATGTAGCCGCGAAAGCCATTTTGCGAGGTAGTTGATAGACGAGTGGTGGGTGTAGGTCGTTGTTGAGAACTCGGAGCTTGTCGGTGGTGTGAGTTGCGGATGATGCTACGAGGTTCAACTTGAACTCCCGCAGTCGATCAGAGGGAGCTGCATTGGGCCTAGTGGAGCATGTGATTGCACGTGACTGCGTCTGGGAGATTGTGTCATCACCTCCCTGCGCTCCCTGCGCTTCCCCCTGAAGTTTGAACCCCGAATTCGAATTTCGGAAATGCGCATCCGATTTCTTGCTCTTGTCCTTCGTGCCTGGCAGCAATCAGCCTCACTTTCAATCGCGCGACGTGACGCTTCACCTTCACTTTCATCATACCGAAGGCCATGGCCGATCCGCTCATTCCAAGAACACCAACACCCCGCACATAGGTGACGATAAAATCCCAGCAAGCCCTTCTACTCTTGTGCGACAAACTTGGACGCTGTGAACGAGAGTTCCACGTCTCCCCACGACTCGGCATCGTCACCCCTGTGACGCCCTCTGCACCGTCCTACACTCTCGATATGCGCCGGACACCGCTCTCGTAACGCGATCTTTTTGTTTCTCTAAGAGACCATGGCTGTCAGACCGTCGACCGCTCGAAGCGAAATCTCCTCTGCCATCTCTGAAGATGGTTACGGCTCCAGACCACAGTCGGGCGTCCCTCTTCCTGCGCTGCCCAACCCTCCACCTTCACAACATGGTTACGCCCACCTTAGAGGTATCACGCAACCCACAAACCGCTCCATAAGGAGCAATCCTTCTCCAGCCGCTCCTGCTGCTCCTTCCAGTACAGCGGGCTCGAGTCGGCCGCAGAGTCCGGTCTCCCAAGGCAGTCGCACTCATGTTCCCTCATTGACAGCACAAGGCTTCTTCAAGCCAATGAGCTCCCAAAGATTACAAGCACAGAGATTGAGAAGACCTCTCGGCGCTAGGACTATGCAGCCGCCGGCGCCGATCCCGGATGGTGATGTGGACGAAGATGCCCGAAGTGTTGCGTCCAGCAGACAAGGCCCGTTCCATGCCATGCCTAGAAGCCATCGACCTGCTCCCTCGATAACGACGGAATATACTCAATCCGAAGCACCAGATACGGCTGATGCCGCATCTCCCGACTTTGCCTCCCAGCACGACGGTGATACTCAGCTCGTCAACGGGGTCGATTCCCAAAAACCACGTCGGCCGTCTCGGCTTAACATTGCCACCACTCTCAAGGCTGGCGATCCGCCTCAGAAATCACCACTCTCATTTCGGTCTGGTTTGAGCCTAGCCAGCAAGCATCGCCTGGAATCTGGACATCTGCATTTATCTTCGAATGCCACTTCTCCAGGATATCCGCCCGATTCTAATACTGATGTTGCCGTAAAGAGTGCTCTGGGCAAGAACTATGAGTATTTTGAGGGCAACACGATCTTTTGGCTGGGGGGCCGAATTCAAAATGCTCGAGATCGTCCCATCAACATTGCCACTGGCATATTCTTGGTTCTTCCGGCGGTCTTGTTCTTTTTCTATTCGTGAGTGGGCTCCTTTCTTAGTGGTGATTTTACAACAGAACTGACAGATGTAGGGCTTCCTGGTTGTGGCATCATGTCTCGCCCGCCGTCCCTATAATATTTGCATATCTGTTTTTCATTTGTTTATCTTCTTTTCTTCATGCTTCTCTTGTTGATCCGGGGGTAAGGGGACACCGAATCCTCGCTTTGTTGGCCTAGCTCACATCCGTTAGGTATTTCCACGAAATATCCATCCATTTCCGCCAGAGGACAATCGGGATCCCTTGACTCTTGGGCCTCCCACCAATGACTGGGTCATGGTACGATTGGCCACCTCGCAAACAGCCGCCATGGATGTACCGGTCAAGTATTGCAAGACCTGCAACATCTGGCGACCACCGCGGTGTTATCATTGCCGAGTTTGCGATAATTGCGTCGAGACCCTTGACCACCACTGCGTCTGGCTCAACAATTGCGTGGGCCGACGCAACTACCGATATTTTTTCACCTTTGTCAGCACAGCAACCTTTTTGGGTCTTTATTTGGCATTTGCATCCTTGGGCCATGTGATTGCCTACCGAGATCAGAGACACGTCTCGTTCGGAGCGGCCATAGACCACAATCGTGTGCCTTTTGCCATGTTTATATATGGGTTGTTGGGGTTTGCGTATCCATTCGCATTGTGGATGTACCACTTGCTACTTGTCGGCAAAGGCGAGACAACTAGAGAGTACCTCGCGTCTCGAAGGTTTCCCAAGGCCGAGAGACATCGACCATTCACACAAGGGAACTTGATCAAAAATTGGATCTCCGTTTTGGCACGACCCAAACCTCCTACTTATCTTCACTTCAAGAAACAATACGAAGAAGGCGACCAGCGATTTGGGGCGCGGAGGGGAGACCGGCAAACAAAGCTGGGCAATCAGGCCCAGAACGGGGAAATGGAGATGAAACCGGTACAGGGAGCGCAAAAGACCTTCGAAGGACCTGCAGGGAGGAATTTGCCAAAGAAACTGATCAAATGAATCTGTATATACTAGTGTAATTGGGCTCCTGCTGGGCAGAGAATGTATATCAGGCCGGGAAAACGGAACCCTCCATATTTTTCAGGTGCCACCCAACCCAAGCTCGTGTTAGCATGATAACAAGGAACTTGGAACAGATCGCGGCCAAAGTGTCTTAGAGTGGCTGAGTGGCCTAGCGTCAAATGCATATTAGATTGGGGGATGTTTGGAATGTTGTTGTTGTTGTTTATGCGGTGGTGCCGGGGCTGCAATTGGCTGACAGGCGAGGCTCCTCCCCTATCTAATATCTGCTAGTATCAACCGAGTTGGCACGTTTGATTGATTTCCCAATCTTGCATCTTGCATCCTGCATCCCTTTGCCAGCCCAGCCTCTCGTTTGCTACACCCCTCCCCGTCTCAGTCTGTCCACGCGTATCTCATCTTGTACCCCCTTTCCCACGAGTCGATATCTTCCTTCCAACACAGCACACGGTTCAATCGACGACAGTCGACGCGTCCACTCAGCTACTCTGCCACGCTTCGGAGCCGGGCTCCAGCTTGTGATTACACAATGCGTTTCCGTCAGACGCTCCTCAACTTCTACCGGACACGGGTCGACAATGTTTACCGCCAAACCATTGCCTCGCCAGAATCTCGGCCTGTGCTGCCGCGCTCTGCAAGCTCTACATCTTCCGACTGTGACACGGATGCAGTCGTGGTGACCACCAGACCCGTTCGACAACAACTCCCCACCCCCTCCGAGAGCTCCCTCGACGTGTCCCTCCAGGATGCCCGGGATGTAACTATGAACGAGGTGCCAAAAGGCCGAGCACGACGCGTTAGTTCGCGGCTTACCAAGAAACAGAGCCAGAATGGTCTTGTGGAGGATGTGGAGAACGAGGACCTCAAAGCGAGGACTGTCAGCGGCGAAACCTTGGTTAACATGGAAAATGCGAGTCAGTCAACACTAGTCAAAGAAGGCATTGCTGCGTTGGATTTGCCATGGAATGTGAGTGAAGTGTTTACTAAACAAAGTAAGGAGGATTTACTGGGTGGGAAGAACACCGCAGCGAAGGCGCTTAAGCAATCGACAGAGACTGCGCAAGACGTAGAGGTACAGCGTCTACGAGCAGAGAAGGCGGCCGCGAAGAAGGCAAAAATGGCCGAGAACAACAAAATGTGGGAGGGACGACGGAAGGCCGCAGAGAAATTGTCGAGGAGAAGGTCGTCCCGGATGCCAGTCCTAGATAAAGCGGGAGAGGTCGTGGCGAGCATTGCCAACAGTGTGCTTGGAAAGAGGAAGGATAGAACATCCGATTTGTGCACCGCGACACGGTCAAAAAGCATGGGAGGCGATGAGTCTGCTTCTCGGGAACCCAGTTCGAAGAAGAGACGCGTCAGCGAGGCTGATACGCCCTCTGAGGAGCTTGTCGAACAAACGCCTCCTACTCGACGGCGGGAAAAGAGGTGGCTTGCCTCAGGGCTCTACGCTGGTCAGCCCAGGCTAGTGGATATGCGTCCTGCCAAAGGAAGGAGCAAACGTACGAGCCTAGCTCCTTCGGAACCGGTGAAGGAAAACTCAGTCTTGCCCCTACCGATGTTCGGTGGTGAGCGTCTATTGCAGCAAGGTCGGGACTTCAAGCTACCTTTCGACGTCTTTTCTCCAGTCCCAGCCGGCCAACCGAAGCCCGACGAGTGGAGAAAAGTCAACAAAAACGTCTTTGTCGGCGATGCAGCGCAAACGTGGCGAGTGTCGAAATATGAGGAACATTCGAGCTGTGGGTGCAAGCGCGAGACGGGCTGCGATCAGAACTGCATGAATCGATATATGTACTATGAATGTGATGAACGAAACTGCAACCTCGAGGCCCAGCTGTGTGGGAATCGCGCATTTGAAGGCCTCCGGCAACGAGTCAAGAAAGGAGGCAAGTATAACATTGGCGTTGAGGTGATTAAGACGGAGGACAGGGGCTACGGGGTACGGAGCAATCGTACCTTTGACCCCAATCAGATCATCGTGGAATATACGGGAGAGATTATTACTCAGGAGGAATGCGAGCGCCGCATGAAGACCATGTATAAGAATAATGAGGTAAGGGAATCAGTGGATGGATTGACCTTCGAAACTAACGCAGGGCAGTGCTATTATTTGATGCTCTTTGATCAGAACATGATCATTGATGCTACTCGAGGATCCATAGCACGATTTGTCAATCATTCTTGCGAACCAAATTGCAGGATGGAAAAATGGACGGTCAACGGCAAGCCCCGAATGGCCCTCTTCGCTGGCGATCGGGGTATCATGACCGGAGAAGAACTCAGTTATGACTACAACTTCGATCCCTATTCTCAGAAGAACGTGCAAGAATGCCGATGCGGATCCGAAAAGTGCCGCGGAGTGTTAGGACCAAGATCCAAGGAAGAGCGGAAACTGAAGAACCCCGAGGAGGAGAAAAACAAGGGTCGCAGCAAGCTGGCAGGTGCAAAAAGAAAGATAGCAGACGTTATAGAAGAGAGTGCCAGTCGAATCACTAAGAAGACTAAGGTTGCTACTGCACCTAAGAGGAAGGTCTTAGGTCGCTCACAATCCACCAGTTCCGTCAAGGTGCGAAAGACGAAACTCATGAAGAAGGCCGTGACGCGAAAGACTAGTGCGACGGTCGGGAAAGGTCTCTCCAGACGTCCATCGAAACTCAAGACGCTTGTTGCGAGTGCTAGGAGCAAGACGGTCAAGCGAAGAGTTGTGTCCACTTCATCTTCCACCGCGCTGATTGAGAAGAAAGGCCCCAGAAAGACCACTCAGGCGTCCGTCAGCCGGTCATCAAGTCTGCGGGAGAAGGCATCGAGCGTCAAGAGTCGAGTTGTGAGAAGTGTTCGAGCCACTCGAAGAGTGAGGACTAAGACTGTTCGGGCGATTGAGGCTGAACAGGGGCTTGCGTAAGTGCGATGATGGCCATTGATGAGGGAGGTTCTGATGCCCATATATTCTATGTGAGACCCGTGGGAGGATGGAAGGACGAGGAGGATGATATTATACAATTCGAAGCATCGCCAACTGAGGGCTCCGAGGGCTCCAAGCACTCCAAGGGTTACAGATACCGAGGCTGGTCAAGGGTCTGTTTGTGGACAGCGGACTTCTCCTTGATCGACGATAGTGCGGAGAATTGGTGCCACGAACTGTCATGAACTGAGTGTCTTCAATATTTGAGATGATGTATTCTCCTTGTTTGTTCCATTACCCGCAACAGGGCCTCAGTAAAAGCTGCTTACCTCTGCAAGCACACGTCCGGTCATGGGTGAATCAATGGCTCTCAGATCTTCCTCCTCTTTCGCCTCCATTGTCGAGAAATACCGCCCTGATCTGACTCGGTATCAAGAGCTTTACAAACATTGCCATGCCAACGGAGAACTCTCTACGCAAGAGAAAGAAACGGCCTCTTTGATCACCCAGCATCTCAAGAAACTCTCAGACGACCTTGACATACGCACCGGGATAGGCGGGCACGGCCAGATCGCCATCTTGAAGAATGGTCCCGGCAAGACGATTCTCTTACGGGCTGATATCGACGCCCTTCCTGTCCAGGAGAAGACTGGTCTACCATACGCCAGTACGAAGACGATGCGTGACACGGACGGGATCATCAAGCCCGTCATGCACGCTTGCGGGCATGATTTCCACATCACGTCTTTGTTGGCCGCCGCAGAGACACTCATCGCCGCCCGGTCTACCTGGTCTGGGACCATCGTCTTCCTCTTCCAGCCTGCCGAAGAAAGAGGGTGTGGCGCCCGCGCGATGGTAGATGACGGGCTCTACTCCGCCGACAGACACGCCTGTCCTATTCCTGACGTTGTACTCGGTCAACACGTGTTTCCTCTCCAGGCGGGCAAGACGGCCACACGGGCAGGACCAGTCATGTCGGCGGCAGACAGTTTCAAGGTGACAATCTACGGGAGTGGCGGGCACGGCAGCATGCCCCATCGCACAATCGACCCCGTCGTCATCGCGTCGCATATTGTCGTGCGCTTACAGACAATCCGCTCTCGGGAAGTGCCCCCCGACGAGACCGCCGTGGTCACCGTGGGCGCATTGCAAGCGGGGAGTACCGAGAACGTCATCTCCGACGAAGCCGTGCTGAAGATCAACATCCGCAGCGTGAGCGTGGAATGGCGCGAACGGGTCCTCGCCTCAGTCAAGAGAATCATCAAAGCCGAGTGTCTGGCGGGCGATTGTCCCAAGGAACCTCTCATCGAACCGACTTCTTCGTTTCCCCTAACCATCAACGACGCCGAGGTGGCAGGCGAAATCAACAAGTCTTTCACCGCGTACTTTGGCGAGGACAATCATGACCCGAACCTCAAGAACGTGCTAGGGAGTGAAGATTTCGGCATCCTGGGATCCAGCATTGGAAAACCGTACTGCTTCTGGTTCTTTGGCGGGCATGACGCGGGCATGTATGATGAGATGGTCAAGAAGGGCGAGGAGCACAAGATCCCCGTCAACCATAGTCCGTTTTTTGCGCCAGTTGTGCAGCCGACTTTGACGATTGGGGTTGATGCGTTGGTCGTGGCGGCATTGACCTACGTGGGCAAGAAGGTAACGACGACAACGAACCATTTGGATGCATGCACTGGATAGCTGAAACTAACTCCTACGTGAGGATGCTTTGTTGAGCCTTGTCCGGCATGGAGCCAGACTTGCTAAGCGACGGTCGGGCCCATGGCACATTTTGATATGCAAGGCAAGAGGCTTCCTCTACAAGTCCGCTGTATTCGTCGGACTCTCTGGATCCTTTTCTAATGCCTGTGCTCTTTCTTTCATCCCTAAACCCTCCCTTGCCCTTTGCCTTACCTAGCCAATGAAGTATGTAACTTCTCCAAACAAGTCACCGCTCGTCGCCATTCACGGCATTTGGGCATTTGGCATTTGTAATCAGGGCAAGGCTCTATACGGTTATGAGGCACGGCACGCGAGCCTTTCCCTCGAGAGCGACATCGGCATTTGCTTTTCTCTCCTCAGCGGAGAATGCCCGACCACAACACACAAACATGCCACAACACGCCTCCTTGAACCGCCATCCATCTCCCAGGATTGAGATTGATATATATCCCGATCTTGAGAAGTTCTTTCCCTTTTTCTGATCTCTCGCTTCGATTTGTGGAACAGATGCGACACCTCGTGGGATCTACATGAGACTCACGGCCAGAGCGGTCCACAGACTGACAACCACCGCCAAAATCTTCGCGCAATCCCGGCCGAATACTATTGCTCGACTAGGACCCGGCAATACATCACAGCAAGTATCAGCATCGACGACCACCATGTCTTCTTCTTCCGGTCCGCTCAAACTTGCCATCCTCGACGACTACGCCTCCATCGCGCTGTCTCACTTCCAACCCCTACAGGGGCAAGTTCAAATCGACACATTCCCGAGCACGCTCAATGCACGGATTCCCGACGAGCACGCCAAACTGGTCGAGAGGCTGAAACCGTACACGATCATCTCGTCCATGCGCGAACGCACGCTCTTTTCGCGCTCCGTGCTCGAGCAGCTCCCAAACCTGAAACTGCTTCTCACCACGGCGATGAAGAACGCGGCCATCGATCTGGCGGCGTGCAAGGATCTGGGCATCACGGTTGTGGGCACGACCCCCAAACCGAACGCCGTCAAGGGCTATGATGCGACCAACGAGATCACATGGGCGCTGATCCTGGGGTTCGCAAAGGATGTCGTCCACGGCGACACCGTCATCAAGAACTCGTCGCCATCGACGTCTTCGCGGGTGGAAGACCCCAACGCCGCGTCCGGCGGCTGGCAGACGCACCTGACGGCCGGGCTGGCGGGCAAGACGCTCGGGCTGCTCGGTCTCGGCAAGCTGGGCACGCAGTGCGCCGTGACAGGCATGCTGGGGTTCGGGATGAAAGTGCTCGCCTGGTCAAGCTCATTGACGCAAGAAAAGGCCGACGAAGCCGCATCCTCACGCGGTCTTCCAGCGGGCAGTTTCCGCGTCGCATCGTCCAAGGCCGACCTCTTCGCACAGGCCGACGTGCTGAGCGTGCACTACGTCCTTTCCGAACGCAGCAGGGGCATCGTCGGCGCCCAAGAGCTGGCAGCGATGAAAAAGTCCGCTTTCTTGGTGAACACGTCGCGCGGACCGCTCGTCGACGAGACCGCGCTCGTCGAAGCCCTCGAAAAGGGCAGCATTCGAGGTGTCGCGCTCGATGTCTTCGAGACGGAGCCTCTCCCTAAGGACACGCCCTGGCGGAGGAGCGGCTATTGGGGCCACAACGGGAGGAGTCGCGTCCTGCTCAGTCCGCATATGGGCTATGTCGAGGAGGAGACCATGCATAGCTGGTACGAGCAGCAGGGTCGGGCTCTTGCGAGCTGGATCAAGGGTGAGGATCTCAAGGGCGTCATGCAGTAGTTGGTCACGAAGTGAATTGAGTCGAGGGAGAATTTTGGGACCAGGTAGGCATCATATATAGAGGACACGGGCGCCCGGTGAGATGGGAACAAAGCAACTTATGCTACAGTCTATCGAAGAGCATATGCTCCATCACAGCACCCCTGCCCATCTACCAGTATTTCAATGCGGTTGACATGCCATATGCGTTATATCTCCGGTCTCTCCTTTCCAGCCTCCCCCAACTCATAAGCTATCGTCGTTCTTGATCTGGACCTTGATGGCTCCGCTCTTTGGATCACTCGCCGTCTGGAAGGCGGCCACTGCATCACTCATGTTGAACCGATGCGTGACCAATTTCTCCAGAGAAATCACACCGCTTTCCACCAGCCTGATCGCTTTTGGCCACGTATTGCTGTACCGATATTGATACTGGAGGTCGATCTCTTGCGTGGACAGCCTCATGAAGGGGATCATCATCTCGTTCTTGCCGACGCCGATCACGAAGACTTTGCCGCCGAACTTGACCGACCAGATTGCCGAGTTGACGCTCGATTCAACGCCGGTGCATTCCATCGCCACACGAGGTCGAATACCTCCCATTGCGGAGACGATTTGCTCGGCACATTGTTCCGCAGATACCCCCATGGGGACCTGGAATGTCGTGACTCGTGGCACCAGGGATTTTGCAAATTTTAACCGTCCGGCATCGATGTCGGTGATCAGGAGGGGACATGCACCCGCAGCCGCACAGCACAACAACGTAACCAAACCAATCGGTCCAGCACCACATACCAGCACGGGGTCTCCCAGCCTAACGCCAGCGCGATCCATCCCTGCCAACGCCACAGAAAGAGGTTCCAGCAGGCTGCCATTCTCATAGCTCATGTTCCCGATCTTGTGACACCACACGGCGGGGTGTTTGACGTATCTCCTCAATAAGCCGTCAATGGGCGGCGTGGAGAGAAACTCCACGTTCTCACACCCATTGTACCTTCCCGTCAAGCACGGCTCGCATTTAAAACATGGAATATTCGGCTCAATGGCCACTCTATCACCAGGTTTCAAATTTGTCACACTAGGATGGACGGATAGTATGATGCCTGCAGATTCATGGCCCAGAATGTGGTTGTCCGTGACAATCATGGGACCTATACACCCTGCGTGCCAGAAGTGGACATCTGAGCCGCATATCCCTGTGCTTTTGATGCCAATGTAGACTTCTCCTTCTCTTAGGTCTTTCCCGTCTTGGACTTCTGCAAGGGTTGGGGACGTTTCGGCCACCCAAAGGTCATGTTTCGGGTTTGTGAAGACGCCAATGTTGGATTTTGTGGGTTGGATCTCCGAGGAGTCTTTGATTGAGGTAGAGGTATCATTCACGACGCCGGCAGTCTTACCAACATGGCCGTTAGAGGTCGACATCGCAGGCAGGACTATCTTGAGTATCCAAGAAAGAAAAATGGACAATGAGGGGTACGAGAGAAGGAGGTTTGATTCGACCGGTTCCAGCACTTCACGGAGGAGTGGTCCTCCGAAAGACACCGCCGACGCGGGTTTGTACAGGTAGGTTATATACTCGGAACTCTCTGTCGGACACGCTCATCGCACAGAGAATTGTTATGGAGCAACTTACAAGTACCGCTCGCGCTACCTTTTGGTTATTATCCCGGCCGCTCAAACCCCACTGACGTCGGCGCTTTCTTGGGTGTGACCGCCGCGAGATTTCCTCTTCTGGCATTTCCCCCACTATAGTGGTGGCGGCGCTTCGGTTGCTTTCGGGCCATGTTCGTTCCGAGAAGACAGATCAAGTCAACCGTGTTCTCAGGAGAGCCTCGCTGGGTCGACTCTGGGGGAAGCATGGATTGGTGCCGAGTACTGGGTATCGAGAATGCATTTTCAGGTTCCAAGATTGTTTTCGGTTCTTTCGAGGGTGGACAGCCACGTGATCTCATGTGACCTCACCTGGGGAGTGAAGGAGGCTTGGTGTATTTTGAATGTTTGCACAGCCTCACCAACTCCAGCTGCTCCAGCCAACTCCAGCCCTTGTCCAGCCCAAGCCTCAGCACACTTCCACATGACCATTTTATCGTCCTCGACTGTGCCGCCATGTGGAGATGCAACAAAACTCGTCCTAATCTCAACTCCCATCCTACTTACGCCTTGGTCGTCCCATAGTTGACTGCATAGGGCCTTGACAATGTTCCAGATTTGGCGCCCGTTTAGCAGACGGAAGAACCGAACCAACGACATCGCGCTAGGCTGACGAGGACGACTGCCTATGCTCCAGCAGCTTGCACTGTACAATTATTACGACTGATTTGCCGTACTATGCAACATGTCAGCAGACGACTATCATGTAGGGTGGATCTCTGCACTTCCATTGGAGGAGGCTGCCGCCCTGGACATGCTTGATGAGAGGCATGGCCCTATCCAACAACCAAGCTACGATCCCAATAACTATATCTTGGGCCGAATAGGTCCACATAATGTGGTCATCGCATGTCTACCTCAAGGAGTCATTGGTCCTGTATCGGCAGCTTCTGTAGCAATACCGATGCGCGGCACCTTCCCCTCTCTTCAGTTCATCCTTCTCGTCGGAGTCGGTGGTGGCGTCCCCACAACACAGCATGACATTCGTTTGGGAGATGTCGTGGTGAGCCGTCCAACCGGGCAATTCGGCGGCGTGGTCCAATACGATTTTGGGAAAACCCTCCATCAAGGACGCTTCGTCCGAACTGGCTCACTCAATCGTCCTCCCGACGTGTTGTTGAGTGCGGTATCCAGCCTAGAGGCCGAGCACCGCAGCCAGGGAGGTTCCCAGATTAGTGCCATTCTCGAGGATGTTGTTCGGAGGAACCCACGCCGGTGGAAGGCTTGCATTTATCCAAGCATGGATAAAGATGAATTGTTTGTACCCTCATACGCCCACCAAAGCTCAGAAAGCGGACTCTGCGAAGCTTGTGACCGCGGTAACCTTGTCGATCGGCCACTGCGCACCGAAACGTACCCGGTCATACATTATGGCTTGATTGCATCAGGTAGCCAAGTCATCCGAGATGCGATTATGAGGGAGCGTTTGAGTGCAGAATTGGACGTTCTGTGCTTTGAGATGGAGGCTGCTGGTTTGATGAACTACTTTGACTGCTTGGTTATTCGAGGTATTTGTGACTACTCGGATTCACACAAAAACAAGCAATGGCAGGAGTATGCAGCTGCCACCGCCGCTGCTTATGCGAAAGAGCTCTTATTGATTATCCACCCGGTGCCTTCCCTCCGAACAGCCATGGCCGACAGGACTCGTAGCAGCAGTGAGGGCGACAATACTCAATCTAGCCAAGGGCTCTCCTTTCAAGAAGGTTCAGCCTCTACTTCCAACACCGGGCCCCTGTCCGCGAAAGGGTATTCTTCAGCCGCAGCCGAATCAGGTAAGCGTTCCGTCTCCAAGGTAGTACCTTGCTAATGGTTTTGGAAAGAATGTCTCAAGTCGCTGTGGTTTAGGGAAATGGGCGGTCGCAGAGACAACATCGATCGTGCGGCTGAGGGAACCTGCTCCTGGCTGACAGAACACTCGGATTATCAGAAATGGGCTGCACAGAATCACGGTCTACTTTGGATAACAGGCTCCCCCGGTGCCGGGAAATCAGTCCTTCTTGACACGCTGGTAAGCGCGGTCGAAAAGCAAAGAGATGAGAGCGTTATTGTGGCTTCATTTTTCATCCACGGGCGTGGCACAGAGATGCAGAAATCCCCGGCCGGGCTATATCGATCTATTCTGCATCAGATACTGACAAAAGCGAAGATTCTACTGACCGAGTTAGCAAACAGTTTCGTGTTGAAGGAACAAAACCAGGGGAAATATGGACATGCTTGGACGTGGCATGAAAAAGGATTGTTCGACTTCCTCAATACTCGAGCAAAACAATATACTAGGCACTCTATCAAAATTTTCATAGATGCCTTGGACGAATGCGGCGAAGAGACGGCAAGAAAGCTCTCATCGGAACTTTGGAGCCTGACGACTCCAACTCTGGAGGGTCGTTCATCAATAAGCGTATGCATAACTTGCCGCCACTATCCTGTTATGGACCTATTTGGTGCCCCTGAGATCTGCGTCGAAAATCAGAATTCGGACGACATTTCTAGATTTGTGCAAGGTGGTCTCGCGTTGGTCTTCAACAACCCGCGTTCGCGTAAAGATCTTGAATACGCAATCTTGCACAAGGCAGCTGGGAATTTTTTGTGGACGGCTCTCATCCTCGAACAAGCAAAGCGCAAAGGGCGCCGTGGCTATGGCTTGGAAAAAATATGCAGGGAAATTCAAAATAGCTCTCCAGAGCTTGGACAAATATACAAGGAAGCATTGGTGAAAATACCGCCAGAGGATAGGACGGACGCACTGCGTCTTTTCCAGTGGGTATGCCTGACCGAGGAGCCGCTTTCCCTGAACCAGCTGCGGTATGCGCTGGCCTTTGACCCGTTGGCACCACCGAGAACTCTCGCCGCGTGGACGAATCCAGAAACATTCCCGGAGACAGACGACCAGATGAAAAGGTTGATCAAAGCTCTATCCGGTGGCCTTATCGAGGTTGTTGAAGGAAGCTACATCGTTCAATGCATTCATCAGTCCGTCAAGGACTACTTTCTGCAGCGAGGCCTTCAGGATCTCGAGCAATCTATCGGCCAAGAGCGATCACGTTCCGGACTTGACTCCGCGCTATCACAAGCCCATGAGCTCATTTTCAGATGCTGCATGCATTACATCCTCGCCGACGAAATACTTCGGCTCTCTGTGGAGGAACCACGAAATTCAACAACTGAATATCCCCTCCTTCAGTATGTTGTGTCCAGGTGGCCCTTGCATCTGAAGAAAGCCGACCTCGATGGCAGATTACAGCGAGGCCTTGTGACATACCTCCAATGGCCCGCTCGAACTCGTTTGAAGCAATGGCTTTTACTTTGCTCCCTGGATTTGCGTGCTTGTGCTCTTCGACCGGAAGCACATTTACTGCACGTGGCCGGTTATTATGATCTATGTCACGTCATAGATGCCGTGGCTGACAACGAAGCACATGGGACTATTGATCCTAGAGATACCGAGGGATGCACTCCTCTTATCTGGGCGGCAAAGAATGGACATGCCGAAGCGGTGAGCTCCTTCATCAGGCACGGCGCCGATGTCAACGCTTTTGATTCCGAACGGCGTTCGTCATTGTGGTGGGCTTCGGGCTACAGTCACCTGCAGGTGGCGGAGATCTTAATCAAACACGGAGCAGATCTCAATTTGCAAGATCAACTCGGCCGTACAGCATTGTTCTCGGCTTCGGCAAGAGCTGACGAAGTTTCGGTCGATTTCCTCCTATCCAAAGGCGCAAATCCCAACATACGAAACAAGCAAGGAAGGTCAACACTCTCCTTTATTGGTGATTGGGTTCTAGGACAGTCTTACAGAATTATCCGAAAGCTGCTTGAAAATGGCGCACAACCAAGCAGGAGGTTGTCTGAAGATCAGTCCCTACTAGAATGGGCGACGCTCCACGACTTAACTGACATCATCGACCTTATGCTGAAACTTGATCAATTCGCACATGATGGTAGCCGACGAGCGCTAGCGTTGTTGCACGCCTTGCATCGGAGAAGTTTCTCAGTCGCCCTCAAATTTGCAAATGCCGGGATCAGCCCGCAGAAGTTCACAGAGACCACCGGCGAAACCCCCATCGCCTACGTCCTTTCGGTGAATTGCCAATCCATTGCCGAAGTACTGCTTCAGAAGAAGAATTGTGACCCCAATGGTCGAGGTTCAAGGGGAATTACCCCTCTCATTGCCACTGCTCAACGGGGACTTGTGGATATGATGAGGTCTTTGATCAACCTAGGTGCCGAAGTGGATACTGTGGAATTTGAAGGCCGCACGGCTTTATCATTTGCAGCGGAGAGTGGATATTTAGACGGTGTCCGCCTGCTCATCGAAAAGCATGCCGACCTAAATTTGAGTGACAAAAAGGGAAAGACACCACTGATGTGGGCAGCTGAACACGGGCACGCTCGTATGGTCGACCTACTCCTTGAAAAGGGCGCAGACCCTAAATCTCAAGACTCATTACGACAATCAGCATTGTTCTGGGCAGCCAGAGGTAACAACGTCGATGTGATGAAACAGTTGATGAAGAGCGGCGTGGGTCAAGAGCACCGGAACTCACTGGGTCAGACTGCCCTCTGGTTGGCTATTATGCATCGAAAGCTAGATGCTGCAGGATCTCTACTCGCCGCTGGCGCAAACCCCAACGCAACCGATTTGGAGGGCAAGAGTCCACTTCTATGGGCAGTGTCTGCTGCTTATTTCGTTGGGGTCGAACTTCTTCTCGAACAAGGCGCGGATGCTAATCTAAAGGACTATAAGCAGCAAACGGCGCTTCTTGTGGCCACGGCCAACGGCAACATGGAGCTAGTAAGGCTCCTGCTTAAACACCATGCGAACCCTGACGTGGAGGATTTGGACGGATATACACCATTACTGCTTGCGGTCAAGAAAGGTTTGGCAGAAGCAGTGTCGGTTCTCTGCACACCTACCCAATTAAATCGCGGAGATCATAATGGGCGTACTCCGCTTCTATCAGCCGTCATGAACGGAAACGAAACAATTGCGCAGTGTCTGTTGGACCAAGGAGCTGATGTCGATTGCCAAGGTTATCGAGGGAGAAGTCCACTGTCCTTTGCTTGCGAATACGGATACGAAAGTCTAGTGGGGGTCTTGCTGGAATACCAGGTCAATATCAACATGCAGGACCAGAATGGTTGTACTGCCGTCTGGTGGGCAGCGGCTTACGGCAGAACCACCATTCTAAAGGTCTTACTTGAGAAGGGTGCCGATTTGGACATTCCCTGCAAGTCGGGCGAATGCCCTTTATCGAAAACCGTGAGCAACGGCAATGTCGATGCAGCTCGTCTTCTTTTGCAGCACCTGTCGGCTGCTCATCCTGATCCTGAATTCGGCTCCAGGCTGCTGGGATTGGCAACAGACCACTGTGACTCATCGATGGTCTCGTTATTGATCGAAGAAGGGGTCAACTGTGCTTATACCCTCCCTTCTGGCCGAACGCTGTTGTCATGGGCAGCGAAGAATGGTTGCCTGAATGTGCTGAAGGCATTGAACACACGAGGGGTCGATCTCGAGTCTCCCTGTGATCAGCAAGGGCTTACAGCCCTTGATTTAGCCTACAAGCGGGGCCACAAGAGCGTGATCGAGTTCTTGATGGCACACTCGCAATGACCAGATATATATATAATCTTTCCGTTGGTTTAGCCTGGTGGTTCATGTTGCCGTCAGTCAATTGTCGTCGTTACCTTCTGCCATATCCTCGGCAACCCTTTGGTTTGTTTCTGTATATAGCCACTTCAAATCTCACAGACTCAGGTAATAGTATATAAAGCAGAATAGTCCAACAGTAAAGAGGAGATGCAAAGGCGTGGGATACATGAACTGTCGAGCCTCAGCCTGATGGATGCGAGAAGTGGGCAGGGGTGCCAAGGAGGCACGTGCTGGTTAGGACATGCATCGAGGTAGGTGGTCCAGGGACGGCGCATTCGCTACATACTCGGCACAAGAAGCAAGAAACCTTTTCCCATGAGCCGATACTTTCTGGGCCTTTTCCATTCTTCTAATAGCATTCTCTAATACCGTGTACGTCCGATCTCACTTAACCAAAATTCCCACCTAAAGCGTTTGCTGGGCGTTTTTACACCGAAGCCTTGCCCCACCATAGCGAACTATTTACGATTACCATGTCGACACTCATTGTGCACGCACAGTTTGAAATGTCGTGCGTCACCATGTCAACGGAAAAGAACTATGAGGGGCCCTGCTTTTTGACTCTGGGACTCACTTCAAAGCTGCAAGGGGCGATATTGATCAACTCAACAAAGCCCATCGTGTCGTGGCGGGACTACAACCATTCTCTCCCCGCAGGCCTTCCCAGACTCACTCTTCGAGACACTCAGGGTAATGTCGCCTTCTCTTTCGCCTTGGATGTATTCTACGCAGAGCAGGTTGACCTCCGGATGAAAAACACCGACGACGACAGGCTCTGGTTCCATTTCAAATTCCTCCACCCGCACCAGCACTTCAGTTTCAGATACGACTTCAACGGCGTCGGCGACTACATCAGCGCTCTTGCCCTGAGCACGATATGGCCTTCGCGCACCTATCACCTCGAGGTCGGCGAGCCGTATCAACCTGGAGCAGAAGACAAGCTGCAGCGGGGTAGCTGTCAGGCTGGGGAGAGAGTGCAGGTGACCACAGTGCCCATCGAGCTGATCACGCCCAGCTCAATGTCGAAGATCCAGTTCCGATTCCCGAGCATTCGGGGAGGCTTGTCTTTCTCATCCTAATGCATGTCATGGTCCCCTTCCCCAGAGTTTACTTGGTTCTCTCTCGCTGGCTTATCCTTCTCCATGAGAGGGAGGTGGAAATGTATGTCTTAGTCAAGAACAAAGGGCCTCAGGAGTGGGCCTCGTTGCATTAGAGCTTTCACGGTCACTCAAGTGCGGACCAGTCAATGGAGGCGAGATTTGGTGTCTTCCGCTTCCCCGTGCGATATGGTGTTTCTTTTGCCAGCCACCGACACCAATCCTGGGCGCCCAAAGAACAAACAAGTTCGGTCATGCCAAGGGGCGATGCTGCTGCAAAGATTCGTGACGTCACGAGGTGTCGAGCCTCACTAGTCGAAAGACGATGGAAGTGGAAGCAAGAGAAAAGAAATGGACGGTGAGCGAGCCCTGACCCTGGTGACATGGTTGAAATAACTGACTGGTACCGTTACCGCAAAGGAGAAACGACAACTAGGGGAGACTCACCCTTCGTTGAGTTCTCCCGTGCGCAAGGTCTCGAGGAATATGAGGGACACGTGCGAGTTTTACGCCACTGGACCAACCATCGCTTCTCTCCTACAACAACCTTTATACGAAGGAGAAAGAGACAACAATCCCCACCTTGTTCGCTGTCACTCGACCTAGGCATATATCAAAAGCTTTAGGTTAGCCAAATAGCCGTTCGCAGGTCAAAGGGCCCCCCCTAATAGAATGAATAAGGCTGCGATTCACGTGACTTGACCCTACAGCTACATACGGAGTATTATATTATCCCCTTTTCCTTCCCAGCCGTGTCTGGAAAAACTCAAAATTGTCCCTTCACACTGTCTGTCCTCTCAAAACTGCAAGACTGGCAAAAGGGTGCCACACAAAAAAGGGAGGCTGCATCACATATTCAAACTGTCTCGAGCAACTAACTTCAGTCCTCCCTCTCTCTCACCCCATGCATTCTTCGCAAACGGGGCCATGCCATTAAAAGCAACCTTTCATCTTTCCCGCTCTCATGACGGAATTGATGGATTGTTATCATCGAGCCCTGGTACATTTTCGGAGGTGATGCTGTCGATCTTCTTGTACGGCGGCTCGATCGTCCAGATGAGGTCGAATCTGGGTTTCGAACCAGTTAGAAAGCAAAGTAAACGCACTCAGGCCGTGTTCCTGGGAATTAAAGGGAGGGAAGAGGAAGTTTGAGATTCTTCTTTCTCACCGAGAGCCCGGATAATCGGGCACATCCTCGACTCCTATGGCCTTGGCGACCTTCTCCAATGTGTCGTGTTCCCAGCAGATGAGGACGTTTCCCTTGCCGACAAAGTCGCCTTTACCTTTGATGTAATCGTGAACGGCGTCCGCCACCTTGTCGACGTCGTCCCGGTCGATGGTGGAGTTGAAGGGGACGCCATACGGCTTGAGGGACTCTGCCAGCGGCGTCACCGTCAAGTACGGGCGGGTCTCTTTGTCATCTGCCGCGCCGAGTTGAAAGAGTCATTTTCTCAGTGTAACAGAAGCAAGCAACCAAGCCCTCAGCCTCGTCCTAATTTGGAAGGGTAGAGGAAGCATCAGGCTGGGGATGGATGAATGGATGGACTGATCGGCTGGGATAAATCACATCACGCTACGTACGTTTGTGGGGTTTCTGGGCGATGATGTACCCGATGTCATACTGGCTGCTGCGACCGAAGACCTGCACGAGGCCCTGGGCGCGGTCGATCCCTTGGGCAGAGAGACCTGGCCCGTCTTCGCCGTCGGGCTGCTTTGGAGGTTTCTCGCCATGTCGGATGAGGTAAAGGATCGGGGAATCGTGAGGCTGGAACGGACTGTGAGTTTAGAGGCTTCCCACTGACGCAGCAGCTGTCTAAAGGCTTGGGATTCATTACCATTGTGGTCCTGAGGAAGACAGTTCGTTTTCTTAACTCTCTTTTTTTTCTTCAAAAATTCGGACAAGGAAAGGTCGGTCGAGAGATCTTTCTAGTGACACTTTTGTTCTTTAGGAAAATGAGCACACGACAACAGCTCAATTTATAGCTCGTTTCCATCGACCGTGGAATCCGGGGGATGCCGTAAGCATCCACCCCCGAGGTCACACGCTGCTGCATGCGATACGGGAGCTGATGCTGACTGGGAATCCAGAGACGTGCACCTTCAGCTGGGCAATCTCGCGTGCCTCGCTCGTGTTGCCATAGACATGATTCGCCGCGTAGGTGTAAATGGCTGAGAATCTGCTGCGGTGTTACGAAGCCCTCTCCAGGCGCCAGTTCAGCCGCACGGTCGAAAATGGGGCTTTGGCTGGGCAAATGCTGCTTAGCAACTGAAAGCAACAGTCCTGGTGGCCTTTCACATGACAGTTCACGTATTCATTTGTAGCCCTCGGTCCCTCCGTTCGTACGTTGAGCCTTTAGCCTTTCAAACACAGCACTGGTCTGGCGGTGCCGGTGTCGTGGTCAAATGTATTGTGGGTGCGCCACAGCTGCCAAGAGCTGCCTGCGCAGACTTCACCTCCATCAACTAAATTGCCATCCATTGCGAAGACTTGAATCTGGAATTAATTCATCAATTAGACTACAATTCCGGGTGACCCAGCATCCTAGCACCACGAAGAAACGGATCCCGTACCAAGCTTCCGGGGAGCCGATACAAGCAAAATGCTTGACGTCCACAGTCCCACAGACCCGCCGCGAACCTCAAAACACTCAAGCCGCGGGCTACAAGCTTCACGCCTAGAGCCGTCCTCGCCATCTGGCACCCACGAGCACAATGCCGAATACTACCTTGCCCTTTGGGGTTGTCAGCTTGGAGGATCGCCCCAGATAGCACTTCCTGGTGGTCCTTCCAACGGCAGCCCAATGGCAGCTGTTGGCCCTATCTGCAGAGTTTTTCACAGGCGAATCGAAGACGGTCTGGAAGTGATACGCCGTGGGATTAGCAAGATTGGGCAGGTGGATGCGGCACAAACACCCATTACAACCCCCGCCGGAACGTGGCATGGGAAATGCCACTCAGTGACAAGATAAATACGACCGCAGTGGCCATGGCGACGGGCCTCTTCCCCCGCAATCTCAATCCCAAATCTCACGCGACTCCTCTGTGGCGGTCACCTTCTTCCTTCCTCGCTCAAGAGAGACCAAAGGAGCGTGCCAAATGACCATCGACGAGGAGAAGGGGTTCCCGCCCACGACGGCCATACCCAGCAAGGCCTTTGACGGCGAGAAGGGCTTCGACACCATATCCGGCCCGGCGTCAGACGAGTCCCAGCTGTACAACAACACTGTCGTTCACCAAGACAATGGCATCCTCTCCAAGCTGCGCCGGCTCGAAGCCCGCATGGACGAGAAATTGGGCGTCGAGAGCGAGGCCATTGACCGCAAGCGTGCCGAGGACAAGAAACCCGTGCCCTGGCATGAGCAGCTCACCATGGCCCTCCTGTGGGCCAGCGGGACCATGAACACGTCCTGCTTTGCCACGGGCTTTTTGGGGTGGGAATTCGGATTGAGTCTCAAGCAATCTATCCCCATCTACATCTTGGCCTCTGTCCTGGGAGGAGCCGTCACTGGCTACTGCGCAACGTTCGGTGCTGCAACGGGGCTGAGGCAGATCAGTGTCTCGCGATACAGCTTCGGATGGTGGCCGAACAAGATTATTGCCGCGCTGAACACGGTCCAACAGATCGGCTGGGCCGCTGTGTCGTGCATCACGGGTGGATTGGCTCTCAACGCCGTGGCCGACGGGCACGTTTCTCTGGCTGTGGGAATCGTCATTCTCGCCATTGTGGCCCTGGCCATCTCCTTTGTCGGGCTCAACGCCATCCTGGTCTACGAGCGCTACGCCTGGCTCATCTTCTTCGTCATCTTCATGATCATCTTCGGCGAGACGGGCAGATACGCCGACAACACGACCCCGTCGTCGCTGCACGGCGCCACACTCTCGGGAACCGCCCTCTCGCTCGTCGCCATCGTCTACGGCTCCTCCGCCTCCTGGTGCACCATGGCGTCCGACTACTACGTGCACTACCCTGCCACAGTGTCGCGGGTCAAGGTCTTCCTGATGACGACGTTTGGCATCAGCATCCCGACGTCGATCGGCATGGTCGCGGGCGCAGTGGTGGCCTCGGCCCTCAACAACAAGCCCACGTGGCAGGACGCGTACGAGAACCAGGGATTGGGCTTCCTGATCCAGGACATGCTGCACCCGCGCGGGTTCGCCAAGTTCCTGCTCGTGCTGCTCGTGCTGTCTGGCATCAACACGAACGTCATCTCCATCTACTCAGCCGCGATTTCGTGCCAGCAGTTCGCGCGCCCCTTTGCCCGCGTGCCGCGCTTCATCTGGACCTTTGCGTGCTTCGCCGCCATCCTGGCCCTCGCGCTCGGCGGCCGCGAGAAACTCAACACTTACTTGGTCAACTTCCTCTCCCTTTTGGGATACTGGTGCACCTCGTACTTTGTGATCTTGTTCTCCGAACACGTCTTCTTCCGCCGCCGCAATTTCGCAAACTACGACCTCGACGCATGGAACGACCCTTCTAGGTTACCCCATGGCATCGCCGCCTTCACGGCCTTCGGATTGGGGATCGTTGCATGGTGCATGGGCATGGTTGAGACATGGTACACGGGGCCCCTGGGCAAGTTGATCGGTGATTATGGTGGCGATGTCGCCAACGAGTTTGCCTTTGTGGTCACGGCGGTCGTGTACACCCCGGCGAGGTATCTGGAGCTGAAGTACTTTGGACGATAGACGCGCACAATTTTTCCCGCGGAAATCAATCAATCAGCTCACAAAGGAGAGGACGGCAGAGCACCGAACGTGCTAGCTTGCATTCCTTCCCCGCCCCCCCAAAGAGCACACAGTTATATGATAAAAATGGACAATATCACGTCGCTGCCATTCGCAGTAATGTCTTCTTACTCGCTATGTCAAAGTATTGCATACAGATGCGGAACCCGCGTCGGCCTCGTGAACGCCCGATTGATCCCCACGTTCGCACTATTGACCACATATCGACGCCCTCAGAATTGACTCAAGCAGGCCAAACTCCATATTCCCATGCCTCAGCCTCAGAAATCAGACTGTCGGCCAGCCCTGAGCCTGCCGCCCAGTTGACCATTTTAGTGAAGCCCACGGTCGACCAATAGCTGAAACAGGTGCCCTTGGGAATGAAGGCCAGATCGCCAAAGATCAATTGTACTGTTTCACCATCGATTTCGAGGTGCAGTTGACCCTCTGTGACTTGGAACGCCTGGTCGACATTGAACTGGAGCTGCGACTGCTTGTTGTTCGGCTTGATGGCGATGCTGGCGACGCTGAGCTCGTTGTTGGTCTGATTGCCAGACGCGAGCTGGGCGACGACCTGGCCAGAGCTCCGATGGAGGTATTTGGGACCGCGGTTGCTGGAGACAAAGTAGGCTTTTGTGGGATCATCCGGCAAAGCTTGGTCGGCGACATGCCAGGTGTCTAAGCCATCGGCAGTAGTGCCATTTGTCCAGTCGAGATTGATGGTGTTGAAGGGTTCGGGGACAATGTTGTACTGAGGCATCAGGCCCAGAACTTTGGTCACATTGAGCTGCGAGGCATCTTGTGGGTCGAAGGGGGCGGTGGAGTTGTAAGGAAGACCAGCAGCGGCAAAGAACCGATCAATTCCCCCAGGAGCCATCCCTAGGGTGAGCTGAAAGTCGAGATCATTGGGACGATAGGTATGGTTGTTGCCAGGGGCGAGGAAGACAAAGTCATTGGCACGCAATTCACGACCGGTATCGGCATTGTGGAAGACTTGCACACTGCCCTTGAGGGTGTAGAACGCCTCGATCTCTTTGTGATAATGGATGAGGTTGAGAGGTGCTGGGCCTGAGTTCACTCCGACAAGCGAAAAGGCGCCTGAAGACGTGGTGTTGGGGACCAGAGTGCGGATAATCAAGCCCCCGAAATCCACAGCGTGGCCCTGCAGATTTGGCAGCACATAGGGTTGAGGCGTTCCGGGCGCCGCGTCCACCAATAAGCCACGGGATGCGGGTGTAGGCGTTGCCGTCGCAGCTGCAGCCGCGGAGCTCAGAATGGCGCCGAGCGAGGCAGCCACTTGAAGAGAGGGTGTTGCAAGCATCCTGTCGGGCTGTGGATCAGAAGAGTGTGTGGAAGAGAAGAGCAAGCTGTGAAGGACAGTCTGGAGGAAGTTGGCGGGAAACATGGTGGTCGAAGAGGAAAGGTCCTAGGCTCAAGTCGCCAGTGACATGGAAGGTTGGAGCGTGACTTGGGTTCGGGACGCAGTTGCAGTGAATAACAAACACAATAAATACAAAGCACTGTACGGAGCAGCGAGTACTGCCTGCGCTGTTTGCTGTCAGCAGCTCAGGTCTCAGGTTAGCAACTAGTAGTCAGTAGTAAGCTGAGGTGGGGAGCGGGATTCAGCCCTAGGCCTGATTCTTCTTAATGAGGCACAGCTCGAATGATGTTGTAGAGGACTCGTAGCGAACGGACGCCGGGTCCTCGCATTGTTCACTGAGGAAGGTGCTCCCTACAGAATACAGGTAACTGGAAGACCTGTATGGGTACTCACAATGCATGTCGTTGACTGGATCATGTCCGTACCTACCTTACTCCTAGGTGCCTCTAGTGTGAGCATTGAACAGAAAGAACTACGGAGTACGGGGACGAGTGATAGAGGAAAATGACGAGAGGGGGAGCAGAGAGCATTGCAATGGTTGTTGTACATGCATGGAAGTCACAGAAGTGAGAGGTGAGTGAGGGTTGCACTGAGAGTGAACCGCGATGAATGATGGCGAGTGCCCAGCATTGATTGCCAAGCGCCAGGGGAAGAGACAGAGGAATCCTCCGTCCCAAGTACCTCGTACCTCGTCCTTTGCTGGTCCCTCCTATGTACAAGCTGCTACAGTACTGCTGCTCGTGGCTCGTGTCTCGAATTTCCCCAGAATTTCGGTTTCGCAAAAGTGTCCACAACTAATTCGTTACCAAGTCGCAGCCACTTTCTACTTCCTCTAAGTCACTCACTCACTCCCTCACTCCCTCACCCACGACTCGCGCGACTTCAATTGACCCTCTTTGGTCCTGGATCTGCTCTCCTCGTCGCTTCTGTTGCAACCAGTACAGCCCGTACCGTATTCTCGCATTTTCGACCCGTCTCCCTAGTGGTGGTGCCATACACTTACAACCATGGTATGAAATCCTCTTTCTCCTTTCCCACAGGACGAGGTCAACACTCGTCTAATGACCTACTTTGCGCACTTACTTTTGTCAAACTGAGAAACCGACTGACGGTCTCTTCCAGGCTTCAGCGAGACCAGCATCTCCCATGACCTCAGGCCCTGAGTCAGGCCCCGATTCAACCCCATCTACCCAGAAAGCCAGCGGATCCTCTTCTATTGCACGCGCCGGCTCCCCTCCGGGCGGTCCTCGATCGGCTATCCGTCGTCGTGCGGCCGCCGATCACAAAGAGTCAGTCAAGAACGCCAGACCAACCTCGACACGTGCGGCAGGCGCGGGTGGTTCCTCAGGGACCATGTTGAGATTATATACCGATGAGAGCCCTGGGTTGAAGGTGGATCCAATGGTTGTCATGTTCTTGAGCTTGGGCTTTATTTTCAGCGTTGTGGCATTGCACCGTAAGTCCACGCCAGCATGCACCGGGTCTACGGCCTCCTACGAGGCATGTCAATGCTAATTGTGTCGACAGTCATTGCAAAGATCACAAAGCGATTCTCATGAATGTATTAGAACAGCGGCTGACGACGGTGTTCGGACGGAGAGATAAAAGCATTGGGTCACTGGTATCTTCGATGTATAATATCCCATTCAAGCATGAAGAAGGCAGAGAATCGTTCAACACCGGGACACTAGGACTTGCTTTGTCTGTGACAACAGAGCCATCTGTTTCCCTTCTCCGGATACCAGCTTGGGAAGAAGAAGCTGATACAATGCGTTTTTCTGCTTTGGTTGCTACGCCTCGCCCTTGTCCTTGAACCCCCTTTGTCTTTGAATGAGAGCCAGCGACATTCTCCAGGACTTGGTCTACAATCGAGTGTAGAGTGATGCGACTCTCGCCGCAGGTTGCCTTTTGTGGACTTGACAAACGTACCTGGAAAGACTGGATGGAAAATGTTGTTAGCAATCCGCATGCAAGATACACTTTTTCTGAGACCTTTTGTCACATAATAATATGACGATCTCCCGATCTTGCATCGTGTGGCCAACCCTCGTTACCCTCGCCTTGGTCCTGACCACCACTCGACATCATCTGCCAGGCACCATCCACTTTGGCTGCCTGCTTCCCTTGCTACATCTCTCCCCTGGCTCTGGAATACAGCGTCTGGGCTCCCTTTGCACCCCCTCCTCTCTACAGATACAAAGCATCTGCACGTCGCCATGACGAATCAAGACCAGGATCAGGTTCCTGCCCCTCCAAGCAACCCCCAGCCTAAAATTGACGGCAGTGAAGAGGACAAACACGCCCACATTGAACTTCCGCCTCCCGGGTCCGGGGAACACCACTCTTCTCCCTCGGCGCCCCTGGTCAACAGCAATGGCTGGGATGGCAAACTGCGCATGCCTCCTCGCAACGCCGTCTTGACCAACCCCGAAATCCTCTCCGACCCAGACTACTCAGACGCCGATGCCCCTCCCGTCGAGCAAATTGAAGCAGACGAGGACCTGCTAGATGATTACCCTCTCGATTCCGAGGACGTCGACCTGGTCCATTGCCGCATATCTTCCGTTCCGGCCTTGAGACTCGAGCGTTTCACAAAACTGAAAAGACTGTGCCTGCGCCAGAATGTCATTACTGACATCGTCCTCCCCGACAACGTGCGAGACACCCTTGAAGAGTTAGATTTCTACGACAACCTCATCTCGCACCTCAAAGGGCTCGAGGACATGAAATGTCTCAAATCACTCGACTTGTCCTTCAACAAGATCAAGCATATCAAACACGTCAACCACCTCCACACGCTGACTGAACTGTACTTTGTCCAGAACAGAATCTCCAAGATCGAAAACCTCGAGGGTCTCTCGAACCTGACCATGATCGAGCTGGCTGCGAACCGCCTGCGTGAGATCGAAAACCTCGACACCTTGACTCAATTACAGGAACTCTGGCTGGGCAAGAACAAGATCACCGAGATCAAGAACCTCTCTCCTCTCAGAAATCTAAGGCTGCTCGACCTGAAATCCAACCGCCTCACATCACTAGGCGGTCTTTCAGACCTGACTAACCTAGAGGAACTCTACGTGTCGCACAACGCGATTTCTTCCGTCCCCGCCGATGCCCTCTCCAACAACAAAAAGCTCCGCGTCCTGGACATCTCAAACAACCAAATCTCGCACTTGGAAAACATTTCTCATCTGACAGAACTGGAAGAGTTGTGGGCGAGTGCAAACCAACTGAGTGACTTCCGAGAGGTAGAGAGCGAGTTGCGAGACAAGGAGAACTTGGAGACGGTATACTTCGAGATGAACCCCTTGCAATTGCAGGGGCCGGCGGTATATAGGAATAAAGTGAGGTTGGCTTTGCCACAAGTGAAGCAGATAGATGCTAGTAAGTTGTGGCCCCTTCCACGCACCTTTCCCTGTTTCACCAGAATAGCCCTATGTTTGGTATGGGAAACTGCAAATCACTAATTTTGCTCGGTGTAGCCTACGTCAAGGTTTGAACTGCGAACCGCGCTGAGTGGAGAGGTTGAAGTCTCGTTTCGCAATATGCCGTATCCCTTCTTCTTTTTGCTTGAGCGACCAAAGTCGCCAACTCCCGAAAGAGGAGACCTTGAGAGATTTCCGCATGAAAAGCGCTGCATTGTCTCGTTAACGACGGCTCCAATACACCGCACAAGCAGCCGAGGGAGTCCTCACGGAGCATTCGCATCTTCCTGTTTTCCGTCTCGCGTTGTGTACGATCAGCTCCGGCTGGCAGCAGCATTGAGTGAGATGCTGTCAATTCCACCTGCCCATGTTACTGATCACCAACTCGCGCGTCCTGTATATTGGGGGGAGGAGGGGAGCCGGATTGGACAATTGGACTCTTCATGGAGCAGGACTCGAAGGGCGCGAAGAAAGAAAAAGCCGAGCAGGGAGGGACGTGGATCACATGCCGTCTAAGGTACCGGACGGCGAGTGGGTGACGCTGACAGGTCTTTCAATGTTGTATCTTATATGGCATGTATGCCACCGATAGGTATACAACTCACGAATACTGAAAAAGGCTTGGGGTTCCACGGTGACCCCAGACCCAGAACAAGAGATCGAAACTGCACGGACCAGTGAGGAGGAACATGATCACGACGAAGAAGGCGGCTCAAGTAAAGGGAAGAGGACGAGCAGAGAAATGAAGAACCCGCATGCAGTCGGTCGAGCCTGAGGTGATATCAGATCAAAGCAATACGTCCAGCCGACTGTCTCGGTTCCACGTGCGTCAGTAGAAAAGATTACTCTGGAGCCGCCAGTGTCAGAGGGAGGAAGATCAAACCCGATGATCTTTTTACGACGGTTTGATTTTTCGCGCTATTTTTTCGAGACCAGGAAACGAGCACCACAGCAGCCATCAAGGAAAGAAGTGCTCGGAGCAAGGCTCCAGCAGAGTAAGGAACTCACTAAGCGATTCGAATGGCCCGGCAGACGGTGTAGCGTACGTAATGCATCCTATGTATTGATTGCCTCGAGAGTTATTCCCGTGCGTTAACGCGTTTTCGCACGACAGATTCCCTGTTTGCTCCCCCCTTTTCCAATTTTCTTCGACACATGAGACATGAGACATGAGAATACATGAACGCCGGTGAACGCCCTCGTCCTCGTGTCTTTTTGGCCTGTTGATGCCCGCGCGGCACATGGGATAAAGCTCATGGTGGTGGTGGTGGTGGTGGTGGCGGCGGTGCAGTAGCAGCTCATGCACTTCTCAACAATCTTCGACGCCCTTTGCAGGTCACAGCAGGTCTCTAGTATTCCTTTTTCTTTTTGGGGGGAAAGGCACACCAACACCTTAGGTATTACCATTTTCACATTATCCATCCCCGTCCGCCCACCGCCCACCGCCCACCGCAATAAACATGCAAGGCGATTTACTGTGCGGTGTGCTGATAGATTCCGGCAACGATGCAGTGGTCTCGCTCGAAAGGCTCTGTGCAGAAAAGAAACACAAAGCATCAGCATGGGTGTTGCTCACCTCGTGGATGGTAAGTAATATTGGTCCTTTCGAGGCCGAATATCACCTTCCCGAAGGAAGTAAAGGAAACCTTGTTTGACGACACAGGATACGGTGGGGACAGATGAAGCAGCCCAAAAAAAGGGGGGTGAGATGGAATACGTACCCAGTGTCAATTGCTCCTTTGGCTTGATCCTTTCCTCCCTCATCTTCTTCACTTCATTCGTAAACACCACCTCGGGCTTGGCCGTCGAGTCGATGCAGTTCGCCTTGATACTGACCAAGACGCCTCCGCCGACCTTGAGGAATAAATGCGCGTTAAGGCCGACGATACGTGCTTGATCTGGCTGCGCCACGTCCGCAAAGATAACGTCCACCATGCCCACGAGCATGCGATAACGTAAGGGGTGGCGAGCATCTTCGATGATGGGGATCACGTTGGTGCGGTGTGTTGCCATGGTGATGAGATCTCTTCCAGATCTGTGGGAGAATTCGACCGCGTACACGCGGCCGGTAGGGCCGACAATGTCTGCGACGTGCGAAACTGAAGTGCCTGATGCGGCACCCAGGTACAGCACCGAAGCACCTGGCCGGATGTAAATGTCGTCCAACCCTCCCAAGATACCCGCGGCCAACTTCGAGCGGAAAGGGTTCCAAACTCTGTATTCTGTCTTGAGAGCCGGAGCATCTCCGTCTGCGCTGTTTGTGTTGGGCGAGTCGACACTGATGCGCTTTTCGCCGTAGACGCTTTCGCCCGGTGTGAGGTTCTTGGTTACGAGGAGGTCCTCTTTACCGCCGCGTGCGACGAAGACGCCGGGGTGTCGGTGAGGTTCCTGTTGCGAGAATGGGATTTTTTGGGTCAGTTATGTGTGTCTTTCCATCTCTTCTTCAGTGGTACCGAAGAGCATTCTGGTGTGGTCCATAGAGAGAGAGAGGACGTACAATTATGACCTTCGCTCCACCCTTGATCCCGGGCTTCGCACCACCTCTACCACCACCTCTTCCTCCTCTGGCTGGACCGCCTCGGCCACCGCCTCTCCCACCTCGCCCGCCTGGACCGCCGCCTGTAGAGTGACAAGACTCGTTAATGATCCTGTTCGCGCCGTGTTTCGAGGGTGGGAATCTGCAAATTGAGTCGCAGGCGGGGTTGTCTCTCACCTCTTCCACCACCTCGTCCGCCTCTTGCGCCTCCCCTAGGCGGACCTCCTCGTCCACCACCACGGCCACCTCGCGGCGTACCGCCGAACGCCATCTCTTCGGTACTTTAGATACTCAAGATACCCTTTTGCTGGGTGAGACGGTCGAGTTCAATCGGGGAAGGCAGTCACGAAAATGAAATAATGGGCTGATACGATATGCGCAGGGCTATTAGCGATGGAGAAAGTTAGATTGGACAAAACGGAGTGGGTGTAACAATTCGCAACCTGCGATTTTTTGGAGACACAGCATCTTTTTCTCATCTGCTCATGGAAATTTTGGAGCAGTTGTTCCACAAGCGGTTAGACTGCGGCTTGCTTGCCAAGCCTGTCTTTCATTAGTGGATTTGTTCCATCTCGCTATGCTAACCACTCTGGCCGCTGCTGTTGCGTCGTACTTGGCCGTGTTGGCCGTATCACTTTGTTCATCCTCTGTTATTCAGCTACCATCGCTGGATATCCAAACGATTCTGTGCCAACAATCCTGTCTCTTCTCTGGCCCGAACCTGATCATGTCCGTCGGCCAATGCCAATTGAATATATCACAACACTCATGCCTGCTAGACCAAGAACACTCTGAGGGCGGCCTCCCCTAAGGAGCTTAGATCTCGTCCCAAATCTTGCCTTGGACCTTGATCTCCTCCCAATACTCCTCGTCCTGCACCTCCTCCTCTCCACTCAACTCGAAATTTCCTCTGGGAGCTGGTTGAAAGTATTCGAACGGGATGATATCTTCGGGGTACACGACCTCCTGGAATCTGTTGCTTGTGAACCCGCCCCTCTTGACAATCATGTCCAGCAGTGCAGTGTCGGAGTCCATCTCGTTAATCATGTCTCCGTCACAGGCTCGAAATTCTTCTACTGCGCGATCTAGTCCGCGGTATGTGGTGAGGAAGTCCCTCGGCAAGTCGTACAGACGACCCTCATCCGCCAACGGCAGACCGATGTTGAAGAGCCGATGTCGTCGGAGGACCTTGTAAGGTGCCACTTGGCATGCGTTGCTAGATGTACAGATTGTGTTGTCATCCATAAGCAAGTCGGTGCTCGTTTCGTCCAGGTGAGAAACCGCACCACTCGTCATGTCGTTGTGGCCGGGGACATGTTGCTCGATGGGGACGAAGGGCAGGTCAATTTCGCCAAAATGGAGGACTGTTTCACCATATGCAGGAGGTGATGAAGGAGGTGTAAGGCTGTTGCCTTGGACATTGATGTCCGCCGCGTCCTCGTCGTCCTCGTCGTCGATGTCAAGAGGCGCAAAAAGCTCCTCCACCGCTGTTGCTGGCGATGTTGCTGGGTGAACGATGAAGGTAACGCTGTTGTTACCGTTTGAAGAGAGGTTGAGCTGAGGCTCATTTGAGGCGGGTGGCTGCACTGGGTTCGGCAGCTGGACGTCACCGTCGTTGTCGCCGTGCACTGGGTCGGACGACATGATGGTGTAGAAGGCGTGCCAGTTGTCGTCGCCGTCAAGGCAGGTTTCTGGCAAGTCTATCTCATCAACAGAGTCTGAAATGGCATCAGCCGCCAAATCATCACCGTCGACGACGATGAATGGAGCCATCATGGCAGGTGAACCGAGTCGTCGCTGCACGCACGTGACCGTCGGTGAATGGAGTGCGCCGGCGACGTGAGCGGCGAGAGAGATAGGTGGCGAAGTCACATTCATAACAACGACGACGACAAAAAAGTGGAAGGACAAGCTTGGCAGTGAATCGCACGTCTCAAACAAAGGTGGAAATTTAGAAATGGCGTCCCTTCCAGAACCATTCTTTGCCTCCTTTGTTGCAAAGCGCTCAGCCGCATCAAGACTCGGAGGGCGCACGCGAGACACAAAATAAAAAGAAGCCTCTTTGTTTCCGGTCCAGCACCATCCGTGTCCCCGTCTATATTTGGAAATTGACTCTAGTCGAGCGCTGATAGAGTGAGGAAATCTTGTCATATACATCCAATCCCCCTCCCCCCATGATGATCACCATCCTCGTCTTCGCCGTCGCTATCACCATCACAGCTTTGATGCGTTCAGCGGAATCTTGTCCTTCGGCCACCACCACCCAACAAAGCGCTCCAACTCGCGGTCGGTGACGCCGGTCTTGACATCGAACGGCTCGCATTTCTCGAGATACGCCCTGATGGCAATTTCCGCGTCTTCTTCCGCGTCATAATTGTACACACTAGAATAATTTCAAGTTCATGGTCAGCCCGGTTTGCCCGCGCCGTGCTAAGAAAGAGAAGCGCGAGCCAAATGGTCAAAGTTAGTCTGGGGAATTTGGAGGTGCTGAGCCTGACCTTAATGTCGTCACTGGATCGCCATACAGATTCGGAGAGCGCATGAATTGTTCACCTTTCAATTCAGGCGCCATAGCTTTGTCTCGCGCCTATATATACATCCATCCGTCTGGGGTCAGCAAACAGGAACACCCGGATTTTCTTCTTTGGGGGATCCGATTTTCGGCGGGAAAAAGGCTGGTACGTTACATACCTCTTGAATCGGCCCGTCGGGGACCTGCCAAATGGCGCCATTGAGAAACGACACCTGCTGCTTGTAGTACGCCTTGGGCATTCGCGTCTTCTCGTAGATCTCGATCGCCTGCGCAATGTTGAGCTTGCCCTCGACGACCCTCGCCAGAGTCCGAGCGAGGAAGGCGCCGTCCTCCATTGAGGTCGCTGCACCCTGCGCCATATGGTTGGTCATGGAGTGCGCCGCATCACTAAGTCGATAAACTCGAGAATTAGCATCCGGGGCGCCAACTCGGAACCAAGTTCCATAAACGGCAATGGGAGTAAAACAAATAACGTTCCATACCCCATCAGCACGATGTTCTTCTCCTTGGTCGACCAGCTGTCCAGCGGGCCCGTGACCAACAGAGGCCACCTCCTTGCAGAGGTAACCATGTCGACGATCCTCTTGATCCGCGGGTCGTAGTCCTTGTACTTCTGCCGAAAGTCCCTTTCCATGTCGATGTCCTGGACGTCGTCAACCAGGTGGTCCACGTGGTGACTCAGGACCATGTTGAACAATTTCCCGCCGGAGATGGGGTAGGAGATGATGTACGACTTGTCGGCCATCCAGACCTCCATGGTGCGTTTCTCGATGAGTTCTTTGGCGATGGGGTCTCGTCGGATCTCGTCGTAAGGGACAAGAGCTCGATACGCACAGTTCCCCGTCGGAGGCGCCGGTTTGACCTGAGGCATGATGGCTTTGCGGACGGTCGAGCGGACTCCGTCTGCGCCGATGAGCAGGTCGAATGTCCACGATTGGCCCTTGGCAGTGGTGACAGTGACCTTGTTGGAAGGAGACGAGGTCCAATCGACATCCACTACTCGAGCATCGATAACGAGGTTTGCGCCCTCTCGACGAGCCACTTCTGCGAGGCCGGCGTGGAGATGCATGCGATGAACTAGCTCTTCGTCAGGCTAAATCAACAGGATTCTACAGGCGCATGCTCACCTAACCACCAGGGCACGCCGCCCAAAGTGCTCGGAGATGTTAGTATACGCTGTGGCTGGGGCGTTGACAGGAACCAAAAGCATACTTGCGGACATTCGGTATAGTCTTCGTGTACCCAATCAAGGTGCCATCCTTCCTCCTCATGTTCAGCTCCTCAAACTCAACAAGATCGTCTCCGATAACTTTGTCCACACCCCAATTCATGAGCAGTCTGGCGACATTCGGCGTCATCTGAATACCAGCACCAATCTCGCCGAGCTCAGGAGCGGCTTCTAACACTGTCACCTTCACACCCGCTTTGCTGATAGCAATGGCTGCCGCCAGTCCGCCGATGCCGGCACCACAGATCCCAACGTTCAACTCGGGCATGATTGGTATTTGTGAGTGACTTTGTAGTTCGTTGTCTTTTGGGTGAATTTCAGTCCGACTGAAGGAGACGCGCGGATATGATATAAAGTTGAGGTGAGACGGGTAAAAGTATTTAAATCATGAGAACAATGGAAACGTTTCTTCTTTCAAAACAGATTCATCATTAAATTTGAGGCTAGCAAACACTGACCCCCTGTGAGCGAGGTATACGCACGTAAAAGGGACGAATATCAGGAGAATAAACCATGAGCATTTCTGCAAAATTGTCGCGATATCTTCAGCGCCAGCACGATGATATGGGCCATGTCCCCATCTCCACGTAAGTCGGTCAGGGAGGAGCTCTCCGCATCAGCAGGAAATTTCTCGGGTTGAAGCCATGGGGAAAGTGTGAGCTGATCATCCACGTCGTTGCGAGAAGGCCAATGACGGTGCTTTGATCTCCACCCTAAACGAGAAGCCCTCGAGGCTGGGCCGGACAAGCTCCGAGTGCGGCAAATGCATCCAGTTCGGTACGATCGTACTATGTTGCTCCGTATGGCTGCAATGAATTACCGACAGCAGCTCCCGAGTCCCACGGCGTATGAAAGAGAAGGATCGAAAGTACGAGGTATTGAAACAAGTTTTTTGAGGGGGGGGGCACACCAGCCACATTCGCGAGAGGCTCGAAACCAATTTCGAGAACCCCAATTTGGAGATCTCTAGGCATCTCCACCTGCTGAACGGCCTTGGCAAATGCTTGCTTGCACTTCGACCATGTTTGACGTCACCAGGGTTTGACGTTTCAGCGGAACTAACGTCTCATGAGAGCGGTCTCTATTGCTGGTCGGTTTGAAGATCGAGATTGATAGCCTCGTCCGGCATCAGCCGAACCCGAGTTGATGAGAAGGGTAAATGAATTGATGCGACCAACTCAGGTGACCACGCGTCTGGTTCGCAGCTTCAGCCTCTGGCCAAGTCTGAAAGCGCGAGTTCTCCAAATTCCGGTGTTTGGTGGTCCAGGAAAGCCACAGCCACCACCTCCTCCCGCATCTAGGTACCATAGGGGCGAAAATATGACCTCTCATTTGAACGGTGAGCCTCGCATACCGAACTGAGCACGTAGTCTTACTTTGCTCTCTCGGCTAGCAATACTAGCGCAACTCTACTGACCAGCGCAGTTTTCCAACAACCTCTTGCCTTCTTCTCCAACCGTCCTATCACCGGTTTTCATCGAGATGGGTATTGTAGGACTGGAGTTGCAGACTTTGGCAACCACGCCGTGGCTGGTGTGGTGACAGAAGAGTTTCTGGACTACAGTGCTTCGCAAGGAAACGATCTTCGGACAGCAGGCCTGACTGGGGGTTGCAAGTGGTGTCTGTGTACGGCGAGATGGCTTGAGGCGTTGCAAGCGTACAGAGATGGGAAGATCACTAAGAACGGAGTTCCAAAAGTGGTGTTGGAAGCCACCGAGGATAGTGCGCTGAGACAGGTCGACCTGGATACATTCAGGCAATTTGCTGCCGAATCACAGACGAACGGCGCAAGTGTGAATGGCGTGAACGGGCATTGAGGGATCTGACCACTGCGAGGGAATCCTGATAAGGAATTTGTGGAAAATGTCAGTAGTACCCTAGACCTTCCGGAACCCAAGAGTGAACAACTTACGTGGAAAAGAAAAAAGAGATGGCGCCGCTCTCTAGAGTAATCGGAATCGAATTGAAACCCTATCGTCCCTCGAGAGGAAATGGATAGGTTTCCGCTGCGATTGCACTAAAGTAAGGAAGGACACTTCGGTGAACCCCCCAGACAATCTTCGCAACGGCTCTTCCAAAGGGAATCCCTCAAGGCACGGGCACCACATGGATGCCGGCCTCGAGGCCCTGTAAATTTCTGATGCCATATTGCGAGCACGGGAACAATCGTGCCGGGCCCTCGCGGGCAGTACCTTGTGCCTCGAGATCACGGAGTGATTCGAAGACAGAGGTGAAAGGTTTGAAGATTACTCCGAATTTCTCATCTGCAAGGAAGAGAACGAGTGCTCAACTGTTGCGAGAACAGGAGCGTGTCGTTGCTTGTGGCAGAGAACGCAGCGGATGGAGAGCGGCGCATGAGAGAAGAGAAAGAAACAAGCTGGTGGCTTTTTTTTTTTCAGTTGATTAAAACTGGATCTCGACTCACAATTATTCTGCCGCGCCTCACCGCCTCGGCCCCATAGGTTGTGGTGTCACGTGATCGAGACCGATCTCTAGCCTTTGCTCAGCCTTGCTCCTGCACACGATTGCATCCACCCTCGCGAAGCATGTCTACTTACTATATTGCTGGTAGTGCCGTCAAAGTCCCAAATGTCGACATGAAAAGACTTTCCAACAGCATTTCCAGACGGATAACAACGAACTTGCCTATATTGCCAACAACTAAGACCCCTATGAGCTCTCTCATTGAATGCGGCGTGCACGCACGAAATAAACCCCACAGACGTGAATACACACGACCAGGCTGTGAAGTAGGATACATTTTAGGCACCCAGAATTCCAGCACAACCGCCATCACAAATAGACCGGCCATTTCCAGGGTTGTGGCTGCATGTGTGGTAGGAAAAAGTTGATGCTCGATCGGTTTTCTGAGTCCATAAATCCAAAATTCCACCAATGACTTATCCGCCGCTCCGTCGTGAAGCCTGACTAGTAGGGAAGGGTTTACTCTGATATATGAGACTTTTTGCTACTTGAGTGGGTGATCATGGGTTCAATCGAGCGCTGTGCTTCTTTTCTCTTTTCCGTCTCTCGACTATGTCGTGGTAGGTGTCTGGGTCTGCCGCACCCGTTTGGGGGCTCTTGTAGATGCGGGGGAAATCGACATGAATGCTAGCTGGTGACCGAACCGGAGCAAACTTTCTCTTGCAGTGCCGAAAGGAGGCAAGAGGCAGGGCATCAGCCACAGGCGATGATACTGGAGGGTCTCCTTCGCGGAAAGTGAGTCGAAGACAGGCAGCGGACCACCACCCTGGCCTTGGCGCCCGGCCCTGCATTTGCATAATGGCATGCAACACAGGGATGTCTCGCACTCTGAATACAGAAGCCATGGCGAAAAGCCGCGAAGCGCACCGCTCTGGAAACTTTTGGACTGACAGCCCAACAAAAACAGTGTGCAATGCGTTGGACTCAACATAGGATGAAATTTGGCTCGATTCCTGGCCGGAACGCCATAGTGCCCTGGCTCGTCAACCCCGATAGCCGTAACTGCGCCGTTGGGAAGGAAGAGGACATTGCGGAAGGGAAACAATGATCAATGGCCGCCGGCTTTCCGGAATCATGCGTATCGACTCCACAACTCAGCCTTTGCTCTTTTTCCATTGTAACATGCCGTGTTGTCTCACTTATAATTCGGTCCTTGCCCTGGAGGAGGGCCACCCCATCCCTGCGGAGGTCCTGGTGGAGGCATCATAGGTCCCTGACCTTGCATGGAGCCGACATCGGGTCGATTTCTGACCTCCAGGTTAGAGTGCTGGTACGGGTCAAGGCACATATTTATGGCCGCCATACCTCATATCTTGACGAAATCTGCAGATGGAGCATGCTAACTAGACCCACAATTAGCAAGCAAGCAAAAAGGCCGATGGTGTTTGAGACTGACCTCCTGATGCCTCCCGCCCAGCGGAATGACGGGGACGAAGCAGAAGGTGAACCAGTCCCACGTTTGAATGGGATGCGCCGACCAGTTTCCACAGTTGTGACACTGTGCGGTTACTCCTTCGTAGCCTTTCAAAGGGCTTGTGAAGTCTAGAAACGGGGAAGACGGTTAGCGGGCGCAGTCCGCGAGGCATAGTCGGTCGAAGCTAGCTCACCTTTGGTACCGACGACGAAAAAGAAGGCCATGACTGTCGATGAGCAGTTGCGCGACTCAGTTGGATACAGTTCCACAACAATTAGGAGAAGAGAATAACTGAGGATGAAGCTTGCGGATGAGGGCGGCAGGGAATAACGATGTTTTTGTGCTCTGGTCAGTCTGGTGATTGATGAGGCGGTGCAGGCGAGCAGGGCGCATGACAAGACCATGACGCGCAATTCAACGGAAACGGAGCTTGCGCGACTTGGCTTGGCACTCGTTGCACTTTGGAGCCTCGGCGGATGCCCATTCCAGGTTGCCATCTTCTCCCCCACGCTTAATATTGACATTAGTTTGGTGGAGCTGTTAGCCCTGGTCGACAATTGTGCAGCCTCGATCGACTCTACTAATATCGTAGCCGTCGCTCGACAGGTGAGAGAAAGGGTACCTCCTGCAACAACAACCTGCATCTAATCGCGCATACCGGGTACCCAGAACAAATGCCTCGCTCACTCTACTTAAAGCCTCCTCCCCTTGACACTCTTCGACATCTTCACACTTACAGACTTGTAGCATATCAAAATGCACACTGCCCTCGGACTCCCAGATCAAATTCTACACGATGTCGTTAGCTTGTTCATAGATTCACCACAATACAGAGGTTGGCAGTTATCGCTGAGACAAGGCAGTCATAAGGATTACTAGAATCTACTCATGGGATCCACTAACACGACTTCTCCTCTTATAGGTCGATTTAATGAAGCTGTCTGTCCTTCGTGTATTTCTTCCTACGACAGAGACTTACGGTCTCAATTGGTGGGCACTCACTCGATTACGTCCCTCTATGCGACGACGTATTCTGCTAACGTCATACAGATTCTCGGTCGAGAAAACTATATTGTCTCATTATCGGACTTTGCTGCCCCGGCCTAGCAGTGGCTCAGAGACGATCCGTTTACTGATACGATACTTCGCCCTTCTTCTCACAAGAGCACCTACTCGGCTGATTTTGCATTCGTGTGCGGTAGGCGACGCAACGCTTCTGAAAGATTTCTTGAGGACAGAACCACTCTTTGATGATCGAATCGACGACGCACGTGGCCGCATACCAACATATGTGCATTTTGACGTGCGTTGCGGCAATATTGATGCTTCCGCTTCTTGTTCGATGGACGATGGTGACGGAGCAGGCTCTGTTATACGACCAAATAGAATACTATCGAGAACTATACCGGCGGAATTCCTGGGCGCGATTGTGAATGGGATTTGCCTGGATCGGTACGCTTCTTCATTCAGCACACTTCGGCCGAAAATGCAGCAGCTTTCATGCCTGAGTTCATCCGCAAAGAACCTCTCATATTGGAGCATGTGGGGGATTCATCTGATGGGTCGCACCCAAAAGTGGCCCAGAGAGCGTTGGGGAATGCTCTGTAAAGACTTAGGCCTGGCAATCTGAAGTTTCTCCTGGAGATAGGAGTGAGCCCATTCCCATGGCCGCCCTGGACGATCCCGGAGCAGTACAGTCACGATTCGTTCGAGATTCAAGGGCCTTGTTCCAACATGAATCGAGAAGCATTTCTGAGCGTTCGAAAGCTGCTAGAAGCTTTCAACTTACCAAAAGCTGAGGATTAAGGTGTCAGCCTGGGATAGAATTCATGAAATGTGTGAACGCTGAAGGTGAACAAGGTGTTGGCATTATCCCGTGCCGAGGCCCAAGGGCCTGGGTGAGAGGGGCCAAGACGGGCCGATCTCATCTTGGATTCTTGGCCATCTTTCTCCCCCACACATCACTAACATGCATCAATAATTCTGTGGAGCTGTTACCGCCCTCGCCGCGTATCTACTCCACGCAGTTTCTGTGGCTGCGCTTCCCACCACCATTGAGACGGTGAGGCCACATGCCGTCAACCTGGCCAACAAAGACCGCCCTTCTTTCTCATCCCGCTCACTGTCTTTCCTTCTTTCGTTCACTCCCTACTACCTGAGCCACCGCAGCCGCCATGGCGATCAATCCCGCCACCAAACCACAGCACTTCATGGAGCTCACCCAAAATCCGCATCATCACCACCGCCCGCTCGCTCACAACATCTACCAGCCCATGCCCAACCCTCACCTTCTGCACGGCGAAGCTAAGAGCTCCGCCGCTTCCGCAGTCCAGCAGAACGCTGAAGCCATGATCTCCCGTCACCGAACTGCCTCTACCTTTGACACCGAGAGCCAATCCCCAACCTACGCCTCCCCGTCCGATCCTCTAGACCTCTCTCGCCGTCTCAAGTCCCGGTCGGAGCTCGACCACATCACGGCCAACACAGCCCGGAAACGGAATACCTGTAATCCGTTAGATTTGGCGGGGCAGTCTCCCCAGTCTAAGATCACAAACTTCTACGAGTCGCAGAATGAACAGATTCAGCGCCTTCTGAAGCCGGTAGATGAGCATGTCCGAGAAGCCAGAGACACACAAACATCCACCCAGTTGCGCTTTCAGATCGCCGTATACGGCTCGTTCCTGGCGAACATCATCCTCGCAGTGCTGCAAGTCTATGGTGCCGTGAGTTCGGGTTCACTGTCACTGTTTACGACTATGGCGGACGCTATATTCGACCCCTTGTCCAATGTCACGCTTATCTTGTCCAACAAAGCCGTCAACAAAGTCGATGCGCGCAAATTTCCCGCCGGAAGAGCACGCATAGAAACAGCGGGAAACATTGTATTTTGTTTCCTGATGACCGCTGTCTCCTTCATCCTCATTGCCTTCTCTGTACAAGAACTCGCGCGGGGCTCGTCTGAAGATACCAAGAGTTTCCATCTCCCATCGGTGGTTGCTGTGAGTCTTGCGTTTTGCACAAAACTTGGGCTCTTTCTGTATTGCTGGGCACTCAGGAATCAATACTCTCAAATCCGCATCCTCTGGGAAGACCACCGCAATGATCTGTTTATCAATGGCTTTGGTGTGTTGACGTCTGTAGGCGGGAGCAAGTTGCGCTGGTGGATAGACCCCGCTGGTGCAATTGTTCTCTCAGTCCTGATTTCCGTCCTGTGGCTTCATACTGCGTCCTCCGAATTCCAGCTCCTCATCGGCATCTCCGCCGACACCGAAACGCAACAACTCATCACGTACGTGTCCATGACACACTCGGACCACATCAAGCATATCGATACCGTGAGAGCATGGCACAGTGGACCGAGACTGGTCGTGGAAGTGGATGTTGTTATGGATCCTGAGGAGTCACTGAGAGTGAGCCACGACATCGCCGAGGATCTGCAGATGAAGCTGGAGAGTCTCCCCAACGTGGAGAGGGCCTATGTCCATGTGGACTACGAGTTTGAGCATCGGCCGGAGCATTTCTTGAAAAAGGAGTTATAAGAATGGTGAAACCCAAACCAGATGGGAGGTCGTGTACATCTGCCGCACTCTTTGAATGCTTTTTTTTGGGACGGTAAACTAAACGGCTCCAACCTGAACAGCAGTCCGGGGCCCTTGGGAGGTTTACTTGCTTGGAGGCAATTAATGACATGACGTTGTCCTGCCCGTGGACCAGGAGGTTTTCAACGGGGCGGCGGCATCATTTTGTCGACTTTCGGACATCTAGGCACCTGCAACCGGGAGATGTGCGAGGATCTCCAGATCCTCGTGCCCGCCGACACGCCGACGACGAGGCAGAGGATGAAATGGCCTTTCGCCACGTAGATGCATGTAACTCCATTCTTTTTCCCCTTTCCGGGATTCAGCTCACACAGCCGCCGCCTACGACAAAGGAAGTGGAGGCTTCGACGATCTCGGCCCACAGGTCGATCCCGTCGGCGTCGTTCGTGGCAGGCAGCCACAAGAACTCAAGCAGGACGTCGTCCTTGAGCGCGGTCCAGGACTCGATCCGCAACTTCCGGAGGCAGCGACCGATCGTGCACACGAACCAGGACCTCGTGACGTTGTTGGTCAGGCCCGACGAAGCAATGGCGGCGACGAAGGTGATCCACAACATGAGACGCGGCGCTTCGGCCCATGCTTTGGTGAAGTCGTGTCGCGACAGGGACTGCTTGATGCGGTTGGCCAGAAGCTCGAAGGGAGCTGCGGGGAGTGGGAAGATGCAGAGCATGCCGTATGTGAGAGCGGCGAGCTGGCAGATGTACAGGACCTCGTCCGCCCCGGGTTGGGGGCAAGGGTCACTCAGAAGATCCGGGGGGGTCAGAGCTAGGATCCCATGCATCACGAAACATCTCAGGTCTTCCAGCACCGCTAGACTCGGTGCCACGGACCGTGCAGCAAGATAGTCGTCCACGGCGAGGGTATATAAACTTAGTCCGCGCAAAGCCAGTTGGAGATCAGACGACTTTGGTGACGAGTCGAAACTGTCCAGTACGGAAAATCCTTGGCCAAGTCTGTGGAGGGGATGGTTGGCTTTCCAGACGCGCGACAGAAGGCTCTCGAAGTCCATATTCAAGCAGGGAGTGAAAGGAAGTCGGGGCCTCTGGACCGTGCGGCTGGCAAAGATGAGGTCCGCACTACGAGTTGTATCAAAGTCAGCTTTCCCTTTCACGCTTGTACCCGCGCAAGTCTTGACAAAACTTACTAGCAAAGAAGTCCTCCCAGTCCAGGCAATGCAAAATGGTTAATCCCGCCACGAAGTTCTATCATCTTCAACAGCGCTTCTCGATGGGTCGAGGCAACCTCGATCGGCCCACCGTACAGATGGAGCAGGCGCACAGCGTTCAAGGGTCCCTGCGCCGGACCCCGGCCCCGGTCCGGCCAGGGTCGAGAGTCGAATGTCATGGAATGATAGGCAAGCGTGAAAACAGCAAGGATCGTGCCATCGCTGCAAGCCGTCGAGTGGTTGGACAGGGCTACATTGACATGGGATATAGTTTCGGAGTAGGCGTGAAGAAGTTGGCGCTGGGCCTTGGGGCATAAATGGTGCTGCCTGTGTTTGTTCCTCATGAGCTGCGAGAACATGTAGGCGTAGAGAGTGCCCGCTTCAGACACGATCTTGCGGACCCATGTCACGGCAAGCTCGTCCCCCCCACCGGGCCTGTTCGTTGGCAGTGCTTGGCTGAAGGTGTCGTAGAGCTGACTGAGGAGAAGTTTGATCTCGCCTTCAGAGAACAAGGCTAACTGGGGGAATGGCACGGGTAAGGGGAGGATAATTGCATGAAGCGAGGTGGAGGGAGACAGATGAGACAGATCGAGAAGAACTTGTGCCTGTTCCCGGGCCAGGTCTGGGTCCCGCTGCTGTTGATTCCATAATACAGGTGGACGAAGCGGTACCAATGCAGGGTCAGGATTGTCGAGATGGGACTGGGCCCTATCTTTTACTTCTTCCTGATTCGGAAATAGGGTGTGGCATGTGGTTGGCGCAGGTATTGGTATTCGTATTCGTGGTGTAGGGGGGACAGTGCCGCGTGTACTACCAGCCGCGGTTGATATGGCGCCTTTTCGCCAACGCAGCCGTGATGCATTTGCTCTAATCGCACTACGGGACTGGACTTTCTCGCTTTTGGTCTTGGGATACCCAATGATGAAAGTGGGCGCAGGCTTGAGCGATGTCCTGTTAGGCAATCCGGGGTCAGTCAGGAGGGAGCAGATTAGGGTGCATATCAAATGGTCCCAGGTCCGCCTGGGCTGCGCCTCGTTGAGGCACTCCCCAGCTTGGCTCCATTCACAATTCGTCGGATCGACAGGCGGAAGGAGGAGGCGAAGAGTATCCGATGGAAGGAATCACATACATTGGTGTCTGTGGCGCTGGGCCTTGTCCAGTCTTCGGCTTGGTAATTGGTGGTATCATCGGCAACCTTCGTGATCCCAAGGCTTCGTCGACTTCCATGTGCTCGCAACGCAAGGCGATTGCACGTTTTGGGTATTTGGATATCGACGTGTCTTTTGGTTAAAGACTCAAGGTGAAGAGACCTTTCGGCTGCCGAACAAGCCTCAAGGCCACGACAAGCAGATGCAGTCAGATGACGGAAATTAAAAAATGGAACTGCGTCTGACAAGGAAGGTTTAGTAGATTCCGTATTACGGACGCTATATTGACTCAATGCTCATCTCTAGAGTTCTTTGAAGAATACAAGCACTCTTGAATGGAGAAATCGTGTGTGGGATCCCGAAGCAGCATCTCCTCTCCTGCCGTATCGTTGCATCATTGTGTCGAAACTGTATATCAAATATCTCTGATTGAGAACCGAAATGAGAAGATATTTAGCGAGAGAAAAAAAAGACGGCTTACCGCGATAGAGTTGCAATGGTTGGCGGATGGACCTTCGTAGCCTGTTCTCAGAACGCTTCAACACCGTCTGGATGTCCTCGAGCCTTGCTGGCATCGGTGAAAGGCTCTGCGATTCCTCTGCCCAGAGAAGGCACGAGGGAGCCAAGACACAAGCTAAAAGCCTTTGCGGTTAGACCACCTGCGAAGCTGGGATTAGCGCAGTGAGCCGGAAATCTAGGTGGTATTAAGTGTGCATGGATATCCATCAGCCGAGGAGAAGGCGGCACGTTGGAGCTGAGTCATGGGTAGAGACGGTTGAGTTTCGCGCCCTGAAGAAGCCAGGGTTTCAAAGTGTAATCGGGTAGCTCGGAAGACAATGTACTGGTGCCAGTATGTCAAAAGACTAAGTTAGCAATGTACACAACCAGGCAAGGACCTTGACCTGGATGACCGACTATCTTGGTATCAATGTCACCACTTCCAGCGCACATCTCATCGCATCGCATTATGCAATCAATATCCATCTGTGCGTAACCTCAGCCCCGTTCGCCACACCCTCCGCTAGAATTGCAGTCGTTCTTTTCATGGACATCGTAGATAGACCCAAAGCCCGCATGGGGCCAAGCAGTAAACGGAACCCCGTCGACGAACACCAATTTCCCTGTTTTCGGTGGACAGTACAATGCGACCTTCCCATCTCGGCCAAAGTCTCGGGCGAACCCAAGTCGCAAAGGCAGTAAAGAAAATCCGAGTATTAGAAATCTCCTGTCGTGGTCCAAGACTCCGCCAGCCAAGCCAGTGTAATCCAGAATGTCCACCCAGTCGTGAGAGCCCAGACCTTCAAGCCCGCGAGTAAAGCAGAATAACATATAAAGGGTAATGTACGGTAAAACTGCAACAGCTCCTTACGTTGAACCCTCAACTTTGACGAACGTGCAGACGAACTTATCTCTGCTGGAATTGCATGTTTTGCTGTTGCTGCTGTTGCTGCTGCTGCTGCTGCTGTTGTTGCTGTGCCACCATCATCTGCTGGGCATGTTGCATTTGCATCTGCTGCATATGTTGCGCTTGCTGCTGCTGCAGCACCGCGGCCATATTCGGATTGACCACTCCTTGCATGTTCTGCATATTCTGCATATTCATCATCCCGTTCTGCATCCCACCACCCTGTTGTGCCATCTGTTGCCGTACCTGCGCTTGTTGCATCTGCGCCATCTGGTTCATTGCAGCCTGACGCTTCTGGATCGCTGCTTGTGCAAATCTCTGAGCTTGCATTTGCACATGTTGCATTTCCTGTGGCTGAAGCATTTGCATGTTGCCGCCATACTTTTGGGCGGCTTGTTGCGCGAACCGCTGTGTATAGCTCTGCAGAGTCTGCTGGAATAGCTGTTTAAGTTGAGGATCCACCTGGGCTCGCTGTTGAGGATGGGGTGCGCCTTGTCCCATCATTTGTCCTTGGGCTTGGGCTTGGGCTTGGGCTTGGGCTTGGGCTTGGGCTGCTTGCATCATTCGTTGCTGTTGTTGAGCATGAGCTAGCTGAGCTGCTTGCTGCTGAGGAGTCATATGATTTGGCGCAGGCGATCCATGATTTTGCGCTTGCTGCAGGCTCTGCATTTGAGCCTTGACATGTTCGGCGACAGACTGGTTGTAGGCTTTCTGGCTTTGATTGGGATTAGGCGACATGTGTACGCTTTGCGGAGTTCCTTGTTGTTGTTGTTGTTGTTGTTGCTGTTGCTGCATCGCTTGCTGCTGTTGCTGCTGCTGTTGGGCGGCTTGGCGAGCCATTGCAGCTTGACGATCCACCTGTGCGTGTTGTTGCGCCTGTATATGCGCCACTTGAGCAGGGGACATTTGAGGAGTTCCGTTGACCATTTGCTGTTGCATTGCTGCTTGCTGCGCCTGTGCTGCGGCCTGTTGCTGCATAGCATGGCGTCGTTGCATCTCGGCTAGTTGTTGAGGATTCATTTGTCTAGGAACACCATTCGGCATCTGCACTTGCACCCCTGGCATCATTCCAGCAGCTACCATTTGTGGTGTAGCTCCATGAGGGCTTCCATGAGTGACGGGTTGTGCCGGGGTATTCTGCCTCATGATTGGGGTGGCATTCCTTTGAGCAGGGGTACCGTGAGGTATCTGTGGAGTGCCGTTGCGACTTGGCCCTTGGGTACTAGGCGCTCGAGTCATGGGTGCACTGGGATGGCCGTGCTGTACAGCTGAACTTGGTCTTGGTGGAGATCCGTGACCTTGGTGTGAGCCAGATACCGCCATTGGCACCCCGCCTTGGGCAGCACTCGCGACAACAGGCGACGAGGCTGCATGTGGGGTTCCTTGCCGGATAATGGGTGATCCTCGCTGTTGACCAGCCATGATCTGGTTCTGCATGTTCGGGGGTATGCCATTAACTTGTTGCGAGGGGGGCCTTTGAGCAGCTTGAGGGGTTTGCTGATGCTGCTGCTGCTGCTGCTGCTGTTGTTGTTGGGCCTGTTGGTGGGCTTGCTGGGCCTGCTGGGCCGCCATTGCCGCCATTTCTTGCTGACGCACTCGTAGCAGTCGGGCCTCCTGCGCTCGTTGCATCATGATTCGCTTCTTCTCCTCTTCCTGAAGCCGTTCTTGCTGACCTCTCCTATTTTCATCTTCCTGAAGCTGCCGATCCTTCTCACGCTGCTTCCGCTCCGCAATGTCTCTCTTGATACTATCGAGAGCATTAAATTTCTCGAACCGCGGCTGGAAGAGCGCCGCCCCGGCTTGACCGTCCACGCCTGCTGCGTTTGCAGCGCCATTCGTACCCGCAGTGCGCTCATCCATAATGAGCATAAATCGCTCTTGTTCCTTAGCATGCGCATCATCAGCCGCCAGTTCAGCAACTGTCCTTTTCCGGCTCTTGGGTGATGGTGGTCGTCGATCGTGAAGGGGATCTTTCAGCAGGCCAATAAGGGTTTCCGCCTCCGCTAGACTCTCCAGAGGTTCTAGATACAAAGGAGGTGCCGTCGCATTTATCACCCTCCCCTCATATTCGAGCATATCCTTGGGATCAATCCGCAGCTTTATCTTCTTGAAGGGCGGGCCTTTTTCGGTCGAAGGAGTTGTTGGAATGGCTGATATCGGAGTCTGTGGGGCGCCAGAGCCGGGCGCACGGCTATTTACGTTTGCTTGTGATTGCTTCCGATTCAGAGACTTTGGATCTGGCGTCATTGCATCGATGACAAGATCCATGTGCCGGGACAGAATGGTGGGTCGCAATGCGACGTGGTAGACTTTCGGTTGGGGTTTTGATGATTTCGGTGCAACACCGATCGTATCGTCGGAGTTGGGATGAGCCCTGTTGCCGCTCGACACCTGCTCTTGTTTCATGGGAGGAGACTTTGCGACGGATTGTTCCTTGGTAGGGTATGGGGCGTAGGGTGAAGGAGTGATGTACTGGTTATAGTTGTGGATAGAGAACGGTTTTTCGTCATCTGCAGTGGCCCCAGAGGCGGCGGCATCCTTTGCGACGGACTTGTGGTCGACCACCCGTACTATGAGCCACCCGTCGTAGTATTTGACCTCAGACTTCCGGAACTCTTCTACCATATCATGCGGAATCGTGCCTTTGGCTAGATGTTCAATGAAGACACGCATCTCGGAGTGGTAGCTGAAACTACCATCCTGCTGGTCGAAACGGAAATGCGTAGGATGAAGGTGTACGATTAGAGAGGGCACGCATCCTTTGAACTTGCGGAGAATGTGGGACTCTTTGGGAACTAGAGAGCGGGATTCGTTAGTGTCGCTTCTCCAACGACTGGACATTGTTAGAGCGTACCGTGAGGCTCCGGATATTTCCTAGAAGCTCGCTTATCCAGAGAGCCACCATCGGCCGTGTTGTTTCTCGTCGTCAGGCGCTGCACTCGTCGGTTGGGTCGAGCGGCGCCATTTGTCGTCGGGCCGCTACCGGTAGTAGACGTTGGTGTGGGGTTCTGTCCAGGAATGGTCTTACGGGCACTGGAAGGCGATGAAGACGGTGCTGTAGGCTTGACACCGTTCAAGTTCGTCTGGACCACAGGCGCAGGAGGCTTCTTCATCTTTGTCGCCGTCGCCGCAGGTTTCGCCATGACCGCAGCCATGATGAGTGCTCCACCCGGCGCACTCGAGGTTTCACGGTCTCCCACGCACTAAGGTCGTTACACCGAAGGAGATGAAACTTCCTCAAAAGCTCCTCGGCCGTGATGCGACGCAGTTGAACAAACGCGCATCATGAGGGGCAGAGGTTGGTTGGAATCAACTTCGGAGAGGTCCTGGAGATATGATGACTCAATCTCTGCAATCTGGAGGCTTGAAGGATCACAGAGGTCAAGGAAATAGGGTGTTCAGGGTCAAAACGGATGAACGGATATGTATGGGGGTCGCTGGTGATTGCCATCGCCATCATAGTCGAAGTCGCATTAAGGTCAGAATACAGTTGTCTTGGCATTCGCCTGCTCACGTGCCTCGGTCACCCTTTTGCCCTTCAACACTTGCCGCCTTAAAAGATCCAAGCACCCTGAAAGCAACTTCCAAAGTCCTTCTGCTATACTCTGCTGTCTGACAATCCACCGTGCTCATTATGTCCCATGCAGCATTGGCTTCTTGACTTTTCCGTGTACAGAATCGAATAATCATAGTGCGCCTTCGTTTAGGCGGCGAGCGGCTCCAGGTTGCAAAACCGTGGGAAAACAATATCCCAGCGTCAAGCCGTCGACGGGATACCTAGATACATATATATATATATATATATCTGTGCAATGCTCAAAGACCCTTATAGGACTTCTCACCCACATATTTTCGCCATAAAACGGTAGCAAGATTTCCCCATCGAAAGTTTGTATTCAGCACTCTCATAACTGCCACGCCTCAGCCTAGCTGGTGGACCGCACGGGTGGATCCTTTCAGACATTCTAAACGGCATCTGCGCCCAAGGAGAGTCCATACACTTTGTTGACGAAAGTTTTAAGGGTCACGGCTGGACCATTGATCTCAACAATCATGCCAAATCCAGGAGGATTGTATCGCGGTTGCAATGCCTGCCGCGCTCGGAAGGTTAAAGTTAGTGTGACTACTTGGATTTCCTTTAGATAACTCACTTGTCTCGATAGTGTGATCAGACATTTCCTTTGTGTCGGAGATGCCTTAAAGCTCGGGCTCTCTGTCCTGGGGTGCTTGCAGCTGCGGATGTCATGTTCCGTGATGAAACTTCAAAGGTTGTGCAGAGAGCGGCCCAAGCAAAGGACTCCGCTCACAGTTTGCTTCCCTTGAACCTTGACCAGGGCCACCACAAAAAAGCTCATGACCTCGAAATAAACAATCGATTTCCAGCCCTGGATATCTCGGACCCCTTCCATTCTTTTGGTATCGTTACACAGGTCTCCGATTGGTCAGAAGAACTTTCGATTTCAAACGTCCTAATGGGCTCCTCTGGTCAACCGAAAGGCTTCCTGAAACCCACACCACTTCTCTCCCTTTCAAGTGAGCTGAAATTGTCGAATATAGAGATAATGACGCAATATTTCTTTGAGCAGCTTGTCATGTCTGAGACCTGGCTTTCCCTGCTGCCTCAACTGGTACATGGGTTCTCGTGAGAATAGTCCTTTGAAGCAGGCAATTCGCGCGGCTTCACTGTTGTTATCGGGGAACCAATCCGGTGATTATGGCGCAATTGGCTCTGCCCGCAGATCTTACGGTCGGTGTTTGAAGCTACTGAATCTTGCCCTAGACGACGATGCCGAGAGATTGAAGGACGAGACCTTCTGTACAGTTCTCGTTCTTCGCTTGATTAGTGTCAGTTTTTGATCTTTGCAGTAACAACAAAATCATTGGCTGAGTTTTGCGAAGCATATTGCAGGAGAGCGCTCAATGACATCCGGGTCCCACCTGAAAGCTTGCAAATCCCTCCTTTTGCAGCGAGTTTCTCAACAGGATTCTGTTTCAGCCAACTGCAAGATCGCAAATTCTTTGGTTATCCAAGCGGTATGTTCAGACTCTCAAAACGGGTTTCGAAATTACTCACAAATATCGCAGCAAGTTTATGTTCTGAAATATTACCAGGAGTGGTCTGGGCTATGCGAAGAACAAGTCTGTCGTTGTGCTTCTGCAAAGCCCGCTACGGACATATTACGCTGCTGCTTAGCGATTGGGAAATTACGAACCTCAGTCGCGAACTTATCCAACGTACTCACCGGATCTGCCACTAACATCCAAATGTTGTGGCTCGACGTTTTGCAAGAGGCAGAGGAGATTGACCGACGATTCGAGGAATGGGAGAGAAGTCTGACTGGCCGATGGCTCCCAATGACTACAATCCACACTATCTCGAACGCGCTCGAAGTCACTGTAGACTTCTACAGCGACGTTCAGGTCGGCAAGGTATGGAATCAGTACCGGTGCGCTCGTATCGTTCTCCATGAACTCATCTTTGAAATTGTGGAAAATCTGGTCTGCATCTGTACCTCTATCAGAGAGGGCGTGGTACCAAAGGTCCAACGATCCGCCCAAACCATTAACACCTTGTTGTCGGCGATATGCAACAGCATACCTTTCCACTTGCAGCGGGTCGATTCAAAAGGCGATCTGGTAGCACAAACTGTTCAAAGAGTATTAGGTGGAGAGCATCTTCTGTGGCCGCTAGATGTGGTTCTTCACAGCCGTTGGAGCAACAGTTCCCAACCAACTCAGGCGCGCAAAGCGCTTGAGGAGATCGGAACATCTCTGGGCCTCAAACAGGCCTCGAAAGCAATCCAACAAAAGCAGGAACTGCCTACTGTCCTTGTGGGGCAAGACTTTCACGCTCGCTTGCCAACTGTAAGTTGGCGGGCGTGAAATTTACACACTGGAAACAAGATACGCGGCAAAGCGGCAATCGATTGATACTACTTCATCTATGTTGGATATCATCAAACAAAAAGCGCTTTACGACTTTTCGGTCTCCCGCAAACGTTGTTAAAGCTCATTACCAATCCTCGTACTTGACGCGGTTGAGAAGTGTACCTAGAGCCTGGATATACACCCGAATATCCCCGCCGTCTTGCAGGAATATCTTCGGGTTCCGCTTGAACCCTACTCCCGCTGTTGTTCCAGTCAAAACAAGAGCGCCTGGCTCCAATGTGGTCCCCTGAGACAGATAACTGATCAGTTCCGCCACACCAAATACCATGTTGCTATTAATGTGTCAGTCATCTTTCTTCGGTCTAGGATCAGTTGACCTCTTGGGTTCGTCACCCACCCTGTCGTGTCGGCTTGCACAATCTGGCCGTTGTATGTAGCCTAGATGTGCAGCTGCTGAGGGTCTAGGATCACAGTTGGGGAAACAAGTACAGGGCCTCTTCCGTAAGATCAAAGTCAGCGGAGAAGAACGTGGATATCATCCCTAGCAGCAGAGTGTGCCGCACATACCGATCGGGCAGGAAGAATCTAGTCCTTCGGAGAAGGACCACTGTTGATCACTCATTTGCAGTCTCCGGGAAGAAACATCGTTCGACACCGTGTACCCCAGGACATGGTTCAACGCATCTTCTTTTGCGATATTTCGACCACCTCGTCCAATGACGACGCAAAGCTCTGCCTCATAATCACTGGAGTCGTCTTGAGAGGTTTTTGGAACGGAAAGGGGCGCCGGAAACGGATCTGCCAAGGCGGTTCGAGGCTTGGTGAACATGCTACATAGGAGCGCTAGGCAATTTTACTTCGATTTCCTGCCAATGATGGAGTGAGCGCCTGAGAACATATCTGCTTTCTGGAATGAAGTGGATGGGGTCAATGTCGTCTTTGGACGGGCATTACGTACTTTGGCATTGTCGCGGTAATTCATGCCGATGCAACGGATGTATGTGCATTCTTCCTTCGCAATGGGGGCCAGGAGCTTCTTTACGGTGACGACCTCCTTAGTCACTCTGCCGTCGAATATGGTTCCTTCGATGCGGAATGCCTGAACCGTGACTTCATCAAAGGTGTCGAGGCCGATGTCCCGTGCGTTGTCGATGGGTTGCCCTAGGTGCACCTTGCCGTCCTCGACCGCGACAAATCGGATAAGATGGGCCCATGTAGACATGTTGGCGATTTTGATGTTGATTTCAAGTTATGCGTGCTTTGAATCATGTCAATGCGACGCATGTGTGCCAGCAACAACGACAGTTATATATCTATTGCTGGCGACGTGCACAGAAACATGCCTATATGCGTCAATTCTTCTCGAGGCATGAAAAACGCGCCCGGCTAAAAGTACCCCTTCCAGCAACACTATTTCATTGCATCGGGGTCTTGATCTCGGTTGCCTACCTTTTTGGGAGCATTTTAGCACAAGCCATTGATTTTCCGGAACCCGAATCAACTCTCTCGCTCTAACTGGCTGTTCAACACTCTGGAAGTCTGCACGCCGTCTCAAAGAGATATCAGATTGGCATTTAGGCTCATATTGCCGGGTGTGTCCTCGGAAACTGTGTCAAGGGGCGCGGGACTTGGTATTCTGTGCGCAAATATGTTTATGCGGCAGTTGCTTATTGAACCCTGCCAGAATACCACGGTGTGGGAGTTGTCTTCGACCACGAGCTGAGTAATGTCTCTAAAATAACGGGAAAGGGAAAAAAGGAATGGGGCTGAAAAGGGCAGAGCCCGGCGGATTACTGACAAGCGCAGATGCATGATCTGGAATCGTGAAACGAACTCTGCTCATCGGGCTTCGGGTTAAAGGTTCAGAATTGACTGCTGCATTATGTGAGTTTCGGGTCTGTAGGATGGTGGTTATCTGTCAAGATGTCTTTGTGTAGCCGTTTCAGAGGCGCCATGAAGTAATGTCTATACGGAAGAACAATTAAAACCGGTGTATCTGCGTACAACGGCATAGACGCCAGAGATGCATTTTCAGAAAGCGCGGTCTGGAGAGCGACATTTTCATCGAATGCGTCATCATCGTAGGCAACAATAGCGACCTCCTCCTAGGATAGCATGCAGCCCTGTCTCCATTCGGCCCCCTTGCTTGTCTTTATGTTGCCTGACATCAACAAGCTGCCAACCAGAACCCGACTCCCACAGATCTGTGTACGAGGAAGTCAAGTTCGTATTGTTGGGTCAGTAATGATGCACAAGCTTATGCCATTGTGGACTTTCGGCATCAGGTCTCCTTAGCGCGTGTCTCGCATTTTTACAGACTGTGGACAAATTTCTGCCAAGTACGCTTTTCCTCGGATGAGGTGTTGTCATTTCGAATGATGTTCGACCATACAAAAGATGCCGCGCTAAAATAAGGAATTGTCTACCTAGAGGCGGTACAGTAGATAAACCTCTAGTTGGCTTCCGTGCGCAGAAAGTTTGAACCTAGGTCATGAGCATTGGTAGGGCTGCAGCCCCTGAAGCAGGGTCCACTTTGGCCCACCCAAAGAAAGGAGTTGCTCGGTGTGCTAGCCTCCTTGGGCAAATTCATCTCTTTGGTCTCCTAAACCTACGTAACATCTCCTTGCCTCTCCCGATCTCACTCGCAGGGCACAGACATCATAATGTCTCCCGATTTATGCTCTGGAGGCCTGCAGCCTCCAGACCAAGTGGCAAGTCCGGCCTACAGTTGACTACCATACGCATTCAACTGTCCGGCAATTGCTGTCCTAGCAATCGGGCCAAAGGCCAGAGAGCGCAGCACCGTTGTCATTGGGGGATACTGTGCACCAATAATTCTATTCTCAATGGGGAACGCTCCCGTGGGCTCTCCAGCGGCATACAATCCAGGTATTTGAATGATATTTACTGCGACGACCCTACACTCGAGGTCCGTCGTCAGACCTCCGTTGGTGAAAGTGAGGGTCGTCTTCAATGGGAACCCATAGAATGGCGGAACGGCAATTGGATTCGCCTGATTGGTCTTATGAGGCGACAGGCCCGTTGTCGCTTTGCCGTCGAACTCTATGGTGTCCCATGGCTTGTCGTTACAGGCTGCGTTAAACTCCTGAACGGTGTGCTCCAGCTTGGCAGGCTCTAGCCCAAGACTTTGCGCCAGTTCAGCAATGGTAGGTGCCTCCTCCGGATCAATGTCTGTTGTTTGATAGACCCAGCCAGGGCGAAACTTGTCAGAGACAGGCTTGTCGAAGATCAAGTACGCCTCATTTTTCTGGTCACGCCAGGCTTCCAGGGCGATCATTTCAAAGAAGAGATGTCTTTTCGCTTCATCGTAAAACCGTTTGCAGTCGCCATTCACAACTATGCCATAGCAGTGACCCCAGATGACTGCGTCCGGCTTGGTAGTACGCGCGTCAACAATCTCGCTGTGGATGCCGTCAAATGCGCCGGATGTTGCGGCGCCCGCTTCCATAGCCATGCGGATGCCAGCGCCACGGTTGTGCACAAGGCCTGGTGCGATAAGAGGAAGGGCTTGTGTTCGAGGCCCGACGGACTTTGCCAGCATTTCTTGGTTTCTTCAAGCCCGCCACAGACAACCATGACATTTGACCCGAGAATATCATGGAGACGGCCGTCGGTTTTCCTGACTTTGACTCCAGTCACCTCGCCGGCATCAATGGTGAGCAGATTTTCAGCTTGCGTTTCCCACATGACGGTCAATCCTTCCATCGAACTGTTTCCCGTGGCTGAAGTAGTTTTGCCCGATAGCTAACCCGCCACCTGCTGGCGTGGCATAGTACTGACTGGTGTCGAGTCCAAGCAGGACATTTTTCTCGTCTGTTGTTCCACCACGCAATCAGCTATTGACCGGTCCTTTCATGTAGTAGTAACTTGGAGCCGATGAAACCCATCAACTCACGTGATGATTGATTTTCACCCCGTGCTCGAGGAGGTAGGCCATGGTCTTTGGAACCTCGACATACATCTTTGCACAATAGTCTCTGTTATGCAGACCTTGGCTGACTCTGTCCATCTCGTCGATCCGGGCAGGGTCAAGGTTGTTGTCCTTATCAAGCCTGAGATAAGCTGACGTCCACCGCGAAGCTCCACATCTCTCTCCATCTTTTCCACTTTCCACGATAACCACTCGTCCGGGTTTCTTCTGAGCTTTACACGTTTCCAACAAAGATAGAGCTGTGACGGACCCAGCAAAGCCGGACCCAACCACAATAAGATCATATTTGTCTCCTGACATAATGAGAGGTGCTTTACTGCTACGATAAAGTATCGAACTTCCAATCTCGCGGGCACACCCTTGTGAGCGAAGGATTGCAAGGTGCACTGAGACGAACAGAGTTGTAAACTTATATGCTTCGTTTTTGATCCTTGGTCTGCTCTAGTACACCACTACCCCGCTCAGAGCGTCGTCGGCTCGACGAGACTCTCCACAGACATGTTAGCACCAAGGACCAAGCCTATTGTGCTGAAGTCTCCCTTCAGTCATTTGCCGAAGGCGGGGGTCTCGCATGAACTGGACCGTGCCCTCGGAGGGTCCTGGGTGTATCAACATGCGTCCTTTGCTAAGCAAGGCTGATTTAGGCCACTAGATTTGCTGCAGCATTTGTCAGCGTCATCGGAGCACGAATTCAATGTGTCATGTTCAACGGATTTTGGCAGGATTAGTACTCTGATCGTTCAACCCGACGCGCCTTGGAGACTTCCATAGCCCTCGTTTCTGTAGTCTGCTGCATTCTTCTCCTACCGCTGCTGAAAAACTGGAGAGGGTCATAATATAAACCCTTTGGAGTTCCTCTAGAGGATATGGCCATCGTCGACAATTAGAAGGTCGAATACCTTGGTTTCCGAGGGCGCGGGATGGCCGAGAACCAAGCACCTACCATCCCCCGTCAACGAGGCACAATCTTTCCACATGGCGAAAATGACAAAGTTCGTGTGCCTGAGGACACCGATCTCCTGATCCAAGGAGACAACATCACCAAGATCGGGAAAGACTTCGTGTTTGGTCCGTACACCAAAGAAATAAACTGCCATGAAAAGGTGATCTCGCGCGGCTTCGTCAATACCCATCATCACGTTTGGTAAACGCAACTTAAAGGAAGACATATGTGACGACAATCTACTAAATTATACTACAAAAGGGAATTGGCAGCCATACAACTATACTGCGCGCGACATATTCTGGGGAGAGCTGGGTGGTCTAATGGAGGCTATTGATGCGGGCACGATATGCATTGTCGACCACGCTCACATGGCTTCCTCGTCGAGCCACGGCCTCGCTGCCCTTTTTGCTACGCTCAGCTCTGGCATAAAATCAATCTTGTGCCTGAGCGCGACACCACGGCTTAAAAGATGGGATAGTGAAATTGTCATCGTTGCTGGCAAAATTAACAACAGAAGCATCCCTTGGTCTGTGGTAGCGGGGCAGGTGCGCAGCACGAGATCGGATATACAAAAGGAGAATAGATGCTTGCGATATGGAGGTTGCGAAGGAAGAAATCCTTCAGTCTTGGGGTTTAAAGGAAGGCAGGAACATGCTAGCATAGTAGGCCCACTATTATATGATCTATAGAGAGAAACCAGGAGAGATAGAGGGGGGCGGCTCGTCCGCAGAAGGAACTGTGCAGAGGCAGTTCAGAAGGCTTTGGGTCAATCCTTCAATACTTGCCTGGGTAGGAAGCTGAAGCCGAGGCATGCTTATGCTGGTGAAGCATATTGCCGTCTGAGGAACTACCGTCACTCTAAACCCCCACCAAGAAATCTGTCTCGTACTTGCCCATGGTCACCCACTTCTTTTGTATGTATTTTATTGTATTTTCTGAAGAAGAGAGCACGCCATGATGCCGGGAGACAGCCTGGCCATCTTTCTCCCTGGTCCGGTTAAGCGAACGGGCATTTGCGACGTCTAAGACTTAGGCGGATCACAAAACTAAAATCCGTCACGTTAAGGAGCGACTTCGGCGGCAGCCAGTCAGACTAAGCACGTCATTCGGCGGTGAAATTTTGCTGTCGCGCTGAAATGTTATAGCTTCCACTTCTACCTCAGTCAACAGAAATGTGCTCGATGCAGCTCTGCGCCACTTCTGGTCTTCAACTACCCTCTGCTGCTCAACCGTACACATGGCTGAAATAGCACAGACTGTTAACAAGCACGTTCAAAACAATGTAGAGCCGGTGGCTCACCCGCAGCCACGCAGCACCCAAGGTCCTTCGAGGCTTTCAAGGCTCGACGAAAGTGACTTTGTAACGGTCACAGAAGATCGTGAGCTGAGGCGGGGTCTTCACCAGCGGCACGTTTCCCTTATCGCGATCGCGGGAGCTATCGTAGGTTCGCCGCTTTCCCCCCTTTTTCGCGGCATTTCAAGGTTGACCGATTTTCAAGGGAACGGGTCTTTTCCTGGGACTCGGAGGATCAATTCAGACGGCTGGTCCCCTCGGAGCCTTACTAGGCTATGCGACTATCGGTGTTGTTGTCTGCGCTGTACAGTTTGCCCTTGGCGAGGTAACAGCCCTGTTGCCCGTCACTGGCTCCTTTGTCCGCCATGCAGAACTGTTGATTGATCCTGCCTTCGGCTTTGCAATAGGGTTTGTCCTCTTTCCACGTGCCAAGCAGCGTCGCCTTTTAACACATGATCAACAGGTACAATCTCGTCTACGGCAATTGTCTCTCTATCCCGGCTGAAATTACAGCAATTTGCGTTCTCTTGCAGTACTGGACCGACATCAACCCTTCAATATGGATCCTGCTATTCATTGCTATGACAGTCGCCGTCGGCTTATCCTTCATTGGTATTTATGGCGAGGTTGAGTTCTGGTTTGCTCTGCTCAAGATCCTCTTCATCGTGTTCCTGATCATCCTCGGCCTGATCATCGACCTTGGCGGTGTTTCAGGCACGCCTCGCACCGGCTTCAAGTACTGGAAGAATCCCGGCCCATTCGTCGAGTACATAGCCACTGGTTCTTGGGGTAAGTTTCTTGGTTACTGGGCTGTCATGAGCAATGCTGTCTTCAGTTTCGCGGGGACTGAGAGCATCGCCATGGCCGCTGCCGAGACGCGACACCCTCGTGTGGCGATCCCCAAGGCCTGTAAGCGGGTGTTTATCCGCGTTTCGATATTCTACATCCTCGCCGTGCTCATAGTGGGCATGCTCGTACCAAGCAACGATCCCAGACTCGACGACCAGTCCGGCACCGCCGCACAGAGCCCATTCGTTATCGCAGCCAGCGCCGCGGGCCTCAAAGGTGTTCCGTCCCTCGTGAATGCCGTCGTGATTGCCTCAGCGTGGTCCAGCTCAAATCAAGCTTTACTTTCTGGCACCCGCGTCCTGTACGGCCTTGCGCTGAAGAATCAGGCGCCTAGGGTCTTCTTGCGCACTACCCCATGGGGTGTTCCCTATGTTTGCGTGCTATTCTTTGCGGCCTTCATGTTCCTCGCTTTCATGAGCCTATCGGAGGGTGCGCTGACCGTGTTCTGGTGGCTCGTGGATTTGACGGCGTGCGGCGTGCTAATCTCGTGGATCACGGTGCTGTTAAATCATCTCCGGCTGCTGCGGGCTATGAATGCGCAAGGACTGGAGTTGAAGATGCTGCCATGGCATTCAAGATGGACTGGTGCGTGTTGATATACTCCCTTTTTGCATGATATATGCTAAAGACAGGTTTCTGACAGAGTTTTCAACACCTGTGGCACTGTTCTTGTGCGTTGTGATCCTCCTCACAGCTGGATTCCCGGTCTTCACGAAAGGCAATTGGTCGACCAGCGGGTTCATCGCATCGTATTTGTCAGTATACCATCTTTGCAATCGACTAGTAAAAGTGCTGACGCCATTACCAAAGGGACATACCTCTCGTGGCCACAGCGTATGCCGTGTGGAAGATATATAAGCGGACTGCGATTGTGAACCTTTCGGAGATCCCCCTTGAAGAGGCTCTTACACGGGCTGCCGAAGATATAGAGCCAGAAACTAAGTTGCCAAAATGGCGGCAGGTGATAGGGTTCCTTTGGGACTGATGGTGCCCTTGTTGTTGAAAAAGCATTAGATGAAGATCACATCATTGACACCTAAGTCCACAACATATCGAACCACACGCAAAGAAGAAAGACCGCCATCATTTCGAAAGTTGGAAGGTCAAATGGGCTTCGCCGCAAGAACAATAGACTGTTGGCTGGCAGGGCGATGACTGTCCTTCCAGATGTCGGACAAGGTCCATATTTCGGGCGGGCGCGGGCCGGTTCAGATTATTCCGACCGGAAAAGGTGCCGAGAGCCCTTGAGCGCTGTCTAAAGGAGATTGAAAGAGTGACTGGGGCTTTGGAGGCCCACTTGGCCCAGTGGAAGCGGTAGAGGACCGAGGGTGGCGGGGATGGACAACGGCTTGTCGATAACAGGCTGTCCTATGGAGAGTGTACCTTTCTTCCCTGGCATTGCACAATTGCCAAGGTGTTCGGCCAGAATGAGTACGACCAGAGCATGTTCTCGCTGGCAGACGAGTGGTTTCGCAAGACTACCTCCCGACCCGCAGTCCATCTTGAGACCAAGAAGTGAGGAAGACAATTGGCGCATTTTGTTGCAGCAGGTCATTGTTTTTCCTTTTTTTTTTTTCCTGTTCTGAAATCCTTCTGTATTCTTGGTTCGTAGGAAGATCTCAGGTCTAAACGTTGGCAAATTTAACCAAGAGCAAAATGTCAAGTCTCCCGCCGGGGAGGGAGGGGACAACAGCAAAGGTATCAGAGAGTAGAAGTTACTGTGCTGACGTCCTGGAAATATCACGGGGGGAAGTGGTTGTCATAACTCTCTATGACGACCGGAATATCTCGAAAAACACACATGATTCTGTACGAACGATTTGAGCAGCCGCCATCTAACGTCATCTCCCCGACAAAGAAGAGATTGCACCAACGTCTTCAGGCCACGAAGAAAACGTTCTTCATTGTTGCGACAATGGCGGGGATTTCCAACGCCGCTGATGAGAGAGAGATCCTATAGTCTCCTTGGCATCATCAACATCGCCGTGGGTGCCTTGTCCAGATTCTGTCTAGATCCAATTGGCGGAACAGCCCGGCCGTCCTCCCTATCGATAGTCTTATAATCGAATCCGTAGACCTAGCAGAGCGAATAACAAACTGAGTGCTAGGGATGCCATATGACAGGAAGATTGCGGTCCCGGCTAGTCTGCCCCTCCTGCAATCCTTGACATCGCCGCTGCTGAGGCCTGGTTCGATAGAAGAAGTGCTGTTTCTGAGAGGTGAAGTTGAGACGAATGGTAGTCGCATTGATGCTTGGGCATCTAGAACAAGGGCGTGTGCATTTGCGACCAATGCTCACCAGATCAAGCCATCCAACTCCTCAGTTAGCATCATGACGCAATATCTTCAGATCAGTCTCAACCGTACCTAGTCAATCATGCGGCAATCTTTCCATCTCTGTCCGGACAGCCTCAATATCAATGCGAACCAATGGATCCATCTCCAGCATTCGACATGTCACAGAATGCGCGTGCTCTTGTGAGGCATCTCCTGGTATGCAAATTCCTCTGAAGGTCTCCATGAAATGGTTATATTCGATTGCAATATTGCATGCGCGCCTATCGACTGTTTTTTGAAAGGCAGTCCATAACTTGTCCATAGCCGATGTGCCTCCCCTTGCCACAGTAAGAAGCATTGCAAAGCAGCATCCCAACTGCCAGATGTCTGCTTTCAGGCTACTTTCCTTGTGTTTCAATTGCTCCGGGGAAAGATATTGGTACGAGCCTTTGTCGTAGTCCGTGTCTGCACCACGTCGAAAGACCTTGCTGATCCCTACATCAGTGATAATTGGAATACAACGTCCGGTTTGCTGTTCGCGATGCAAGAGTATGTTATCAGGTTTGATGTCTTTGTGCTTGATAGAAAGACGGTGGAGATAACGAACAGCATCGGCGACCTCGTACATCATACGATAAATACAAGTGTCTGATGTGACGGAATGCTGCTCAAACCAAGGACATTTTGCCTTCCTGTCGGCATCCTCACCGCAAAGGAACTCCAATAAGGTATATGGCGCCCAGGGTGTCATGACAATATGGATGCTGTATGGCTCTTCGTTGACATCATAGGCTCCGATAAGTTGGATGATATTCCGATGAAAACAGAGTTCCAGAACACCAAGCTCCTTGAGAACATTTTTGCGATCTGCGGCTGAGAATATATTTTGAAACGTCTTTTGGGCGAATGATTCTTGTGTCTGGCGGTGCACAACCTTTCGTACGATTCCGCAGCTGCCTGAAGTTGGAGGAGCTGAACTATCAACAATGTAAGGCACGTCACGAGTAGTGTTGTAGGTGTGGACATATCGGGGGCTGAATCTGGAGAGGTCTCTCTCGAGAAGAGAAGTGAGTTCTGGGCTAAAGCCTAATGTGAGCTAACAATCGAAGAACAAGTGCGTCTTGGTAATTAGGGTCTTACATCAATTCTTCGAAAACATCTGTTGGGGGCTTCGGGCTGGTGCCCCACGACCAATTGCGTGCCGTTGCTTCAGGACCGAACCAACGAGATAAAATCTTGTGACATTCTTGACCGGATTGATGAATGCGATCCGTTATGTAACGGACTTCTCCTAGATCCACCTTGGTATCGTTCACGAAAAGAGACGCGAATAGTGCATTCAGAGCACCCTCGTCTCCATCTTTTTCCACAGTGGAGCAAATGTCCAACAAAGTGAACGCCTGAAAGAGTAGGTTCTTGACGGAATGCAAGATTTTGGCAACCTCATCAAGACTATGAGCATCGCTCGGAAACGTAGGGTGACTGAATTGTTTTCCAAGGCATTGAACCTGTGCTGATAGTTTTGCAACATGTTGTTGGAGGAGAGAGATCACTGGCGAATTCGTAGGCTTCCGGGTCCATTCGTTCAGACGGGTGCAGATCTCAAGAGCATGCACTATGTCGGTGGCAACGTCCATGGGAACACCATGAATTGTAGACTGCATCTTGTCCCACAATGCAGACAAGCCGAGAACCTGTGAAAGGTGGGAGGTACCAATTTCCGTTCTTGCAGCTAAAGCACCGATTAGAATTGGACCACTAAATAGTTCCATGAATAAGGTTCCGCCACCAGAGGCGCGCCCCTAGCGCGCTTTGCTCAACGCGCGTAACCACGTGGTGCGTGACGCGTCAAAACCCTAACCACCGAGGCCACTTTCCTTTCCCTTGGTGTCGATCACGTGGCTACCGTCGAGCGGGATTGATGAAAATAGACGACAGGGAAAGAGGTCAACGACGCCTTTACAACGGGGAAAAATAGAAGGCGCCCTGGAATTTAACGTACTAACAAGTGATACAACTCAACATCTCAATATTCCGCTAGAAAATCATTGTGTCTTGTGTCTGAGAGGCCACCTGTTGAGCTGACGACGTCAGTTCTACTACCTTCGGAAGGCATTTGTTGCAATGACAGCATCCTTCGGACGATCCCTATACAAAGTCAGCCTCGCCCGGTCTCATTCACCACCACAGGACACGAGTCATGGACCGGTGTACCGACGAGCCGAGTAGAAAAGCGTGCACTAAGGATCCATACAGTAGAAAAATCAAATGACGAAAGGTTGGTGACCAACGTGATTCTTTCAACTCTCTATAAAGGGGATTAGGCTTGGTGCCTGCAGCATGAATCGTATATGTAAATGCATTGCATACGCCAAATCGGCTGTTAGGCAACCTTCGACTCAGAGAGTAAAGGATAAAGGGGCTCCAGCCTCACCAGCCCCGTCGGCGCAAATGGCCGGCGGCCTCCCGCCGGCGCCATAGATGAAGCAGATAGGCGATACCCGCCAATGACATGAACGTCCTTATGTAGCATGCATGACTGGCACCAGGGCGAGTCTCTGGAGATGCCCGGTGGAATAGATTTCGATCATCCACATAGCACCCGTGCAAAATCATAAGTCTTGTCGGGGTGTTGAACGAATGAGAGGACAATTTCAACTCTTGCCATCAGCTGCATCACCAATTAAAGTCTGTCGTTACGGTCTTTTCTTTGTTCTCAGAGCAACCTTCGCGTGGCAGCGGCAGACCAGGACACTCGCTAAGCAATTTCAACAACACAGCTTTTCCCTCCATTTGTTCAGGGCTTCTGCTTCAGGCATGGCTGCTGTCGAAATCTTGAAGTTTCCCATATCGTCCCCGGCGGATACCACGCCTCTAGACAGGCTGAAAGAAGCTGGGTACGAGGCGTCGCAGATCCTGGCCGTGGTCGGCAAGACTGAAGGTACGGCGGTTTTTCTTTTCCGCCTCTATTCCCTTGGATAGAGAGGTACACGACGACTACATATACAAGACGAAGGGGCTGAACGCAAAAATTATTGTGTCAGGAAATGGCTGTGTTAACGACTTTTCTCGAACCTTGGCTTCGGCCGTGTGGGAGCCACGGATCCCGCAGGATGCCGTGACCATCTTCTCCGGCGGCACCGAGGGCGTGCTCAGTCCCCATGTCACTTTCTTTGTTCGGGCACATCAAGGCGTGGCCACGGGGCTGATCACTGCCATCGGACGCACGCGCGTCCTGGCACCCCACGAGGTGGGCACGTCGGCGCACTCGCTGCAGGTCGCGCACACCGTGTCGCAGATGATGCAGCAGGCATCGGTCACGCCGGCCCAGGTTCACTTGGTCCTGGTCAAGTGTCCGCTGTTGACCTCGGCGAAGATCGAGGCCATCCGCGCCGAATCGCGCACCCCAGTCACCACCGACACCTACGAGTCAATGGCAAAGTCTCGATACGCCAGCGCGGTCGGCATTGCGTTGGCGCTGGAAGAGTTGTCTCACGACATGCTCGAGGAAGCCTCAGCATCCCAGAACATCTGGAGCGCAAAGGCAAGCTGCAGCAGCGGAGCGGAGCTGGAAGATTGCCATGTGCTCGTCCTGGCGACAGACCCGGCGGGGGCGGGACAGCAGCAAGGTCATCTACACGCCGTGTCGCGGTACATGGCAGACGCCATCGACGCTTCGGCTGTGCGTGATCTTCTCGCGCAGGTGGAAAGCGCCAACGGCAAGGTCGTCCAGGTGTTCGCAAAGGCCCAGGCCGACCCTCGCGGCCATGTCCGGTCGTGGCGGCACACCATGAACACTGACAGCGACATCCACAGCACCCGACACGCGAGAGCCGCAGTGGGCGGCTTGATCGCCGGACTCGTCTCCGACTGCGAGATCTACGTCAGCGGAGGTGCAGAAGGGCAAGGGCCGTCTGGGGGTGGTAGTCTCTGCATGGTATATAAAACTTAGTAGCCATGCACATGTTCTCCAACATCGGGGGCTCTTTTTTTTTTTTTTTTAACCTCTACGCTCAGCGAGGCTGCTACCCTTCCCGGGAGACCAATGGGTCCGACAGGCTTTTCAAGCTCGCTCGTCTTTCGTCACATATACCAACCTAGCCCAGCCGTATTCTATTCTTCTCCAGATATGGCTTTCCACGTTCATATCTCGTCTCTCGTTCTTCCCGTATGCCTACCAGACTTATTAGGTGCCTCTGTCGCGAATCCTGACCATCAGCGGATCCCGAATCCTGGCGAAGAAGTAACTCCTTGAGATGGGGATCTCGGGCAGAGGCACTTTCTTTTCGTTCCCACCAAAGCTGCTGCTGGTGGTGTTGACCAGTTCTACATCGAAATATAGTAGTAATGTTCCGACCAGTTTTACCAGCTGTATACATAGGAAATGCCATTAGTTCGTAAGAAAGCTGCAAGCGAATGCGGAATATGCTGGAGATGGGGGAAGGGGTCATCACTCACCTCCATCATGGCAACGTTCTTGCCGATGCACTGCCTCGACCCGTGGCCGAAGGGCATCCAGTACCGCTGCATCTCCTCGGGGCTGATCCCGCCTGACCCGTCGATCCAACGGTCGGGGTTGAACATGTGGGCGTCTGGGCCAAAGGTTTCCGGGTCCAGATGGACCGGCAGGGCGGACATGCCGACGATCGTCTGTTCCCCAAAGTAAGGCCATGTTCTCTTGTACTGACTAGACACGGGGAGTTGGGGAGGAACAAACCTTGGCGGGGAAAAATGTCCCGGCAACGACGCGACCGCCCTCTGGCACGTACCGCGGAAGGTTGATCGTGGCAGGAGGTGTCAGGCGAAGGCTCTCTTTGATCACTGCTTGCAAGTAGGGGAGTTTGCCGAAATCGGCATATGTCGGAGGAGTCTCGTCCGTCAGGTAATTGCGCTCAGGAAACGCGGCCCGCAATTCCTCGGTCAGAGCTTCGTAGACCGCAGGATGGCCTAGGATATGATAGAACGTATAGCTTAGGGCTGACGACGTGGAGTCGCTGCCTGCGACACTGGATGAACTTTTAGCTTGGGCTGGAGTAGAAAGGCGAGGCGGCCCAACTTACATGCTCGAGAAAGCCTCTGTCCTCAAATCAATAGAGTCCAACATCTGGCCAGTGACTGGATCCTTGGCCTCGATGAGTCTCCCGAGCAGATCCTTCCGGTCGCTGACTTTCTCTTGCCTTCGCTCGACACGAGACCTCGTAAGCTAGAGAGACCTGGTTAGCCAGATAGATACCTTCGCTAGGAAGTGCCCCTAACCTCTTTCAGCCTTTCACGCCCCGCTTGCAGACTCTGGAGCCACGGGATCGGAAGCCAGGGCCACTTGGTATACGGGATCAGGGATGGCATCATTCCAATCGTAGATCCAAACTCCATCTGATTGTTGATGAGGCGAATATGCTCGTCCTCCACTCCTGTCTCGAGCATCCCAAATCCCTCACTGAAAGCCTAGAACCAGGAACGATCAGTATTCACCCTCGCAGAAAATGCACCGCCCACACATACCAATTCTCCAATAACATCGAAGGCAAAGAAATGACACCATTTCCCAAGGTTAATTTCCGCTCCTGAGGCTGCGAATCCTGACATCTTGCTCATGAAGATTTGAAGGCGCTCCTGGACAAATTTCTCCATAGACTGAAGTGCGTTCATAGAGTACCCGTGAGACACGATCCTTTTGCGCTGAGCATGCAAATACGGGTCTCTTTGGCCGAATATGGTCGGTCGGAAGGCGGTAAAAGCACTTCGAATTATCTTAGTTTAGCAGTGTATTCAATATTCATAAAACTCACTCGTAGTAGGTTGTCTGCAGAAGTTAGGCGAAAGATATCCTGTTCGGGTTCAGCACCGGGACTCACCTTTAGAAAATCTCTTCCCTGAACGGTATTGTAAATCTCCCGAATTGCCGACCTGTCAGATATGATCACCTCGTTCGGGGCGATACGGACGATCGGTCCATATTTTTGATGGAGGGCCAGAATTGTTTCATGAAAGTTGCCATTATTGAACGACAGCAACTTCCAGAGAGGGCTTAAGGACGCCCAGAATGGTCCATTGATCTTCGCCAGTGGTGAGAACCATCGCTGGTAGATGATGAACGAAAAGATGCAGATGAAAACACCGGCCACAGGAATCACCCATGACAGTTGACGCGCAAGATCAACGGCTTGGACAGCCACGGAAGTCGCTTTCCCATGCATTTTTGAGGGTCTTCGTCCCGTGTATACTTCACCATTGCTTCTTTTAGCGGTTGATATGCTTTTAATATGCCGAGACTGCATTGCGATGGTGGCAGTCGTCCCCTCTCCCTAGTCGCGTCGGCTCCCAGCCGCGGATCTCTCGGGTCCATGCCGATCGGCTCCTTACAGCTTGGAGGCGCCGGCTAGTCGTTTGTCGTCTCCAAAACTGTGGTGAACCACCCTTGACCACCCCAACATATTGGAGTCTCCGCATGAACAGTCCCTTCCGTAGCGTGGCAGGGGCCGAGCTGCATCACGTATTGCTTCATAGAGCTTCAAAGCCCGACCAATCAGCGGAGAGCAGGTCTCTCGGGAGACCCGTCCCAAAGAGCAAGTCGTCGAAGTCGAAAAGGTCCGAGCTGAGATTCAACTGAGCTTCGTCTTGTGGTCGTTGCCAAGGAGTTCTGTCTGCCGACAACAATGCCGGATCTGAATTATCCGATTGATGTTGAGTCGTGTAGCCTTGATCGGACACTTGGCCCGGAAGAGGTGTCTCGCGGCCACTCGTTTGAGTTTGAATGCGCTCAAGGAGAATCAGGTATCTGGCCGCAAGTGTACTCGTACCGCTGGCCGCCTTCAAGAATTCCATGCCCAATTCTAGTGTTTCGTCCGTTCTGATTTGCCCTAGAGCTTCCAGCTTCCATCTTTCCATGGTTTGTAGCGTCAAGAGAACTCCAATCGCAGTAAAAACATCTTTGCGATATCAGCTAAGGATCAGCACGTCTAGATTGAGACTTACAGTGAAGATTGTACCACAGAGAATTCAGCAGCCGCCTACGATATTGAGCATAGATCAGCTTGATAGTCTCGCGGGCAGCCAAGATACAACGGTTGCATGAAGCAATTGCAACGTCTCTGTGGAAACTGTCCTCGATGTCTTGTCGACTGAAGATAAGAAATGATTGGCGATGTAGCAGTAGACGAACATTCAAAAACCTGCAATTGCGTTAGTAGTTTGTCGCTATTGTTACTGGTATATGGCTTGCTTACCGAATGTACATGACATTACGTTGTCGCTGGAAATCAGGGCCGTCCGGGTACACCGGTTCCTCTTTCAGATGAGATGGGATACCATTCCACCAAGACAACAGTTCTCCATCCAGAAGAACAGAGTGACCGAAGATTTCTGGGAAATGGTCATATTTGTTTGGAGACTGATTTGTTGTCGAATTCCGTGGTTTCGCCGCTGACGAGTAGAGTTTGAGAAGAACTCTGTCGATGATGTGTGCAAGTTTGATTGTCTGGATGAAGAAGGATGTCAGAGATGGACGGCTTGCGGGCTGCCGAGGAATGACTGAGTCATTCAAGATATATTGATCGTCCACCGGCAACGGCAGCTCAACATCGGACGCATTTCCAGTGGGAATTGAAGGTGGCCTGCCAAACTTCATGCTCAAAGTGCGATCAATAACGAAACAACCCCACCATACACGCTTTCTGACCTCTCTTTCAACTGCTGACATAGCTGTAGAAGGGTTGAGATGGAGTCCAATGCTAATAGAGGTTCTGATCATTAGTCCACTTAAGCTCCAGCACTCGGTCAATTCCAAGGTGCCTTGAAGATAGTGACACATCAAAAGCAGCGCTTGAACAAGCTCCAAGTTACCCTCTTTGAAGATGTGAGCGAACACGATGTTTCGAGCTCTCACTAGGAAGCGTGTTGCCGAATTCGAGGCATTTCTATCTTGAATTGGATCGTGAAATTCGCATGCATGTGCGAAAATGAGGTTGAGCAGTGCGAGCCAGGTGGCTTTCGTGTCAGAATGATCCCCGTCGTTGATCCACATGCGCTCGTATTGAGTTCTGAAGCTTGGTTCGTGGACAAAGGGGTAGAGACGATGTACGTGGTTGAAATATAAGTCAACAAGACTGTCGGCCAGGTCTCTTGGAGGTAGTTCGTACGAGTCTTCGCAGTCCCTAGGAGTGAGGCCCGGATCGAGGCTGTGAGTTTGAGAGCTCCTTGAGCTTGAAAGGCGTCGGCGTTTGTTCCCTGACGCAAGAGCTTGCCGAGGTGCAGAACTCGTTTGAACCTTGGAAACAAAGGCAAAAGTTGATGATTCTCCGAAGAATGCCTCAGGATCTTGAGATTCCGATGGAGTAGTTGCGACTGGAGTCTGGATGCTCGCGACTTTGCTATGTAGCGCAATATCGGCAGCATCGTCGTCAAAGGAGGGACGCAGCTGGACTCGTTCTCGGCCTTCACCAAGAACATCAGTGTTCGTCTGTGTCTTTAAATCTATCAGTGATTTGAGTCTAGACACCAGTTAGACCATGCAAAAGCCGAAGGCACACAACTCCTTACTCGTCGACGCTGAGCTCGTCAACCATAGAAGGGTACACGCAGTGAGTTCCACGACTTTGACAAGATCCACAGAGGGGGCGACTCCCGTCACAGCGATTTTTCCTTCTTCGACAGCTTGTGCATGCTTTTCCAGATGCAAGTCTCTTTTTAAGGATTGGCGGGTCTGCCATATCGCAAGGCTCAGAATGACTCGCATTCTGTGGCCAGAGATTGTCCTGCTAGGGTTGATGCAGTAGCTTGCTACTATGGGTGGCCTCCACGTTCCAGAGCCCCATTCGTCTAGAAGCCCGCTTGTGGTTAATGTGGTGCAGAAGGATGAGACGGGAATGGAAACAATGCGAAAACCCCGCGACACTTGAAGCTGGGAAATCTGGGGAAGATCCGAGACAAGGATCCTGCACGTGACAACCGGTGTAGGTTGCCGGGGCAAGGCCGGGGTTAGGCGCCGGTTTCAGGGCCTCCCCGGTAAAGGAGAAGATACAAGGGTTGAGCTTTGTTGGATTGAGCATGTGGCAGGATAAATAATGCTCCGTCATCGGAAGCCCACTATTCGTTGTCCTCGCCCTAAACACCACAAGGGAGAATATCATAGGTACTGTTCAGTACGAGGTATATTCAAATGTCTCTTCGCTCCATCCCTTTGAAATTTCAAGTCACAGACGAGGCGGTCGTGAGTGAGCCGTAGTTCCATGATTCCACATTTCCGAGACATCTATATACCACACCCAAGGGGTTACATGTGCGTGCAGCCTGCGAGCTAACCTGATCACAAGGTTAGATGTCCTTGTGGAACTGCGGTTGACCCAGCCGTTTCCTCCACTCTTCGCCTTTAAACATCAGAACAATGATCCCCATGGATGTCACCGCGGTGAGCAAGGCAAGTGTGATCCAAGCCCACTGGATCGTAATCTCGTTGGCGAACGGGAGACTGTAGACGTAGATTGTCAGCCTGGCATCCTCGACAGTTTCCGAAAGAAAATCGAAGATGAAACACTTACGCATAAAACCCGAGGGGAAACGCAAAGGTCTGCCGCCAAAAGTTGTACAGGCTGCTGATTTCCCCAGACTGCGGCTTGTAGCAGTCACTGCAATATGCATAGCTGACCGTCGTTACCAGCTGAAGACCGAAACTGGCAATCGCCATTCCCATCACGGGCCCCATCCAATGCGTCTTGTGATACAAGCAGACACCGTAAATGATGATCCCCGTGGGGCAAAGGAGGAGGCTTCCAAGAGACGCGGGCAATCGCGCTTCTGGTTTCCTCTCGCCTCCATGTTTCTTTGCGTAGCGGTACATGAACCAGTCCGAAAAGGGTCCGGACAAGAACTCTCCAAGAGCTGAGCCAATCAAAAGGGGAAGTCCGAGCATAAGCCCGATGGCTCCAGTTTTGAAGTGATAAATCTTGGTGAAGAGAATGGCGACCGTCACTGCTGGTAGGATTGAGGAGAATGCGAACGAGACAATGTAATATAGACACGTGAGTGTCACCGAGGGATAGTACATCATCTCAAATGGACGCACAAAGTCCCGTAAGTGGACTCTTCGGTCTCGTAGCGCATTCCGCCGGAAGCTGAAGAGCATCTGCATGTAGGTCCTCTCTTCATGTTCCGCGAGCACCTTCTCGGAGCGGGAGAAGAGGGTCTCGGGCATAGCAAAGATCATGATAACCAAGGTCACCGCGTTGACGATGGCGGGGAAGTAATATGCCCATCGAACTCCGGCTGTCTGTACCAAGAACCCTCCAATAACAGGAGCGACGTGAGCACCGTTTGTCAAGAAGACGGTGAAGACGCCCATCTTCATGCCTCTCTGAGTCAGCGTTAGCATGCATTCAAACTTGGTCTGCACAGACTGCAGTGTTGTAGTACCTCATGTAGGAAAAACATATCGTTGACAGTGGCCGCTCCAAGGGCCATCGCTGCACCAACCCCGACGCCGCTAAAAACTCGAGCGATGATCAAAGTATGCCATGTTCTCGCGACACCGCTGCCGACTGTTGCAACTATTCCAATGATTGTCGAGACGAGATAAACCGGCCGTCTCCCATAGACATTAGCAAGCGGGGTCCAGAACAGAGGTGAAATTCCAACAGAGATGATGACAGAAGTCGTCTGATATGGCGCCTGGCTGACAGGGATGTGGAAAAGCTTTGCAAGAGGCACCAGTGCAGGGTTGACGACGGCGGAATTGAATGGGCCCAGCATGGCAAGAAACGATACCTGGATGAGCACGAGCCATTTCAACCATGATGGCCAGTTCTGCGTGACTCGCCGTCAGCAAGCGTGTTCCCCCCAAGAGAATTCCGTTTCTTCTTACCAAAGGGTCGTCGCGAAAACGAGTCGGTTGTGGCAAAAGGGGAAATCCGTGACGATCGCGTCGAACGTTGTCCGGCTTCTCTGAGACCGCATTTTCAATCGCCGCCTGCTCGGAGCCGTCTTTGGAAATCACAACGCGTACTTTATCGTCAGAGTCCATCATGAAGAGGACAGTTTGCGAGAGGTTTCTACGAATCCGGGGTAAGGGTGTAGCACCTCTCACGACATGCACTCTGTGGGGTATTATATCTGGTGGTCTCGCCTCCCCCAGAGTCCCCGACCTTTCGCTCGTCGGAATGAGCCGCGGATCTTATGAAGTGGCGCCGACTAACTAGAGTCCCGGATCGAGACACAACCCTCGCTCAGAGGTGCGACGCTTTCCATGTGGCGGCTCGGTAGGAGACTGCCCGAGGCCTGTGGATCGAGAGGGGCGTAGACTGATGGGTACACCGAATACTAAAAGAGAGAACAGAGAAACGAAAGGAAGTACCACCTCCACTCCCGAGTAACAGCTCGAAGAAGACGGATTGGATTGAGAAGACTCCTGGCTCAAGATGGTGCTTAGACTGTCATTTGCGTGCTGGGACTACGATCGGATGAAAGCCATTGAAGATGGCAGGGTTAGAGCGGAGGGAATTGAGCTCACCTTCCTCAATTATCGGGTCGAGGAGACGTATGCCCATGCAAAATCCTGCTGAGCAGTCAAAGTGCTGGTTGCGGCAAGGTTTCTAGACGACTGACATGGTCCAGAGCAGCTTCTTCCGCCAACTTCGATTCCAGGAATTCGACCTCTCTGAGCTTTCCTTGTCTTCTTATGTTCTTACCTTGAACCAAGACAGTCCACCCTTTATCGCCTTACCGGTCTTCCCCTCACGTTTCTTCCGGCACCAGTCGATGTATATAAATTCCAAGGCCGGCATCAAGAAACCCGAAGACCTGCGTGGGAAACGGATCGGGACTCCAGAGTATCAAAGTCGGTAACACCAACAGTCCATACCCCCTGGCTATTCGAATGAAAGACACTAACTATCCCTAATCATCTTTGGCGAAACCACAGTGACAGCAGCAGTCTGGCAACGAGGCATCCTGGCTGAAGACTTTGGCGTCCCTCTCTCCAGTGTACACTTCTACACTGGTGCCATTGAACCGTCGGACAAGCCCCGACATTCCAAGGTTTCGCACAGCTACCCGGCCGACATCAAAGTGACCGCGATCGAGCCTGGCAAGAACCTGTCGCAGATGCTTGCTGACGGCGAGCTCGACGCCATCTTCAGCGCCACGAAGCCCTCGTCCTTCGACACGTCCCCGGAAACGGTAACACGGCTGTTCGACGACTTCAAAGCCGTCGAAGCAGAGTACTATGCACGCACCAAGATATTCCCAATCATGCACGTCGTGGCCTTGAAACGCAGCGTGTATGATGCTAACCCGTGGATCGCTAAGAGCCTGACCAAGGCCTTCGCCAAAAGCCTGGAGATGGCGTATGAGCCCTTGAAGGAGCGGGCGGCGCTGCGGTACATATTGCCGTGGCTAGAAGACCACGTTGAAGAGACGAAGGAGCTGATGGGTGGTGATGACCGCTGGTGGAAGGACGGGTTTGAAGCGAACAAGCACGTGTTGGACAAGTTCCTGCAGTATTCATTTGAACAGGGGCTGGCTCAGAAGAAGTTCAAACCCGAGGAGCTTTTCGCCCCGAGCACGCTGGAGGACTTTGTACTGTGATATAGATACGGTATGCTGGAGCTTGCTGGCACACGTATGTAGATCGCAAAGGTGAATCTCATGCTATCTTCCTTTCCGCAGAGCTTTAGTATGGACAGTCCCGCCGTCTTTCCACCGGTTGCCCGGGAAGCCGGACTGTTTCGACCGAAAGACGCACGCGGATCGTCCGTGTCGTTCTGAAGAGTTCGATTGCTCCGCTTGGTTTGTTGGTCATACTGCGTATGAAGCTATAAGGCAAGGCCATTGGCTTTCAATGACGTGATGGAGCTTCCCAGGGTTTTCAAGGCATTCCCTGCTGACAAATTCCCCAAAAAGGGGGTTGCCAAAGTGGTATCGTTCCACTTGTATACCACCTAGTATGCAGCACTCAACATGCATATTAAGAGCAACGGCGATGTTAAATGGGCATTGCAAATGTCCATATTTGTTTCATATTCAACGTGAGATAAAACATGGCTTCAACGCAGGATCCGGAGAGAGCAAGGATACAGAAATGGCTCGAAGATGTAAGTAGTTGTGCTTATATACAGGAAATCCTTTCCCTCAGCCTCGCGGTCGTGTATATCGCACGGTCCCTCACTATCACTACTGGCTACACCTCCCTCTTCGTACATATTGCCCCCTGGTTTCTTTTCATTACAGGAGACTGATATGTGGTCTTAATTGAGATTCACAGTTCCATGCCGCATCCGCCACCCTCTCCGCCTCGCACTGGTGCAACAACTTCTTCGCGCCGTCGATAATCCTGCAATTCGGCAACGGCCCTCCCGTTCAGGGCCTGGAAGCACTCCGTGACATGTTCTTCGCCCCGCAACTCGCCCGCCTGGACTTGATGGAGCATTATATCGAATATTTCGACTACGTGCCGCCGAGGATTTACCAGGCCGCGAGGATCAAGTATCGCGTCAAGGGAGATGATCCGAGCGGGAAGGACGATGTGGAGATTCCGGGTTTTGCTACCATCTATGTCAGGGAGGACCAAGACGGCGACGGAGCCTCGGGTGACGGAGGGATCAAGGGAAGATTGATTTGTTATCGTATGGAAACGTTCCTCGACACGAGGCCGTTGGAGAAGAGGATGCAGGAAGTTTTGGAAGGTAAAGAAGGAAGCCAAGCATGATTGGAGAAACATGTATACAGCTTTCAGTATTCCTGGTAGGCGCTATCATAATCAGCGAATACACAATTCCATGTCCAAAATAGAAAAAAGGCTTCATCTCAACATTACCGGTGCCATCAATCATCATTCTTCTCACTTCGACCTCCTGTTGCTTCAATCCTTTTCATTGATCCGCCTGTCCCAATCCTCTCCAATCTTCAGACTCTCCACGACAGCTACTCTCTTTCCTAGTCCCGTCCTCTCTTCCTTCTGCCACCACTTTTCTGTGTTCTTGTAAGTCACCGATTCGTCATCCGTATCGATCAATCCACCATGTCCTCCTTCGTCACCAATAACGATAACAGTCTGCTTTACCCAGCCGGATAAGTCTGAGACGATCTCGCCGTCACGGCCACAGAGGGATTCTTGGATATACACGACCTCTGGCGAAAGGCTGCGGAGAATATGTTTGTGTCCGTTGGGTGAGGTATAGGGTAGTACCATAGTATCTTTGTCCACAATAACCACGGCTTGAGTGTACAAGGTCTTGAAGAGGGAAGTTGACTCGTCAAGGGGGCTCGGTTCTACTTGAGTCAGGATGCCATCATTAGGGAATTCCCCCGGTGTTTGGGCCGGAGTATGTGCATCCGTGTGGCTAATGTTTGAGAACGAAGATGCCATAGACTGAGAGGGTCTTCTAGGGGCGTGGCTGAGTGGGTGCGTTTTTAGATCTGGTGCGTAGATGAGGACGAAGACTCGTGTTGTGTCGGGTTCGATGTATTCTGGGAGATGTGAAAGGATCGACTATCAACCTGTTAGGTACCAATTTTGAGCGTCTGAAGTGCCAACCTACCGCATGTTGCTCAGCATCCGACTCGGCATTAGCATCCAACCCAACGGCCGACACTACTACAGCCACAGTCTTTCTTTTCCGGTTGGCGATAGACGCAGATTTGGGAAGTTCTATGCTTCCGGAAAAGAATTCTTCAGCAGTTCCGCGCCTCTTGATGCCTTGTTTGATCTGGCGGTTGTTGTCTCGCTGTTCGGCCTCCTCACTCCATCGTTCATGGTCTTCATAGGCTTCGCCACCTCCGCCGCTTAGGGTACTTATGGCGGCACCAACCATCGCGCCCGCTGCCGCCGTAGCGGAAGCAAATGGCTTATTGGCCCAGTCGTACGACTGAGTTTGACCCTGGCTGCGCGAGCGATCGCCTGAGGGAGTAGTTGAGCGGCCGAAACCCAGTGCACTTGACATGCGAGCGACGAGGCCAGTCTCCTGTTCCTCCTCTACCGCCGTCGACCGAGCACGGTATTCCTCTTCTGTCCCTCGCCATCCCGGAGGCGGAGGACCACCCTGAAATCCTCCAGGCGGAGGAGGTCCCTGAAAACCGCCCGGTGGTGGAGGCCCTTGGTAACCACCCGGAGGTGGCGGGGGTCCGAACCCTCCCGGCTGTTGTGGACCGGGCGTCATTGGAATGGGAGCACCGCCTTGAGGAGGCGGCCCTCCTTGGAAGCCAGGCGCCATCGGCGGTCCAGGAGGTAGAGCGCCGCTCATCGATGCATAGCCTGCAGGAGGGACGCCTCCCTGGAATTGTTCATCTTCACTCGATTCCTCCTCGTCATCCTTCCTCTCACCCCAGACCCATGCTGCAAGACCGATAGTGGCTGCTGTGACGGTGAGAGCAAGGGGAACCCAGTAACCAAATGTCGACCTGCTGCCTGAGTATCCGTACCCGCCAGAGGTAGTCGTCTTCCGTTTGCGCTCCGTCACTGTATACGAGTAGGACATGGCTGGGTCGGAACGTCACAGGAAGAAAGAGGCTCAAAGTCGCATGAGAGAGGAGGCTTTTAACTCGATTGAGGGCAAGGGCGACGTCAAGGTTGGAATGGTTGGCGGAAGGTGGAATGACGAATGGTCCTTTTGTTTACTTTGCTCAGCCGAGGCTCGCTCGTGCAGTGACGCGGCGACTCAAGATCAGATTCAAGAGACTGTAAGAGGCTGCACAAGAGCAAATCGCGTCGTGACTCTCATGCGGGCAAAAGAAAGAAAATACAACGACGGAGGGAAGAAGTAGGTAGGCGAGGTGGTGAGCTGAGTAGCTCGATTCAATCAATCCGCGTGGCTGGAAGCTGCATCTTGTCCCCCAGCCCGCAGATTCCCCACACGGCGAGACGGCTCACTTCCTGCGCAATAGTTCGTCATATTGGTCCTACTACTGGGTATGAGGAAGATTTCTCGACTTTAGTCAATGCTTCGTTTCTAGCGGTTCTTCAGTGACAGAGGATCGAGTACGATGGCTACTGCCTCGTCCACCCGGCGGCGACCGCCTCGAGTTGAGTCTGCGGCATCCAAGTCCACAACCTCCTCGCCACCATCACCAGATGAGCCCGAAGACACAACCTCTCGTGTCATCTCCCCCCTCGACATCCTGCGAGTCATACTCACCTTAATATTCGCCTCGTGTCTGCTTTCATACTACCTTACCTCTGGGACCTCGCTGCTGTTCAAATATAACCCATGGTTCCTGAACCCGTCTCAACTCTCTCTTTGGTGGACAGGGCCTTTAGCCCTCACACCGGAGCAGTTGGCGCTCTACAATGGCAGTGACCCCGCGAAACCTATTTACCTGGCCATCAATGGGACCATCTTTGATGTTTCCGCCGGAAAACACACGTACGGACCTGGTGGGAGCTACGAAGTGTTCGCGGGAAGGGACGCTACCAGGGCCTTTGTGACGGGATGTTTTCTCGAGGATCGGACCGGAGATCTGAGAGGTGCGGAGATGATCTACATTCCAATTGAAGATGATCCGGAGGAAGAGATCTCGAGCAGCGCGAGGAAATTGCGGGCAGAGAAGGAAAGAAGAGAGGCCAAGAAAAAAGTGCAGGATGAAGTGAGGAGATGGGAACAGTTTTACAAGAAGCATAAAAAATATTTCGAGGTTGGAAAGTTGGTCGGCGTCCCCGAATACACAGGCGAGCCACCAAAGCTGTGCGAGCCAGCGGAAAAGGGGAGGCCGAAGAGAAAGAATATGAACTCGAAAAAGGAAAAGAAAAAGCACGCACCAGGAAAGCCTGTACAATAAAGAGAAATGATATGGTCAAAAATTTCACGGGAGGACTAGACCACATGGAAGCATAGACGATGTATGAATGGCTTTAAAGTTCCTGGACTGCTTGCGTTGATTTGCTGTTTGCTGGGGCTGTGAGATGAAAGCTCCTCAGTTAACTAGATGCAACCAAAGACATCATTGAGATGGAAATTCGCAAATGCCAATGATTGATGGTGACAATGGTATTCGTCCTCGTCCAGCTTTTGATGGACAATTTGCGATTTTCTTTTTGCAATGTGAATCCGTAGCCCGGTCTATTGACCCAGCATTTCCCATCCATATCCCATGCAATATCATCAACATCATCTCACGGCGAAAGAGCATCTCCGTCAGGGGAGATCGTCTGTGCTCTGGCTCTCGCCTTCATTTTCTGCTCAAGCATCCACACCCCTCAGAACCGTCCACACATCTTAATCTCCACCAGCAGCCGCTCTTGTGTAAATGCTGCCCTTGCTGTGTGCCACGACTTTCCTAATCACACCCCTCTCCTCGAGGTCCGCAAGCGCCTTTCTCGCGAGCGAGCCATTGATCTTCAATCGGTCGACCAGCACGGCGACGGTGATGAGGCGGTACGATTGGACGTCCTTGTTGAGTTTGTCGGAGGTGGCTTTGTCGAGGACGACAGCGTGGTTGGCCTTATCCTTGACTATGGGCGGAAAAGAGGAAAGCAAATGTCAGCCAAGCAGATTGGAAGGAGAGCACCGTGAGATGCGAAAAGCCCTGAGAGAGACAGAAAAGAATGGATGAAAATGTCGGTCGAAAAACGTACCCTTTCCCTTGGACCACTTCTTCTTTTGCTTCTTGCCGCCGGAGGATGCTGCGGGCGCCTGAGGTGGTCAGCGATACTTTCCGGCCGGATTGGGCGTAGATTTGGGAATGCGCATACCATTTTTGCAGTGTTTGATGGATGATGGGAGAAATGATTGAAAGGTCGAAGTTCCTGTCTTTGAGTGATGGGAGGCTTCTGCGCCCCCGCAGGCTCCCGATTTGGCAACTAGGGCAAAGGTCTTGGCACTGTTGGAAGGTCGAAATTTCTTACCCGCGTGAAGCGTAGTTTTACGAGTGATCAAGGCCCTATGGTGCTCAGGATCATGATTTGATATGGATTCGGTTCATTCATGAGGATGACACCTTCAGATTTAGCTGGAATTATCGGCTGAATTCTCTACGGAATCAGGATCTGGGGCTGAATTCAAGACTTTTCCGGGTATCTCATTTCCCTCGCTCGTGCGTATCACATGCAGAAACACATTCCATATGCCACTTAGTAGAAGAAGCCAATGATCTTGCCCGAAACGTGCTTTCGTCTGGCCTCTTCGTGATCCATGATTCCAGCGCTGGTGGTGAGAACAATGTATCCGAACTGACGAGATGGCAGCAACTTGACAACCCACTTCTCCATATCACGGAGTTGAACGTTGTAGCGTGGGGAGATGACACCGGTCTTGTTGAGACGGCCATTGAGTTGAATGACAACTTTGCCACTGCGGTGATCGTCGACTTCTTCAAACTCGCCGATATAGCCTGTTGATAAATATAGCCGTCAGTCGATGTTTGAGAAGAAGCTTGGGTTGTTGCGACTGAATAAACATTAAACAAACATGGATGAAATGAGAAGGCAAATGTGTAAGACTCAGTCGCAGAAAAGAAAAGTCAATCTTTCGGGCACTTAAAGGGCAAAGGTCGTGGATGCAATGTTTTGAAACCGCCGCCTAGTTATCAACCCGACAAATTTTCAAGTATGTGTAGTATGCCAGAATCCTCCTCTTGTAAATCAACAAATGCAGGATGCGAACGTACCGTGCTTCTGCATGACAGACAAGAACTTGATGATAACCTTGGAGCTGGGTCGAATCATGACCTGGCGCTTGCCGGCCTTTTCGGCATTGTTGATGCTCTTGAGCGCGTCGTTGAGCACGGATGTTCTGACCATGATGGCGGTATTTGAGAGTGAGTGAGATTCTCAAGTTCGTGTGAGGGCCGAGGAACTTGAGGTATCTGTGCAGTGGAGAACTTGTTAGTCTTCAGGAGCCTTCGAGCCAGAAGAGTGCCCAGTGAAGGGTTCTTCAGCTCGTGTCGCGAAAGATGAGCGTATCCAAACCGGACAGAGCGTGGAAATGCTACAATCCAACAGCTGCAGTTGGATTGCTCATCCTAGGCCAGCTGAAGAAGGGTCGAATTTTAACATACCTCGAGGTAGGAAACAAGTTGACGGTGTGAGGTTGTCGTTGCTAGAGATGTGAGAAGAAATCTTTTGACTGCGGCTGCGGTTGCGAATCGATTGAATTTCGGTTGTGCACCCTGCCAAGAGTTCTATGCGCTAACCCTGATTGAGGACCATCCACCAAAGCACACAGCCTCGCCACATTAAATAGCTAGACAGCTACGCGCTCAAAGCCTGTGTTTGCTCAGATTGACCGAGTATCTGAAATACGAAATTCGGAGAATATGTTTGCAGCGGCTCAACGCAAAACGACATAAAGATCCGCAGGAGACAGGGAGTACTGGGTATATCGACCGCGGATCAGGAGATCTCCGGGCACTTGTTAGCCGAATCCGCCTCCAACGAGATCTAGATGAGGTTGAAACAGATAGGAGCGAATTTGGTGACAAAGAGACTTACAGTAGGTATATCTGATTCGTCATGAAACTCGCTCGATCGAGATCATGTATCAGGATTGACGATGACTGTAAGAATCAGGAGCGCCAGGAGAAACTGACGAGTCGTTTAGGAACAAAATTCATCTTCGAAGGACAGCAATGGTGAGCTTACCAGACCCAAAACCGGAAGAAAGACAAGGACCACCATTCCGCTAGTGACGATCTGCTTTCTGCGGGCCATGGCACTCTGACAGGCAAAAAATCTCCATGCTCCCGCAAGCGTGATAGCGATGCCTATGAATAGCGTCACCACCGCAAGCGGGATGCCCAAATTGTAGTCGCTCAGCTTTCCTGGTGGGACTGGATCTTTTTTCAACCTGTAAAGCTGGAGAATCGTGATGGAGAAGTTGGCTAGGGCTGAAGACGTTCGAACGTAGCCGAGGAAGACGCGTTCGTTGGCAAGATGATCCCTGGCTGCGTGAACAGGGACATGGTGGATGTAAGCAGGGAAAATGAGCCTTATCCAAGTACGCCATTGAAACTTGTGTTTTTCTCTCGGCGCCGTGCTGGAAAGACCGGCATCGGATGACGGAGCGACCTGAGTTGATTCCCTTCCTAACGTGTTCAATTCATGTTCCTCGTGGTGTTCCTCGTGTTGCTCACGATTCCGTCTTGCCGAGTTGTCAACGCCATTCCAAGTATCACCCATGGCTCAGAAGTGTGATACGTGCAGTCCATCTCGTAGTCGGTAAAAAGGCAATCGTGGAGGATATATATTCTGCCATCCAGGCTAAATCTATACCGGGGCGGGCAGGGGGATCTTTTTCTTCTGTTGCTCGATGTGAATTATGTTTCTCCGTAACCAGAGAGGAGCGATGTCTACGACGGAGCATTTGATCAATGCCGTAAGTCTGAAAGGCACTGGATCTTTATTTATCGCCGAGCACTATACTAGCTGACACTGTCTCATCGTTCATACCTAACTGGATATGCAGCGGAGTCCGAAATACCCCGTCCAGGCATGGGAATCGATGCTCCCTTGAATCGCGTCAGTCCCCCCTTGGACTCCATATCAATCGTAGCTACTTGGTCACCAGAATTTAAAGCCTTGCTGTTTTAATTTCTTCTCAGCCGATTCGACAAACTCGCCAACTTGCAATGGAGCCGCAGTAGCCGTTGGAGTTATAGATGGGTTAGGACGGGCTTGTGTAATCCAACCAGCTAAGGTCGTGGTCTGAGCGAGGGAAGCGCCGGTGATGCCAAGGTAGGATGTGAGGTCAATTGACGAAAGTGTTTCCTTTGATCTAGGTGTCAACACCGATGCTAGCGAATGCCCCTGGAATAACACACTCACCGAGCCAGACCAAAAATAAGAGCAGACCGAGTAGCCCAAGATGTTCGACTCTGCCGCATAGGTCCGCTTGCAAGATATATTCCCGTTATACTGGCATTCGGAGAAAAGCGAGTATATAGGCGGCTGACATACGCATGACGCATATGATAGGCTGGATGAAGGCAAGTATTTATTCGAACAGATTCTTGTCTCATAGTCGCCCTTAAGACAGCTTTGGTACAATCGGCTACAGGCACCGAAGTCGTACGTCTGCGTGATTGTAGGGAGCGGAGGAGTCGTCATTGTTGAGCTGACCCGACTATCGCATCTTGAATGCCATTCGTTTATCTCGGCTCGGAACTGGTTATCGAACATATGGCTGGCAAGGCATTTTTGTACATCACTTTCACAGCTGTGAAATATCAGCCTGGCATTATGGTAACTCATCGAGAGTGCGTTGATCAAGCACAGCCGGAAGAGACCACCGAAAGTAACGAGGATTTTAGACTCACTCATACAACGAGGACAGGTACTCCTGCGTGCAAACGCACTCAAGCTTTGCTTCTTCCGAGTCCTTGGCTCCGCACTTGTCGCTAAGATCAGTCCATTTGATGCAGCCTGAAAGCTCCTTGAGGCCGGAATCTGGAAGACAGAACTCAGCAGGCGGGACGAAGCCTGAACTACAGAGGCGCACCGCAAGGGCGAGAAATGTAAGTAGAATCATCCTGGTCGTGATGAGGCTCGTGGAACTCTTAGACACTGTTTCGACCCAGAGAAGAGGTGAGTTGATTCTGGTGCAAAGTTACGATCGTACGGCTGCGATTCTTAAGCCTAGGAAGCTCGTGACAAAGCCACAGTCAGCCTAACATGCCTTGTGCCGCCAGATTCATTTCTTTCGGCTGCTCCATCTCTTCAGGGCGGAGCCAAGACAATCTGTCTCATGAGAGTCAGCCTTGGGCTGGTGACGACATATGTGATTGGTCCGAGGTTGTGATTGAGCATCGAAGGCTTGTCCTGGCCACCGGAACGCACATGTGGCAGCAACGCCGCTTCCGTTGAACTTGCTTCTCTACCTGACGCCCGAGCCCAGCGTCAGCCTGATGGGCTATGTTGGGACACGCCATCAGAAACGCAGGATTTTGTCCTGGGCGCGACGTCAATGGCTTTCCACATCCTCTTGCACTTGAGCCTGGCCACGCCCAACGTTACTGCTCGACAGGTCTGTCGGACGATCCAACGCAGTGGATGCCATATCGCATGTTGTAATGGATCAGAACATAATCAATCTTCCACCGACATCATGTGTTGGAGAAGGGTCAATCCAGCTCCCCGCAAGCCCTTCTCGAGAAGATGTCGGCTCCACTACTGGGCAAGTTGAAAGCGGACGGGGATCGGGGGAAGAGGCATCGCCCGTTGGCGTATCTGTGCTCACAGCAGAAAGCGGACCAGATAATGGGGCAGGAACAACCACATCCGCGGAAACAACCGTAGCGGCGAATCTTGCTCGCAACAACACCCCTGATATTGAGAATGTGCCAGGTGGTACCGCAGCCTCGAGACAGTCATCTCCGCCTCCACCAGAAAGACCTCAAACAACCAATGTCAGGAATCAAACATGGAAGTCTTGGAAAATTCGCCCGTCGTGGCTGTCGCTCCTCCTCTCCTTGAATGTTGCCTTTGTTGTAACCATACTTAGCCTTGACTCCATCTCGAAACGCAACCACGGCTTTGTCGGTTTGGGGGTTGCTCCAGGATTCCTTGCAAGGGATCCAAGCCTAGAGCAGGCTATATGGGCGCAGGGTATCTTTTACACGGCCTTGCCAGCCTTCGTCATGACCCTTTTCCAGACCTCTTGGCATGCAGCGGTCGCAGCATTTGCAAAGCGGCAACCCTACGTCGATTTGAAGGCCGGCGGACCAGCCAGGAGAACAATCCTGTTGGAATACACCGAGCCTTTCGCGCTGTCTTGGTATGCGGCGGTTAAAAACCAGCATTATTTGCTCGCCGCTTGTATGCTCTCGTCGGCAACTTTGGTATTTCTGGTCGTTCCATTGACCTCCTTCCTCTTCACAACAGCACAGCCCAATTTACAAAGTCCGCTTTCCTTATCGGCGGAGACAGCTTTCAACACTAGCATCCTCGGTCAATATCCATCTTATCCAAATCTGAGGTTCATGGACACGGCAGCAGCCATTCACATTCAAGGAGCCAATCCACCCCCGTGGACTGACGGCCGGCATGCGTTCCCGACAGTGGCTGCATTGAATTCCTTCAGAGGAGGCAACGTGACCTTCGATAGTTTGGCGTATTCTGCTCATGCTGAATGCGTGCATCTACAGGAAAGGTCGTACCGAAAACTGATCCAAAGGCCGGAGGACACGGGTCTTCCGGCCATAACTGTCTCCGTATTTGCTAATGACCGCGGTTGTCGAATCTCGACAAGTTCCAATTTCCGGCTGAGTCCTGGCGCTCCCAAAATTTCCATCAACAGCTGGAGCACAACGACTTGTCCTCCACATGCAGGCTGGAGCCGTTTCAGCTTTCTCGTTGCTCAGGTCACAGAAAGCCAAGAGATTGTAAACCTCAGCCTTGTATCTTGCGCCCCGTCCTATCGGACGAGCGACGGGAATGTGACGGCAAGTTGGGAAGTACAGTCCTCTGCTCCAGTCATAACGTCATTCCAGGCTGCCAATATTTCCGAGTCGAGGTCCGACAGCATATGGAGGTTCTTCGAAATGGGTTTCCAGGCTGCAGGCTGCTATGATCCTCGTGCTGATGTTGACACAAATGAGTTTGGCAGGCAAGTATATCGTCTTGCAAGTCACAAATCATCCGCATCGGCATTGGGCCCCCAGACAATCATCGAATCTGCCCAGGCCATGTTTACCACAATGTATTCGATCTTTGCCAATCTATATCTTCTGCAACCGACCGATGCGCCGACCACGACCGTGGGGACGACATTTGTCCAGCCGACTCGACTGATTGTCGTATCACCAATTGCATATATCATTGTGAGCATATTACTTATTGTTGCTCTCTTGAATGTGGCACTCTTAGTCTATGAGAGACAGGATTCGATCTTGGATGAGGAGCCCGTTGGACTTCTAGGTGCTGCTTCGATTCTCCACGGAAGCGAAGACATCGAGGCCGCCGTGCGCGAAACTAAGAAGGCTCCTACATATGAAAATAGAGTTGTGCTGACTGCCTTGGATGACCCTTCTAAGCAGTTTAATGGATATATCTGGAAGTATAAGCAGGGAAAGTTGGTGCGAGACTTGGCTTCGAGCTCTCAAAATCAGAATCTCTCGAGCTCGTATGTTATGGAAAATTTGCCCCAGGAACAAGGACAACGTACCGACATGCGTCCCAGAGATATATAAATGGACAACCTGGGAGGAATACTACCCAATTAGTTCGGGATTAGGAGCTTGAAAAGGAAAGCGTATATGCGGATATAACATGTGGCTCTAGGAAATCTGGCTACAGACTGCCTCACCTGGTAGTGAATGGGAAGTAAAAAATTCCTCACTGCCTCACAGTCACGTAGCGGCTGTTTCTCCATCAAACACCATCGGTTGTTGCAGCACTGTGCTTGTCCAACGCAAGGCAAAGAATCAGCCAGGATGTCAGCGCCCCTGCCAGCAACTGTCCGCATGAAAGACCAAGATGCCGACTTTGTGTACTTCTGCGAGGATTCATGTCACACGAGTTACTCTGGGTGTATTGATGGTGACTCGTCGATGACAGAGCAGGAAATCAGCGAGTTCATTCGGCATTCAAACCCAAGTCTTTACGAGACGTTGAACAGTGTAGGGATCGCCAGCTCATACTTACCCTGCGACGAGGACCAAGAGCCCATTGATCCATCTGGTGACAAGAGCCATATGAGCACAGAAGTGATCAGGGAAACATCCGGGTCTCTGTTCTATGAAACAGGCACCATTTTCGATCATGCAACTAGATCATCAGATGCTGATTGCCCAAGTGAGACTGACCTAACATCCGATTTCAATCCTGGGTCGCGCCATGCAGCGGAGCCAGTAGTCCTCGGTACGCATATTCCTTCCAGTGTCGTTGGTGGGACTGACATGAAATAGCAGGTAGATACCACTTTACGTTCTATCAGCACTGTGAGCCAGGCATCGTGTATTGCTGTTCCTCTCCAACATGTCCGAACTCTGCCAACGTGATCCCAGAAGGTGAATACTTCGCCATGATACGCGACGAAGCCTTGAGTGAAGGAAATGGTCAACTTACCGACTACGAACGAACGTCGTATTATTGTCTCGACTGTCTCGACGAAGTTGTGGATCGCGAACAGCGACCGGAGACAATGCAAAAGATGGTCTCTCAGCTTGTTGATGGAGCACAGCCTGACAGGAATTCGATACTTCTCAGGGCCTTGCAGATATACCCCACCCTGGAGAAGAAGGATAGCTTTTTCTTGCGCCTTTGCTTTGAAGGAGAGTCGGACTTAGAGCCAGGAAATGCTTCGAACTCGAAGAAAGTGATTCGCCTCCGCCGCCAAAAGCAACTTGAGATACAACGTATTGAAAACGACCTGGAACAGCAACGTTTCAAAGCCGTCTATCGAATCAAAAAGGCTAACCCATCCGGCCTCAGAATATTGGTTTCTCCAGATACGCAGCCATACAGGGACCGATACAAGAAGCAGGGACTCCAATGGGTTGACCGGCTTAGGCAACTCAAAGAAGCCCGGCGGATTGCAGGAAGACCGGCTGCAAGACACACTTCAGCTTCAGATCATGACTCGGGGGATATGTTGGTCTGTCACTGCAGGGAGCCAGCTGACGAGGGGCCCATGCTGCGCTGCAGGTCAGCATCCTGCATGTTTGGGTCCATCCACTTCCGATGTTCAGGTCTCGACCGGTTGCCGTCAGAGACAGAGTATTATTGGTGCGACTACTGCAAGAGTGACTTTACTGGTGACACAGAGAAGGTCTGTGGGACTAGAATGCCAGAGAAATGTATTTCTAAGACCGAGAATGACTTGGATGTGGAAACGGGGGATGGAGATTTGCGAGGCTCGATTTATGGCGGCGGAGAAGTGGACAACGACGACAAAGGTGACATTGTTTCGCCTTCGCCTGGGTTTGTTGCAGTCAATCATGTTGTCTCCAAGGGCAAATGATTCAATCAGCGCTGTCAGTGATTCCGTTTGGACTGGAGGTGGGAATGTGTTCATTGTTGTGTGGGGGGGCTGCGACGATTGACCATAGTTGAATGAACATGATGGGAGAACGAGGATATCAAAGCCAGACGATGGTCAGCCATTGTATGGCTAGAGATGGGAGGCAAGACACTGATTGCTTGTGCGAGAGACAGAAGTCACTTGTTGTGGGAGCTAAACCCTTAGCGCCTTTGGCGCGCATTGTGCGACACCGATCTCGACCTCCTTGATGCCTTGGCGGTTGTGCCTCACAATTATCATCCCTATCTCCCTTGCGCCTCGCCTGAGGCCATGGACAGCGCCACAATCCACCTATACTATACAAGCGGAGTTCTCACCCTGGGAGGCCTTGTGACTGAGACCAAATTGTGATGACGTAGTTCTGGACTGCAGTGGGTAATGAATAGTCAATATTTAACCTTCCTCCTGATTGGCTATTTTAACTTCCTCTGGTTAGTCAATATTCAACCCTCCTCCTGATTAGTTTTTAAAACCTTTCTCTGGTTGGTTAATATTCAACCCTCCTCCTGATTGGTTTTTAAAACCTTTCTCTGGTTGGTTAATATTCAACCCTCCTC